AAGCTGGCGTCGGCGTCGTGGGACAACACCGTCAAGCTGTGGGATACGAGCAGTGGCGCGTGTCTGAAGACCTTCACGGGCCATAGCAATCGGGTCATGTCTGTAGCCTTCTCGCACAACTCGACCAAACTGGCGTCGGTGTCACTCGACAACACTGTCAAGGTGTGGGATGCGAGCAGCGGCGCGTGTCTGCAAACGTTTACAGGCCATAGCAGTTATGTCATCTCTGTAGCCTTCTCGCACGACTCATTAAGACTAGCGTCCGCATTAGACGGGACCATTGTCGAGCTTTGGGATGCGAACAGCGCCGAATGCCTGCAGACGTTCACGGGCCATAGCAGCGACGTCACCTTTGTGGCCTTCTCGCATGACTTGACCAAGCTGGCGTCGGCGTCGTGGGACAAGACCGTCAAGCTGTGGGATGCGAGCAGCGGCGAGTGCCTGCAGACGTTCACGGGCCATAGCAGTCGGATCAGGTCTGTAGCCTTCTCGCACGACTCGACTAAGCTGGGGTCAGCGTCAGACGACAAGACCGTCAAGCTGTGGGATGCAAGAAGCGGCGAGTGCCTGCAGACGTTCAGGGATCATAGCAGTTATGTCAGCTCTGTGGCCTTCTCGCATGACTCGACCATGTTGGCGTCGGCGTCACACGACAAGACCGTCAAGCTGTGGGATGCGAGCAGTAGGGCGTGCCTGCAAACGTTCCCGGGCCATAGAAACATAATTAGGTCTATAATCTTCTCGCACGACTCGACCAAATTAGCGTCGGCGTCAGAGGAGAAGACCGTCAAGCTGTGGGATGCGAGCAGTGGGGCGTGCTTGCAGACGTTCACAGGCCATAGCAGTTATGTCATCTCAGTAGCCTTTTCGCACGACTCATTGAGACTAGCATCAGCGTCATGGGACGACACAGTCAAGCTCTGGGACCTGAGCAGCGGCGAGTGCTTGCAGACGTTCACGGGCCATAGAGGTATCATCAGGTCTGTAGCCTTCTCGCACGACTCGACCAAGCTGGCGTCGGCGTCATTAGACAAGACTGTCAAGCTGTGGGATGCGAGCAGCGGCGCCTGTCTGCAGACGTTCACAGGGCATAGAGACTATATCAAGTCTATAGTCTTCTCGTACGACTCGACCAAGCTGGCGTTGACGTTAGACGACAAGTCCGTTCAGGTGTGGAATGCGAGCAGTGGCGAGTGCCTGCAGACGTTCACAGGCCATAGCGATTGGGTCAGGTCTGTAGCCTTCTCGCACGATTCGACCAAGCTGGCGTCGGCATCATTAGACAAGACCGTCAAGCTGTGGGATGCGAGCAGTGGCGCATGCCTGCAGACATTTAACATTGGCAGGGCTCTTGACACCCTATCCTTCGACTCCAGCAGCTCTTGTCTCTGCACTGATGTAGGGACTATTGCCATTCACAGCTCAGGAACTTCTAACGAGCGAGGTGTCACGGAACCTGAGCACCCTCTGTATCTAGGCACAGGTCTTAGCCCAGATAAAACATGGATCAAACATGACGGCATGAATATCCTGTGGATACCATCAGAATATCGACCGTCATGCTCAGCAGTATGCGGAGCTACGGTTAGTATGGGCGTTGGGTCTGGCAGATTATGGCTTTGCACGGTTGGCCTTACAGACGTCCGTATCTATCCGTAGCAAATATGAAGGACTAGCTCTCTGCTTTTATATCTTATTCATTCTGTATCTCTGTTGCACAGAAGCGAACGGGAATGCACACATAGACATAGGCTACTTATGGCTACATTGGAGTTTGGGGAATTCCAATGGCAATGGCTGTCGCTAAGTCATGCTGCCGTGTGAATTTTGAGAATTGAATTCTCGCTGTTTCTGGTGTTATGCTCAGCACGGAAAGGTACACAGCAGAGGTGAGGGAAAGAGACAATGGCTTGCAGAAAGCCATCTGCCTGCGCCACAGCTGTTTTGTGTCGCCAATCGGTTATAGGTATAGCATTGGATTCGTTACAATAGCATACATCTGAGCACGCTACTTCAGGCTTCCCGCATGCCAAGTGTCCTAGCGCATCCCGACACTTACGTTCCAGCCCATGCCGGAGGCTGGTGCATTTATAGAGAAAGGATTGAAGAACATCACTCAATAACTACAGGTCTGTATAGCCACGCATAAGAGATAGCGGAGCTCCGAAGTGCGAACCCGTCCCGTTATACAGTGTGTCCCGGCACGCTTGAAGAGACGTTAGGTTGCTGTGCTGTCCGCCTCTTAGCTGCAGCCTGCTGACACAGCCACTTACATGCAGGTACACTCCGCACATGTCACCACTTTATGAACTTTGTCGTAATCGCGAGCTCATTACTCAATTGGGGCACTGTAGCATCACTTTATGCTATCAAGCTATCTACAGGAGCCCTGCCCTCAACAACTTATTCCCAAACTCCAGCAAATAGTAATCCGCGTACACCAACCCATGATCTTTATACTTCTTATGCGCATCCGGATTCCAGTTCGTCGTGCTGTTCCTCAAGATCGCATCGAATGCACTCTCCCTGACCTTGATCTCCGCCGCACCTGCGCCATTCACTAGGCACTTTCCTGGCGCCTCGAAAGAAGCCAGGTCGCGGTCGTATGACATATCGAGTGTTTGACTTACGATCTGCAGCGCGATGTCGAGGAAGTTCGTTGATGGGTCAACTAGCTGTGATGCTTCGGAGGTAGGTAGGCTCTGTAGCGATTGATGGATGATGAGCAAACCGTTGGCGGTTGCCATAGCAGCCGACACATCGCGCAGTGGCTCATTCGGGTCACCAAGCGGGGCGTCAAAGTCCCACAGCGGAACCAGCGGGTGATGCCACTTCCCTTCTCCCTCCTTGCACCGCTGCAAAAAATATTCTGCACACTTGATCGCTGTCTGGAGATACTTGGTGTCTTTCGTCCAGGAGTAGACTTGTGCGAAGCCCATAACGGCCCATGCCTGACCTCGACTCCATGTTGAGTCGTCTTTGTGGCCTTGGTTGGTCATTTTGGCTTGTGGGCGGCCGGTGCGTGGGTCGAAGTTTACAAGGTGGTAGGAGGAGAAGTCGGGGCGGAGAATTTCGTGTATGATGGAGTCGGCGTGTTGAGTTGCGATGTCGATGAGAGTTTGGTCGTGTTGGTTATGGCCAACGTAGTAAAGCAGGTCGAGATCTGCAGTATGTGAGTAGAGGCTTCCATATGGTCAAATTGACACTTACTGCACATGCTGTCAATAATGACTAGGAAGTTTGTGGTCATGTCAGTGATCGAGTAGCGGTCGTTTATGGCGACATCCCAACTCCTGATGGCCTTGACCTTCTCATCGTATCTCGACGCAAGTGCATACGCGGCGTTGATCACAGACTGGAGGCTCTCTTTGTTACCAGTCAACTCCCAATCCTTTTGTAATGCGGGCTGCACAATGAAGCCCATGTCGTGTGTATCGGTGCGCGAACTCATCTGGTTGATTGCAACGTTCCAGTGTCGGCCGATCTTCAACAGCTGTTCCTGGAACTGTAGACGAATGTGGTCCGGAACATTGAAGGCTTGTGGATATCGTACCGCACGCTCAATGATGGTGTAGATGCAACCCGGGAAGAATCCACATGTCCAGAAGTCTGCCTCTCGCCCTTCGTACCGACCTGCGTCAGGACCAACTTGAGGTACAGTGTGTGGGTAGGTCGGAAGTGGTGCCTGTAGCGCGTTGGTACTGGGCATTCTGATTCAACTATAGCACCATCTACCTCTTGCTTCAAGCCTCGCTGCGCAACTTGGAAGATTTTCGCGGCCGCATTCTCAGAGTATATGTCGCTCAAGTCGACACCTTTAATGCTGTTTTCAGAACGTCTCGTTAGCTAGCTTTTTAAAGTCTGGGGCTATTGCTTACCTTGATGTCGCATCCCTTCTCAATTCTGTGAATGCGCCGCCCATCTTAATCTCTTGGGGATTGATAGTTAACTGACAGCTTTGCGCGAAGCTAGTTAGAAAGCTCGAGAACCGTTTAAAGGTTTCGAAAGCGGCGCTACAGTTGCTTCGAACGTACTGGACTGCTGCCGGATGAGCAGTTGTCGAAGTCGTGCAACACGAACAGCCAAGGTACCTCGTTGCTACTGTATGAGCTACTCGTAGGGCGCAAATCGATAACCGTATCGATAACGGAACAATTGACGATGTTAATGGTGCAGGCTAAATGCGCGGGATCGGCATTCGCCCGAGGCCCGTTGCTCAATGAAGACATTCTCCACCGTCCGGTCCCAGCACGCTTGGGGAAGCTGCTCGTGTCTTTCAGGGTCTAAGTGCGCTCCACGTCATGGGATCCAACGCTGTTCCTTGGAAGGCTTTCCACTTTGGGCGACCTCGTAAATTGCATTTTGTTTATGCAAGGCTTGGAAGTCCGGCGTTTTGCTTGACTGCACTATACTTTCCACAATTTCTCCGCAATGTAGTCTTAGGTCTGGGGAAATAGCATCGAGCTAGTAGTAGTGTCCACGAGACCTGTATGGCTGGCTTGCAGTATACCGATAATATATAGTGGTGCCGAAGTTAAAATCTGTTATGAGCACCAGGATATTGTTGTCAATTGTACTTTGATCAGCATAGTCATGCTGTTCACCAACTTTGCCCCAGCGCTCCTGCTGAGTACCCTTGCATCTGCTCTTCCAGAAGTGAAGCGCGCTGCTACACTTCCCCTTTCGACTAAGGGTCGCGACATTGTCGACGCCAATGGCGATGTCTTCCAATTCGCCTCAACGAACTGGCCCGGACACCAAGAGGTCATGGTTCCCGAGGGTCTTCAGCATGCCTCAATCAAGGACATTGTTTCGTGGTTTCCGAAGTTCGGCCTGAACTCTGTCCGCCTGACCTTCGCTATCGAAATGGTCGATGACTACCTCAGCAACAGCCCGAACCAGACTTTGGAGAAGAGCTTTATCAACTCACTTGGCGAAGCCAACGGCACCGTAGTGCTGAACCAAATTCTCGAGAAGAACCCCCAATTTACTAAAGATACCACAAGACTGGAGGTGTGGGATGCTGTTGCGAAGGAGCTGTCGAGTCAAGGTGTTATCATCCACCTGGACAACCATGTCAGCAAGGCATTCTGGTGCTGCGGTGACAACGATGGAAACGGCTGGTTCGGGGAGAAGTTCTTCGACGTCGAGAAATGGAAACGCGGTCTTGCCTGGCTAACTAAACACGTAAGTTCTATACTCTGAACAAACACCAAGTCAAACTTGCTAACTTGCGAAAGGCGAAGGATAACTGGCCTACCTTCTCTTCTGTTGGTCTCCGAAACGAACTCAGAAGCGCTACCAACGCCGAGCCTGTCGATTGGTACACCTGGTATGTCCATATGACGGCTGCAGCAGAGGCGGTGCACGAAGCCGACCCCAATGCTCTTATCTTCTTCTCTGGTCTCTCGTACGATACCTACATCGACCCAATTCCTCTCGGCAAGACCCTGAACGGTACTGCTGGAAAATCAACTGCCAACAAGACCGCGGTTTTCAAGCCTGGTGACTTTGCGTTCAAGGACAAGATCGTGCTGGAGATTCATAAGTATGATTTTGAAGCCACCCAGGACGACTGCGAGACCTTCAAGAGTAAGTGGTACAAGAAAGGCTTCCAGAGCGTCAACCCCGACGACCCGACCACCAAGTATCTCTTCCCCATGGTGATCTCTGAGTGGGGCTTCATCCACAATGGAACATACTGGAACCAGACGACGTACGCGAAGTGTCTGGTTGAGATGGTCGACCAGTACAAGGTAAGCTGGATGCACTGGGAGCTTTCAGGGTCCTTCTACCTGCAGACTCGACCGGGCAGGAAGCCGCAAGAGACCATTCAGGGGTTGGAGGAGTTTTGGGGTCTGCTGAACTATGATTGGTCGGCCATCCGCTCGCCGATTACCCTCGAGAACAGCTTGTACAAGATGATCGGTGCTCTGAAGTGAGAAGGACCTGTAGTGGTCTGTAGCATGTCAATCAATTGATTAAGAATCCAATAGATTTTTCACAATATTTTGCGACCGTGATAGATAACGGATACGTATTTGCAGTTCGCGATCTCTGCAGTAGTATCGCTATACTCGACGTCTTGCACCCTTGCAAGCCTCCGGGCCTGATGATGGACTTGACAATGGAATGCATCGTTGTCGAAGGTGCAAGTCACCTTTGATGGAAGAATGAACTTCGTGTGCACGACGCGCTATTACGTCATCGATTCGAAATTGCGACAATGCTCACACTCGTGCTCGCACCGCACGTATTCAACTTGCATGATCGTCAACAATAAACGTCGTCTGTGTAGTCGTCAAGTGTCTGTGTTTTTCATGTTGAGCCCCTTGCATTGAAGTCTCGGTATAATGCTCACCGATATCGCCTCGCGTAGATGCACGCGACGACGTCCTTACAGACCAGGTTTTCGCTGCCTGCTGATCACTCCACAAACATTTTCGTCGGTTCTCTAGGAGTTCGCAATTCAACCATTTCCCACCTGGTACCCGTTCGTGGAGAAATACCCCAGTCTTGGTCCCCGCATTACACCAGACCCAATGCAGCAATGTGCCGATGCCCGCAGCACGAGCAACATCTTCGCTTGCCAGCCTTAATGTCGAAGGGGATGGGTCGTCTACATATTACACTGCTGGGGATGATCAGTAGCCGTCTCAACCCAGGTTAACGGGTACTACTTTTACCAACGGCCTGCTACCACACCCTGACCAGGCATTCGCAATGGCGGCAGCAACAAACCCCCGAGATGAGACCGCAGGTGTTGAGGGCAGGGCTGGCGAGTTCAGCACTAATGTAATCGCCCCCACCGATGCGCCGAAACGATCACCATGGAAGGCTTGGATGTACCTCTGGGAGTGGTACCCAAAGCACTACCCTGCTGAGGAGAGGAAGCTGTTGAGGAAGATGGACGCATGTCTACTGACGTTCTGCTCGTTCATGTGTAGGTACCGACTGTGCCGCACCCGAGAACCAGGTACTAACTTCGGCAGTCTTTCTCAAATGGCTTGATTCGTCAAACATCAATAACGCCTATGTGTCTGGCATGAAAGAAGAGCTCAACCTCTATGGCAACCAATACTCCCTTTTCGGCACCTTCTACAACTGCGGATACTTGGTGTTCCAGATCCCATCTCTACTTCTGCTTTCTCGCCCAAAGATCGCAAAGTACTACCTTCCGTTGATGGAAGTCCTGTGGTCAGTTGTCACTTTTACTCAGTCGCAGATGCGCAACGAGCGTGACATCTATGGTACTCGATTCCTGCTCGGTCTTCTCGAGACACCAGTGGCCTCTGGCACTACATACGTGCTGGGCTCGTGGTACAAGCCTGAGGAGGTGTTCAAGCGTACTGGTGTATGGTACGTCTCGAACAACATCGCAGTCATGTTCGGTGGATACCTCCAGGCTGCTGCATATAAGAACCTTAATGGCGTCGGCGGGATGGCGGGATGGCGGTGGCTCTTCATAATTGACGGTAAGACATGAACAGCAACATGAGCAATGCCATGCATACTGACGAGAATAGGTGTTATCTCCCTTCCAATCGCCCTCGCTGGTTTCCTCATTTTCCCTGGTCTGCCCAGCAGCGCAAAGCCATGGTGGCTCACCCCGGCAGAACACGACTTAGCAAAGCGACGAGTAGCAGCAGCCGGTATCGCACCAAGTCAAAGCCTGAACTGGTCCATCATCAAGCGCACTCTTCGACGATGGGAATTTTACATGGGTCTCCTGGCGTACACCTTCTTCCTGTCATCCTCATATCCTCATGGTCAGATGGCGCTCTGGCTCAAAGATCAGGCTGCAAAGTTCCCCGGTAGCTACTCCGTGCCACAGATCAACACGATCCCGACCGGTGCCCAGGGTGTCTCCGTGGTTGCAGCGCTACTTGCGACTTCGCTTTGTATGATTTACCCCCTGTGGAGTATCTTCTCCATCGTGCAGACTATTTACCTCATCGCCAATATCCTGCTCCTTGTCTGGGTCATTCCTAAAGGTCTTCACTGTAAGTCTCCGCTCAAATTCCGCTTTCACACAAATACTAACACCTTTCGCAGTCGCATGCTACTATCTCCTCGGAGTATCAGCAGCCGTGACGCCCATCCTCATGCCATTCATCAACATGGCTCTGCGCGATGACGCTGAAGCACGTGCCGTCACCGTCGGTGGTATGCTCACAGCTGGCTGGGCTGTTTTCTCATTTTACCCCATCGCGGTCTTCCCTGTCGTTGAAGCGCCACGATGGACAAAGGGCTACTCGGTCAATATCTGCTTCGTGGTTGGATGTTGGGCATGCTTCTTGATCATGCAGTATATGTACAAGAAGAGCGAGAACAAGAAGCAGCAGCAAATTATTGGTGCGGCGGGAAGAGATGAAGAGGATAGCTTGAGTGATAAGAAGCCTGTGGAGCATATCAAGGAACATGTTGAAGAGCGCAGATAGGGTGGTCATGAGTGATCAGGGGTCGAGCGAAGTGCGGCTGCGAGGAACATAGTGTTATACCCAATATTTTACTGTTCTTTACATGATCGGTTGTATTTGCGTGCCACTTCACACATGAAATTCTCATCACTGAATCGCGCAACCCATCTCGTGGGGCCATTGCCCTTACTGGATTAGTTTTGATTGCGTTTTCCCGGAAATGACACGACCGTGGCGAAGCATTTTATAACGACTGTCGTGGTCACGAAATTCATATCATGAAAGCACACTTATACATTCATCCGGCTAATCAAGACATCAAAACCGTACAAGATGGATACAGTTCTCAAATCAACATACTCAAATCGTAACCAAACTGCACCAAACTTGTCAGATCATAGACTAGCTAACTCATCTCATAAAAAACGTGTTGGAGGGGGGGGGGGGGGGCGCACATGTGTTCGTTCAACTAAGCGAAAGACGCCCAACATGTTGCGATCTACCCCGATCAAGCTTTCTTGTCTGGTGCTTCGTGAAGCTCAATGACCGTGGGATCATTAACGACCTTGCTCACCGCAGCGACCAGTGCATCACGTTCGTCCTTCTCCGACTCGAACACTGAGATCATGTTAGCACAATCCATATAAAATCATGACATTTTCATATCATTAGAGGCAACTTACGGAAGTGCAATTCCTCCAATGTTTTCCCGTAGGTCTCAGGGAAGAAGATGTAGATGAACACGATCTCGAAGCAGAGCCATACGACGTAGACAATGAGATATTTCCAATCAATATTCTCGAGACCGATGGGGTTGACGAACGAGCCTGGAGGTTGTCAGCTGGCAAGTATTGAGGGCCTGGATGGATGTAAGACACATACCGAACATGACAGCCGTTCTACCGAAAAGCTGGAACCACGACAGCCCCTTCGTTCGCACATAGTACGGGAAGATCTCCACCATGTATACATACGTCAACGCGTTGTATCCAATGCAGTAAGCTGTACAAAAAGTGAGCATACTCATATAAGAGAAGTACATGAAACATACCTGGAGAATAAAGGAAGATAAAGACCAGTACCGCATACCCCGACTCCTTACTCCCCGTAATCCGATTTCTCGCCTGCGCAATCGTCCACGCCGTATAAACCGTGAGCAGACAACTCGCACACAGCAAATACATCCTTCGTCTCGGAAACCTCGGGGTAACACTCGCCATCAGCAGACTCACAAGGAACCCCCAGCTCTCCTTGCCAACATTGTAGCGCACTTGCTCGTAGCTGCTCGTGATACCGATTTTCTCAGCGATCGGGACGAAGTACTGGCTAATGAGATTGTTACCGGAGAACTGAACGAATAGTCCCAGAGCAGCGGCGACGAGAGATCGGTGTCTCATGCCTTTTGTCTGGAAGAGTTCGCCCCAGCCGCGGGCGCGGGACTCATTTTCGATTTTGAGCGCGGTTTGGATCTCTGCGAGCTCCACATGCGGGAGTTCAGCAGACGCGTCGCCTTCAGCGTGGTACTTTATCAAGATATTCAGCGCCTCTTCGTGACGGTCTTTGGAGACGAGCCAGCGGGGTGACTCGGGGACTGTGAATGCGAAGACGATTTGGATCAGGGATGGGAGCGCTTGCAGGATTGAGGGGAGGCGCCAACTCCAGTCGCTCTGGATGAGGCGTGTTTGCACGATGATGCCGGCGCCTAGGACGGCGCCGACGCCGAAGAAGGCGTTGAACATGCTACCTAGGAAGGCGCGTTCTTTTGGGTGGCCGAGTTCGCCGAGGAGAGCGGCGCCGGCGATGATGGCGTAGACAATGCCGTGGCCCAAGAAGATGCGGGAGAAGACGAACATGGCGACTGAGGTGTGTTAGTTCAGATCCAATGAATTTGGAGGACGGAGGGAGCCTACGATTTTTAGAGAGGCCTTGCATGATGGCACCAATGGCCATAATCACCGATCCAAAAACGATTGACTTTCTCCGGCCCAGGTGATCCGAAACCAAAGATATGAAAGGGATTGAAGTGATAGCTCCTAGGTTGTAGCAGGCGACCAGCAAGCCCAGCTGTCCGCCTTTGGGGTAATTGAAGAATTCCTTCCAGTAGGTTAATGCTTGCATGCCGTTCATCATGGAGGAGTCGAAGCCAGATGTCGACTCAATGAACAAGCAGAACGGGACCAGAAGGAGATAGAGTCGCCGAAGGTTCGGCTTATTCCACCATCGCACATGGTCGTTCGCAACGAGGTTCTGGATAATACTCTCGTCGATTGCGGCGACTGGCGGAGCCATGGTGTTGAGACGAAAGGGGGGTATAGGAGCTTTAGCAAGGGTCTACAAGGATGATAATTTGGCCTCTCTCCAAGACCCTTCTTGAAGATCCATTCACACGCTGTATCAGTCTAATATACCTACACCGGCAACTGCTCGGTCGTTACATCGGCTAATGCTACGATACCGTTGCCCAGGCTGGGCATTGAGGGGTTGGTGAGCACACGGCCAGATATCAAGCAGGGTCATGAGGATGTCCCACGAATGGAAGCATCCATCATCAATGCTTAACCCTGAAAGCTTGAATCGACGTTGAACGGTTCTTTAGGCCGTTACAGCACTTCTTTTGATTTTCTTTTCGTGATATTGAAGGCCTCCAAACGCTGTTGTTCAGTACGATATTGTCCAGGATGCCATTGTATGTTGTAGCACGGCAGGTGTCGAGCGATCATCTTCCCTCTTCCCCGCTGCTCGACTTCAAAGGGTAACCAATTTAGCCGCGGACCGCACCGAATCTGGAAGGGGATCCACATTTAGGGGGCCTTACTCCAGGAAAGATACCCGTTGTAGGGCAGCCCTGTTCGCAGAGCATTTGCGGGGAAGTAGTCGCTGTGTGGTCAACCTTGTTGTTGCTGCCAGGTTTGCGGAGGTAACGGTCTGCTCATCCGCAGTAAGACTACAATTCCAACACCGAACCAATGACGAAGGAAGTTTCGGGGCCGACCGGCCTTTGTATGCGGTTTTTGAGTGTTGGATCGGTTGTGTATGTGGACAGCGGGTTTTGCAGTCGGTTTTTGCTACTAGTCGCGTGCTGACTTCCAGTATGCTTCCCACAGCGCATCTGGCGTCCTCCGCTGTTCCACTGCTCGTAAGCCCAGGAGTATGCCAAACACCCTGGCAACGCAAAGCACAATAAAAGATGTAACAATTTCGGCTCCTTCACCCATCCTTAATGCCCAACTGGGCCTGACTCCAAGTGGCAGCTTCCTGAAGTCGATGAAGATAGGCCAATTGTCCAGCTCCCAGAAGACCACAAAGAGCTGTAGGTCTATCCACAGGTCTCCCAAGAAGCCTTTAGCGACCCGCTGTCGCATACAAAAAATCGTATCACTTGGTGCCGTGATGATGCCGTTCAAATTCCAGAAAAAGAGCGGTTTGCTGATATCGCTCGGATCCGTCGACTCCTCCACGACTACCTCCTCCGTCCAGTCTTCAGGCCATATCGGTTGCGGGCTCCTTCCTTGTCTCGTCAAGCTTATGTAGTGATCAAGGCGGCCCCAGTTGTGCCTTGCATATCGAGGGATCTCGATGACCAACCCTTCTTGTATCTGTTGACCGGTACTTGCGTCAACTTCGCCGCCTACAAGTGCGCTGATAAGCTTCGTCTTGCCATTAAGTTCGACGAAGACGGCTCCTTTGACGAGACGGAGGTACTCAGTGTGCGTGGCATGAAAGTGCAGTCCGGACGTCCACGCTGAGCGGCGAGGTAGAGCGATAGTTGTCTTGAGAGGCGATGTATCACCTGCAGAAGGTACCGTGGGGATGTGGTATGCGACTGCTTCGGATCCCTGGCGAAGGAGAGCGCGTGTGCCTACAGGTAGAGGGTTCAGAGGTCGGACTCTGGTTCGATCTTCTTTGCTCGTGCCATTGTGTTTGGTGTAGATGAATAGCATGCTACTACAGGAAGAGGAAATGATACTTGATTTTGATTCAAGGCCTCACATGCTGGACTGGATTCGCAGCATCCATCTTGATTTGCAATCTTGGACGCCTCGTTCGGCTGAGCAATCAGCGGAAGACGGCCGCGGGCTGGCTTACTCACCCAAACTTCACTCAGGCAAATAACAATGATATCCCTGAGATCCAATGCATCTGGTTGTTCATGGTATCATGGTTGATATGATCACTGTGTGGCTGAGTGTGCAGAGTAGCGCGTTGTGTTCGCGTTGATACCTGCCCACTTATGGCCTGGCGCGCAAATGACGTCACGTAACCGGTATGCGACTTCCCATTATGTTCTCAACCGATCAATTTTGAGGATATCACTCGTTATGGGTAGAGAGGCCTGTAGAACACGAATCTTCACGGTTTTAGACTCAATCTTGATGTGAGCACTTTATAATTGGCTTACCAACCTATCTCGTCTCCACCAGCATGAATCTGCAAATCCACTAAATCGGAATTAGCCTCGAAAGCCGCCAACTATTTCAGAGGCCAGGTATCAGACAGTTAGATTACGACAAAGTGCAGTTCCTACCACATGACAATTTGCCTGGCACAACTTTCGGCAATACTACTCATGAACGCAGCTAGTGAAGGCATTCCATGTACTATCGTTTACACGGTCGTAGTTGAGGTGGGTATGGTCTTGATGACACAGTGATCGTGATAGAAGCGCGCGATGTCCGCGTTGTCACGCTGGAGGCAAACCTCGTGCAGGTCAAGTAATCTTCAAGTTGAGTTCATGGTCTTATCAGCACCTCGTTGCACAAGTACAATGCTCTGACGTATATTTGACACTCTATCTGGTAAGCATCCGAGTCAAGTCCGTGGGGGATCTTCATTCACGAAACATGGCAACTCGCCAAACCCCATCTTTTGCAAACTTTTCGATCTGTCTTGCTCATACGAATTCTTACGATGACCGCAGATTGTCGTCGATGGCTTGTTAGGCACTCCACAAGAGTCGTAGCCTTGTGGGGCCGGCCAGCCTTCGGTACGCCAAGCCGTGCCCAATTGCAAACAACGCCTGCTTTTTCGACATTGGGAAATCTGCGTAGGCGAAGCGGATTGAGACTTTCCCTGATGCGTTACTCCAAGGGCCGCGTGACGGGTTCCTGCTTGAAATGGTGATGGTGGGCAAGGATTTGTGGCGATCCTTGTTTGGGGAAGGGACGTGGAACGAATGGAATGAGGGCAGCCCGCGGAAGTCACGATGCTTGCCCTTTGTGTTGCGAAGAGTTAGCGAAGGATGAGTGGGCTTACTGAGGTCCTCGAATTACATCATGTTGCCTCTCGGCCTTTATAATTGTCAAGCTCAGCATCGTGACCGGTTTTGGCACATACTTGATACCCTGCTTTTTCCACTCTCTGTTGTTTGTAGCCTTCATATAACCAAACTTTTTGCTGCACAATTCACATAATGGCATCATTACGATCGGTGACGGCGATGCGTCGTGTCGCCTGCAGAAACTCGGGTATATTGCGATTCCAGCCTTCCCCAACACTTCTCCAACGACGAGGTCTTGCAACACACGGAGATGTTACATATAAACAAACTTCCTATGAGAAGCGAGAGAATGTTGGCGATAGGAAATACGGCCATTTTGACATTGGCGGGAAGGTCTTCGTTGTGACAGGAGGTGGCCAAGGTCTTGGACTCTCGATAGCGGAAGGCCTTGTCGAGGCTGGTGGCACCGTCCACGTCCTCGACAAGTTACCAGAGCCGACCAAGGACTTTGAGGAAGCGAGAGCTCGCGCGAAGAGCGAATTCAATGGCGGTCTGGAGTATCATCAGGCCGATGTTTTGAACGCCGATGTGCTGGGTTCGACGATTGCAGGCATCGCAGCTCAGAAGCAGCGGTTGGATGGACTGGTCGCAGGTTCGTCGAGGTCTTTGGGTTTCTGGGATAGTTAGCTAATTAGGTGTACAGCTGCTGCGATCCAACATGTGGCCAAGGCAATCGACTACAAACCAGAAGATATCGAGAAGATGCTTGCGGTCAACTACACCGGAGTGTTCCTGACTGCGCAGGCTTGCGCTCGCGAGATGCTCAAGTATAAGATCGAGGGTTCGATGTGTCTGGTGGCTTCGATGAGCGGAACGATCGCCAACAGAGGGCTGGACGCTCCAGTGTACAACTCCTCGAAAGCTGCGGTCGTGCAGCTTGCGCGTAACCTGGCCATGGAGTTTGGTAGGAAGAGACCAGATGGGTCAGGTGGCATCCGAGTCAACTCCCTGAGCCCTGGACACATCGTGACACCCATGGTGGAGGAAAACTTCAGGAGAGGCGAGGCGGATCGAGCTGAGTGGGAGAACAACAACATGCTTGGGAGAATCAGCATGCCAGAGGAGTACAAAGGTGTGGCACTGTTCATGCTGAGCAAGGCCAGCAGCTACATGACTGGACATGACTTGAAGATTGATGGAGGCACCACGGCATGGTGAACGAGCTGAAGTTGGCGTACTGGCATTCCTGCAGCAAGCGTTGTTAGCCTTTGCTGGCGTTAGTATATCGTTGCATGTTCAGCGATGAGGTAGTGATGAGATTTTGTAAATGAATCTTATTATTCAACACATGAATGAACATCGCTCTGGGATGAGATCTGGAGTGTTCAACAGATTTGAGATGTGAAGATGAAGGAGGGGCAGAAGGGAGCGCAGCCACGTCCAGGGTCCCAAACACCTTACCCAATTGGGCGCTAGCACAAAACACCTGTCCTCACGACGGGACATGCCGACCCTCCTTGGGAATCTGGATCAACACCACACGTTGTCTCACAGACTCTCCGGAGCGCACACCACCCACTATGGATCGGATACTGCGCCTTCTCACATTGCTGGTCGCCATCATCGCGCCCCTCACCGCTGCCCTCAAATTCGACCTCCACCCTGTCTCGCCGCACGACGCTGCGAAGTACGAGCGATGCATCCGTAACTTTGTCGCAAAGGACCAGCTCGTGCTCGTCACAGCGATCCTGGACGGACACAGGGGTGATGGGCAGAAGGTCGACATGCATGTACGTGCCATATACTAATAGTTGGACATGCAATGCCCAAATGCATGCAATCACCTTCAACAAGTGCTGATGAATCGATAGATCCGCGATGCCATGGGCAACGACTACCACCGCCCCAAGGACGTCGTCGGCGAGAACCGCTACGCCTTCACCTCGCACGCCGACTCCGCCTTTGATGTCTGCTTCGAAAATGTCTACTCCGGCGCACAAACAGGCACCGGTCCGCGCCACGTCGAGCTGGACATTGACATTGGCGCCGACGCCAAGGACTGGAGCGCTATCCAGGCTGGCGAGAAGCTGAAGCCTGTTGAGGCTGAGTTGAGGAGAATTGAAGAGGTTGTAGGCGAGATTGTCACCGAGATGGACTATCTGCGGGCTCGCGAGCAGAAGTTGAGAGACACGAACGAGAGCACAAACGAGCGCGTTAAGTGGTTCGCGTTTGGTACAATGGGCATGTTGGTTGGTTTGGGCGCGTGGCAGGTCGTCTACCTGAGGGCGTACTTCAGGAGCAAGCACCTCATCTAGGCGGACAGAGTGGGAAATTGGGGAAGAACAGGGACGAAGAGCGGTCGCATGGGTCTTGAGGACGACAACAAAGCATTGTACGAACAGCATGAGTTTAGCGGTCGATTGTGGCAGCCTACACGAGCTTTGGCTCACAGGCTCCAAGGATGGCGTTGCCGGGGCATATCCAGATGAACCTTTCCCAGAAGTCAAATCCTCGTTTCCAAATCCAATGTTCCAAAGCAAGTGGAGGCATAAGAAGTCAACCCAAGCTGACAGCGTCCAGAAGTCCAGAAGTCAGTCCAGGCCCAGATGAAGCCCTCAGTCAATATGCTCCCCAAAGATATACCGTTCCAGCTCATCAGCCTCCTTTGCCAGCCTCGCCAAATCACTAACCCCCGGCGCACCCGTCTCAGCGATATACACATCCACAAACCGCGCAGGCACCATCTCAAATGACTGCGCAGCAACACCGACATCTCCTCCAGAAGCGAATCCCTCTATCGTTGTTGCTGACGTGATGCTGTCGACACCACTCATAACAACGGCCTTCGCGCTCGGAGACAGCGTTTTGACGCACACAGCAGTGCCGAGCGCACCTTTGTTGCTTCGTACGTCTCCCTGAGAGTCAATGCAGTCCGCTTCTAGGAGAAGGATGTCAACCTTCTGACTTGCTGTGCCGACCGCGTGGGTGGGATTTGTGGTGATGTGCACCCGGGAGTCTGACGATGTCGAAAGCAAATGCTTGTTGGAAGAGGAGAGAATGGAGAGGTCGATCGTGAGTTGTGGGTTGGAGGAGAGTGCGTACGACAGAGCGGCGAGAACGGCAGGTGAGGTGCTGAGCGTGAGTATACGCAGTGTCGCACCATCCTTTCCTTCCGTCTCGCCAACTTCTGCAGTAGGGTGCGGACACATCGAGTCAGCCCTTGATTCCGTCTTCGACATTACCCGCGTCTGGAGACCTTCACAGTACTTGCGCATCCACTGCGCGAACGCAACGCCTAACTTGTCGTCCAAGGACCTCCACACCTGTATAGACTCGTCAAATGCCCCGCCCGCTATTCGAGCAAGCTCCGCTGTGCTTCGACTCCCGCCACCTCGACTTTGCTCTTCGTTCCACCGCCTAGCAACTTGCGCCAAACTCCTTACCAGCATGTTCTTCGCAGAAGCATTCCAGGCCGGCAGTACACTGCTAATCAACATCGCGGCATGCAGGAGCATACCCCAGAACTCAGGCCAATCCGTCGCTATACACGCCGCTATATCCGCCACATAGGCAAGGTGACCCAGTGCCATAGTCGCCAAGTCGCGGCCCAAAAGTAAAGAGGCAGTCTGGAGGTCATCAACAGCCTCCTGCAAAACCACGTCAAACTCCTCAAGCTCTTCCTGCGGCGGCAAAGCAACTTTCGGCGGCAGCCCCGGCAACTCTCTGAACGGTGTCATAGATACCTCCACGGCGTGGGTTTCTGGTACCTCCATCGTCGAATTAAGCACTGAATCGCTCCTCGCTGCATCCTCTGGCACTTCTGTCCTCTCGCTGAGCACCGAGTCCGGCCTCTTGCGCCGGGCTATGAAGTTTCGAAACGACCGTGGATGGGAGGTAGTGCTTGGGTTTCTCGACAGCGCAGATGAGGGGCGCGAACGTAATGAGAAAGCTGACGCTCTGGTGCTGGGGTTCGTTGCGAATGATGGCGGTCGCGTTGATGGTGGGCGTGGGAGCGGGCGGTATGCTTCTGCTATAGCGAGCTCGAGCATGGTACTAAGCTGGGCACCTGAGGTATCAGGGTTGCTGTTGGGAGGGGAGCCAAAAGGTAACCAGAAGATGCAAGAAAGACAGTGTGGCCAAGAGGCGGTGGATGGATGGAGGTTATGCAGTTGGTAGACGGCGATGCAGACGGAGAGATTGAGGTCAAACGGGCGTGTCGAATGGACATTAGGGTACTGAGGTGAAGGTGAGATTGACGTAAGAAGACAAGCGCAAGAGTCGCGTTTGCCGCAATCGACGTTCCTAAAATCACTGCGGAGGCCTTCAGACATTCAACAATCGTTGTACAGCCTCTACGAAAATTACTGTAGTCGTGAGAAACTTTGTTAGATTGTAGATAGTCTGCAAATGAATTTCATGATTATGGACTTGTATTCGGCTTTTTCTGCTACTTGAGAGTATGTTTTTGCTGCCTCAGGACGGCATGGTTCAGTTGCTTGATTTACTCCTCGCTGCTCTCACCTTATACTACATACAATGCATACATATACACTTCTGTTTCGGGATCTTCATCACATCTCAAAAGTATGTTGTTCAAAGAAGGCAGAACACCTCACAAGCGAACAGGAGTAGTCACCCTTGTGGCCTTCGGCATTCAACATCGCGTAGCACCTTAGTAGTCTGTGCGTCATTATAACGCAGTTACATCCGGTGACTGGAGGAGATGCAGGTTCGAGTCTCGCTGTATCCATCTTTCTTTCTTTTTAAGAAAGATGGATTTGCTTTATTTGAACAGCATGGTCAGGATGAACGCTAGTAGCGTTACTCGATAAGGATGGCAAACAGTGCAGAACAGTGATGAAAGCCTTCAGCTACCATTATCTTGGGGCAGCATTATCTGGAGGAGCCTTCTGCCTGCTCGACGAATACTTCTAGTACGGGGCACAAACACTAGGTTTCTTGATGCCCTGCAGCATATCGAAAATACTGTAGCCCTTTAATATCTTAGTAGAAGGAAATCAGTCTGCAAGTCGGCATTGAGTACCTCCTATGAATTCGAATGTGTCTGGCTTTCTGCCACTCAGGAAAGAGGTTCTCTGCCGAAAAGGCCCTCCGGGTAGTGCAGCCCTACTTTCGCATCCCTGGATTGCTGTTTGCAAAACAAGTTCTTGATTATACCTTGTTTGTTGCCCGCGATCAATTTGTCCTTGCGGCGCAATTGAACCTAATCCACCTCACAAATCGCGCTCCGTATGTTTTGCGGGACTTGTGCCAGGCGATATGACCGATCTATCTATTAATCCACTCAACCCGACAAGTCTGCAGTACACCTATCATTGAAATGTCAGTCCCAACCCCCAAAATCTCAGCCTTAGTCAAGGACCTGGCAAATTACGAAGAATTTCTGCGAAAAACGAAGAAGTACGTGTCTCAAAAAACCAGAAGCAAGGAGGCTGCATGAATTTCTTTCGAAAACGATCGACTCAAGCTATTGGCAGGCAAGCCTGACGCAAGCCTTCAGTGCTCGATAGACAACAGACGGACCGTACTACAATCGTTTGCGAAATGTACGGACCCTCCTGAATTTTGGCACAGTGATTTCATGTACCACAGTGTAGCATGCAGGGCACATACGTGAGTGGTTAATTGTCTTGGTGCCCTAAAGTATCCCACGTTCTGCCCTGCATCCTGTCACCCAGACTGTCACCCATCCTAATCAACCAGCCTTAGCTAGCCACTAGGAAGTTCGCGCCCACCTGTGACGTATGCTTGATGATATTGAGCCAAAATCCAGGGGGGTTCGTACATTTTGCAAGGGCACCGATAAGAAGGCTGAGGTACATATGATGCCAGGTCAAAGATGATAGACTACAAGGATGGGTACTGATGGTATATAGGAAACGCTAGCGCAGGCTGAGTCTGAACTCAGGGTGGCCACGCGAAACCGATGGAAGGCGACTGAGAAACTCCACAATGGGTTGACGGCGGAGGCTGAGGAGGCTGCATCTAAGGCTTGAGTGGGTCGTGCAAAGAGACAGGACGCACTGAATATCCGTATTGGAGGGCTCTGGGTGTATACATTCACATTCTTCCAGCTCATCAATCGAGCTTAAGATAAGTACCTTCAAAGGGTTTACAGAAACCATCATCAACCATGAACCTTGCAACTGGCATCTCATGACCCACAACACATTGATGAAAGGGGTCAATGTAGATGGCCTGCCTCCTTCTCTTTGGCATAACCGCAAGACTTGATGCGACAATATGTAGTGAACACAAGCAGTAGCGACGACCTCTGACACTGCCACTTTATCTCGGCTCTTCTGATACATAGCTTCCCAAAGCATCATAGCGGAGTTCCAGTGAGGTGCAGTTGACTATGAGAATGGGCTGATTGACGGCAGGCTCACGGTAAGGAAGGAGTGCGGCACTGACGACGACTGGAGCCTTCCATACATACACACAAACCCATGCCATGACCACCGCCTGACTTCAAACTCTAACAAAAACCCGCACCATCACCTTATCGCCACGATGAACGACTCCCCAATGCAGCCGTCACAGTCTCCCCGGGACACTCCTCAGCCAGTCGTCACAGACACCGCCCGCTCGCTAGCTGCCTCCCTCAGCGCCCTCGAGGCCCGCATCACCCTCCAACGCGCGCGTTTCAACACCCTGCGCTCCGACAGAGCCACGCACTGGACCGTCTTCGAAGCCGACCGCCTCAAGATCGCCGCGGGTAAGTTCGGGAACGAGTTGCAGTACCCACTGAAGGAGCATGTTGCTCGTATGGAAGAAACCAAGGTATGATGGTGGGTATGAGAATGAAGGTATCCAATGCTTGCTGATCCATGAGAGTCAGAGCTTCGGGAGGCTGAGGATAAGCTGGCGCTTTTATTCGTTCAGCGATGGCAGTTGAACGAAAAGCTTAGGGACGAGCAGGTCATGGCGAAAGCATATCAGGATTTGGTTACTGAAGGGAAGCTGTGAGATGCGTTAACGATGTGCACTGAGGCATAACTTGGGGACTGAGGGTCATTGTTGGATTGATTGGCGTGATAACACTAGGAGCACAGTGTCAGCAGGTATCCAAGACTATTGTGCCTCACATACCAACCTCCGTGTATCTTGTCTTTCCGAGGACTCAAGTGAGTAAACGTACAGAGAACCTCGTTCCTTTTGAGTGCTATCCTCAAAAACGACCTGATCTCGAATCTCTCCAAGCTTGCAGGCGGCTTCAGCAACGCCCGCGAAGACGTACAAGTATGCTCTTAAGGTGTTTCTGGCGGTCGGCGTTGCAACACTGCGGTGATGCTCTACCTGAGTTAGTGACCAAGGCCTCGAAAGAAACGAACTCTTTCAACAATCCAAAGCCTGACCATCGCCCCATGCTAGTGACGCTCATTAGTCAATGTAGCCAACAAAGTATGTAAACGTGTCCCCAGCGATCGTCCCTGCAGATCCGCATTCTTCAGGAAGGTCAGCAATCCTGAAACACGGGGTGTTGAGCTGCCGTACCAATCAGCATCCATCGGTATAAATGTAAGTATGTTGAGGGCTTGGACAACGTCACTGTATGCAAGGGTAGGAAGATCACTTGGCTTCGTGTTGTGGCACTAGGGAAGCTGGGTGTGGCTGGGTGTGGAACGAAAGGGTCTTTGATCGTTGACTGGCGAGGGGGTAGCAACTCCGGTACTGCCAGGAACAAATTATTGTAGCCTTCAATCTAGTAGGCAGGCGAGGATTACAACGTGGTTTTAGAAATTGTAGTATTCATCCTAGATATCTCAAAGTACAAGGTGCAATATAATGTCCGTTCATCCACCCAGACAAGCTGTCCATGACTAGCCCGAGCGCGTAGTGCTATAACATGGGTAATACGAGGTTCTCGTAATCCATCCAACATGGTATGGCAGATGGTTTTAGTATATCAAGATGATCAAAAGTCCACGACCGCGCAGCACTCCGCTGGAGTCGTAAGACAGCCGAAACGCCAGAACGCAGGATCAAAAACGGATTAGGGGAATCGAACAGGTAGCTTAGTAAAGCAGTCGCGGCCGTGGCAGGTGTTGTGGCGCAGTGTAGTCGTAACTTGGTCGTTTTCGGCCCGGAGACGCCCGGACAACTTCGGGAATGGTCCAAAAACATCTCCAGGACGTCAAATTTGACTTGTTTCTACCTCTTTCTTACGCAGAAGAAAAGACCGGTGCGTCCGAGGAACCAGAGACATCCGAAGAAGCGAACCAGAGCCAAACCGGCGGTCGCCCAAAGGAGGGCCTGGAAGAAGTGGGCAGTTCGGGTGGTAGCGGTTGACTAGAGCATGTTAGCATTGGTATTTTACAGGATATGATGCCCAGATATATTGGTATACTTACCGACAAACCAAAACGGTCGAAGCTGTCCTGAGTGACAATAACAGCGAGCAGAACGTTGGAACCGATCCAGAGCGTACACAGGTGAGTACGGAAAGCCTTGTAGGAATCTTCCAGGGTCTTCTCGTTGCCCTCAACGGGAGGAACGTAAGGAGCCAGAGCACGCTTGACGGTAGCCTCGAACTGTGAGTCGATGTCGGCTTGTGGCAGATCCGGTTCCTCGATGACCGTAGTCTTTCCGTCGGCGCCCTTTTCTGTCTTGGCTGAGGGGAGAGCTTCAGCCTTGTCGGAACCTTTTGTACCCCAAGAAACATCGTGCCAGTTGGAGAAAGCGTAGACGTTGAGGATGTTGACGTAGGACGACATGATCAGGAGGTACTGAGGGAACGATGTGAACATGTGCCATGGGTCCATGTACAGGAACGACGCAACGTAGTAGAGACCGAAGGTAGCCGCAAGCGCAATGATGATGATACCGACACCACTCGATGAGAAGAAGGATTCAGCAAATGCGGACGCAGACGAGGTATCGAGCTTCTCCGAAGACGGGTTCGTGAACGCCTGGACGACCAGGTAGATGGACAGAATGACGATGTAGAACTGGATCAATCCGAAAACGGTAAAAGAGATCAGGTAAGACCAGATGGAACCCTTAGGACGGTTACCGAAGGCCAAAATGAACTGGAGACCGAGGAAAGCCAGGTAGAGGTATGTGACGACAGTGTTGAAGATGGGAGTAACAGTGTTTCCGAAAGGCCAAGCATCCCGTTGATCCGTCTTTGTACCGACAAGACTCATGATAACAACGGTCGTAAGGTAGAAGGAAGCCATAGAAAACCAAGCGAGGATAGTGTTGCAGGTCGTGTAGATCATCTGGATGTGGAGGAAGAACATGCGGACAATGTTGTGGCCAGACTTGTACATGCGCCCAAAGTGGAGAAGCGAGTAGATACCGGCAGCGAAGGAACCGTTGAGCCAACGACGACGCTGACCGATGAATTCGGCAACACCTTCGGGCACATCAGTCTCACCCTTGGAGGCCTTGACGTAGGTAAGATGCCACTTAGAACCAGCCTTGGCAACCAGTTCGAAACAGAGAATACGATCTTCGGCCAAGAACATGTTCTTCTTGAAAATGTTCATGCCCTCAATACCCTTCTTTCCGAGGATCTTGGCCAAGGTGTGGTCACCGTGGAAGTACTGCTCGAGCGGGCGTCCCATGATGGCGCGGTAACGGTAAGCAGAAAAAGCACCGGGCAACACAGAGACGTATCCGAAAGACGATTCCAGCGGCTTGTCGAGAATGTTACTGATCTTGTACTCGAAGTTCTGGGAGGCAACGAGCGGGTTGAGCAGGTTCTTCCAGCCCTTACCCAGCATGGCGTGGATTTCACCACAAGCGCCACCGAGGTCCTTGTCGTTGTAGAAAGCCTCCCAGAGAGCGAGCAGGGACTTGGGGCCGGGCTTGGTACCAGCATCGAGCAGAATGCAGACTTCGGGATTCAGAATGCGACCAATAGCAGTGAACAGCCACCTGTGAGAGTTGATCTTCTTGGTGTTCTTCTGCTTTAAGCAGAACATCATCTGGACGGGAGGAAGCGTGCTGGAGCTGTCATCGTGGGGACGGATGAGCTGCTGGTTGGGCGTAACGGACAACTGAGTAGTGTATTCGAACTGGGCTTTGTTAGAATCACTTAAACATTGCAACCTAGTCGCGACTTACGATGTGAGCAACGGTCTCGTTACCGTCAATGTCCTTCTTCATGACACCATCCTGGTAGATACCGATGGTAGCAAGCAGATCGAGCGTGCCCTTGTCGCAGGGGTCGATACCGTCGAAAACCAAGCAGACAACGATCTTCTGCCAGGCTGGCCCTCCCTTGTTCCAGAACTCGGACTTCTTCAGGTTGACGATGTCGCGGATGTTCTGCATAACACCGTGCAGAGTACGGGCGGTGAGCACCTTGTCTTCGTTGTAGTATGTCACAGCAATCAAAAGCTCAGTGTGGCGGTTGTACATGGCCGGCCGCAGATTGTAGCCATTCTTCAGGGTGAAGTCGTTGGGGTCACATGTCGCGGCCGTATCTGGCAGCAGTCAGCGTCGCATCCACAAAACGCACGAATATTATCACCTACAGCGCATGTGTGTGAACTCCTCACTGCCGCTCTCGAGGTCATTGCGGTACTTTGCCTGGATGGCGTTCTGGATAGCAGAGGGCACGGGGTAGTCTGCCGACAAAACGGAGCCCTGCACGAGCTTGACCTTACGGGTCATACCACGCTTGAGGCCACCGGCGGCAGCGACGGCACCACCAGGCTGCTGGCGCTGTCGCCAGGCCTCGGTCGAGCTGGTCTCGCTCCTCTGGTATGGGGAAGGCGCCCTGTGGGGAGCGCCAAACTCAGCAGCAGGCTCATAGCCGCCGGTCGCCGAGTAGACGTCAGACCCGCCGTGGGCCTCGCCAGGGTACTGTGTCGGGCGGTCGGTGGCATATGTCTCCGTCAGACTGTAGGTCGAGTTTGGGCGGTTCTCAGGGTGGCCGTAGAAGGGGTCCTGGTGGGTGCCTGCCGCATTCTCGTGCAGGAGAGAGCGACCGACCTCGTCCTCATCGTGCCTGCCGGGAGTGTACTGAGCTCATCGTTAGTATCCACCATCTACCATCTCGACTGTGCACATTGTGCAGGCGCAAGGGGCTGCCACGCACTTCGTTGTTATGGGCCTCCCCATAGTTTTGCTGGTTGTACGCCATGACGTGCAGCGGTCGAGGGGCTGGCACTACGTATGGCGAGGGTCCAGTGGATCTTTGGTGTTGTGATGATGAGTGCAAATGGAAAACGAAGGAAACAGCGCACAGCTGGGGTGATAAAGGGCAGGAATGTCTGGCACAGCTTTCAATTCTCCTCAGCTCGACATGAGCGACAGCGCCTCGTGCCCTTTGGGTCTAGCGCCTGACGCTAAGCAGCGCCCGGGGTGTGAAACGAGACGAGGAATGGCGAACTACCTTGTTTTACAATGCGGGTGGCCCAGTCCTTCATCAGATTGTGAGCGTACAGTACCGCCGAACCCTGTAGACGCCTTCTTGAAGCAGTTGGGATTGTCTTCACCTGCAAGAAGGGCAGCCAAAGCCTGCTGGCACTCGTTGTACGGCGAAAAAGTACACACGACCATCCTCGTAGGCTGTTGCGCTAGGACGCCATTGCGGCCTCTAAAATTAGAGATGCGCCTGCACACCCCAACGCCTTATTCCAGCGCCGCTGACTGGCACTGCTCAGCCTCACTACCACCACGAGAGACAACCGTGACGACCTCCTCGCTCTGCCCGGCGGTATTGAATCTATTCCCGAAGTGCGTTCCTGCATCCGCCACTTGGAGAGGCTCACCGCCCCCAACGGCAGGTTACTACTGCGCCGCTTGGTGCTTTGGTGCACTTTGTTTGCATGCACCGGCGAGCCACTTTGTTGGATTGGCCGTTGCGCGTCCCTTCATGCTCCATCAAGCTAGACGTCGCCCTGTCAACGTCAGCAAACACGCCGGTAAAAGACAAGCAACATCCCCGTGCACATCCCTTCAAGGCTGTAGACAGCGGCTCTTCCTCGTGGAATTGTACCCTCACGACATGCAGTCTTACTGTGTATTTGCATCGTAGTCAGCAAGCCTTGGGGGCCTCAGCCCTAGCTGTTATTGAGCCCCGCCGCACTGCTGCGTTGGCATCAAATCTCACTTCTCTCGCCCATGCTTTCATGAGGGAGTAGCAGGGACCACCCAGAAATTAAGCTCTCCTTTTCGATGAAGTGGGTCCCGCGGCCTCTGGATCTTTCACCGTTGGGCCACCCGCGTAGCCGCGATAGAGACCCTTTATCTGTCAAGATAAAGTTAGGAGTTGCCCTCCGAAGCATTTTGGATGTCAAAGTGAACTTCATGCAAAATGTGATGGCCATCAGTGCGATACGAGTACGACCGATCGACGATACTAACGCCACTAACGAAAATGTGAAGTTACATTGATGTGCAAGGCTTGCAACAATGGTCATCGCAGACCACTTTACTACCTGAAAATGTCCCGAACTTACTGCGAGCTTGAAAGATTGATACACCAACAAGAGCCTCTAAGTGCATCTATTTAACATAGACGATTGCGTTTGTAAAGGCTTTTCTCCCGCATGGCACTGCCCGTAGTGCTGTGATGGCGGGGATGGCGCCAGCTTGTACCTCCAAAACTGCGTCATCAGCCTCAACAAACAACCACCATCCTGAAAGCCACATACAGAAATTACTCACACACCGCAACCTAGATCCTATGTATTATTCGACTGAGACTCCGATTGACATTCCTGTATGCCGTTACAGCCATTAAGTGTCTCAAAGCTTTAGGTTTCCCTGACCACGTTTTAGACACGCTCAAGGGTCTCACCATAGTTCTCAGCATAGCCGAAGTATCGATTCAAGCTTTCGCATACTGCCGTCATCCGACCCAAACCTACCTCTGGAAGTATTCCCATGGCTTCAGCCGCCAATCTGTCAGCCTTGCCAAAGTCGAAGGCGCATACGGAAAATGGTCCCACAGCCACCACTAAGCCCTCAGAAGAAGCTGGAGCCGCTTACCACAACGAAATCACAATACAGGACAACCCATATTTCGAACATCCAGATCAACTAGAATCAACTGGACCAAAATACAACAAAAACATCGAGGACCTCGTGATTGTCTGCTGTCATGCCATCTTCCACCCTAACGTCGAAGCTCCTGACTTCCCCACACACAACCCTCACGATGAAGGCAACTGGCACCTAGCGCCTTTCCAGAAGTCAGATCCAGCAACGGGCAAGCCTGGCGAGCATCAGACGTTTCTAGCGCATATCCAAGCCAGCCTCGACATCGTGACTACTGGGACCAACGCCACCTGGAAGGAAGACGTGCCGTGGAACCAAGACAGCACCATTCTCGTATTCAGCGGTGGCGCTACGAAACGGAATCTCACATCAATTAGTGAAGCTCGCTCCTACTACCATGCAGCGCTAGCTCAAGAGCTCGGTCAAGGCCACATCGGTGGTGGCCGTGCCCACCAACTTTACAGCAAGGGACGGATATTGCTTGAAGAACGCGCTACCGACTCCCTCCAGAACCTACTGTTCAGTATCCTATTATTTCGGCAGACAATTGGGCGGTATCCTAGAAACATCCGTGTTATCACACATGCATTCAAGTCGAAACGCTTTCTTGAACTGCATGCTCCTGCGATTCACTGGCCCAAAGACCGAATACAAGTCCAAGGCATCGATCCAGTCATGTCCAGTGCTGAGATCAAGAGTACGTTGGAAGGAGAAGAGAAGTTCGGATACGCTCCCTGGACGCAAGACCCACTGGGGACTGGGGAGGTACTCGGTGGGAAGAGGAAACAGCGGGGATGGCACGAAGAGCAGGCGAAAGATCTCACAGAGGGGCTAGAAGAGAGCGTCAAGAAGCTGCTTGATGGAAAAGTATCTGAGGGGCTACCTTGGGCGCACCTGCCAAAGCGAGAAGTAAAGGCTTCGACTGGACCACCGCCTCTCCGCTACTAGTTGCAGCGATAACTTCTAATCTCGTGGTGCAAGTCCGCAAAGCACAACATCGTCTCCCAATGGCACCCATCTCACATCTTTCAGCCTTGCAACTGGTACCTTCGCTCCATTCTCAACTCGCTCCTTAGGGCAGACCTGCACACCTCCCTGGCCCAGCCATGTCGGCGCTATCGTGACAATGACTGTGTCAACGAACCTGATATTCCGCGGGGAGAGCAGATCGTTGATAACAGCGCCACCGCCCTCAATCATCGCACTCTCAATATCCCTCCTCTCGAGCTCATCGAGAATGTACCCCCACGATAACCGCCGTGTCGAAGGTTGTGGACCCGCTACGATGACCTGACCTCCGACACTCTCCAGCAACTCTCTCCTCTCATCATCGATCGGAGCCATTGTGAATATCCATGGCGCCTTTCCCTTTCCCCCTCTTGCTAGCTTCAACACCTTACACTCCGCAGTAAATCGCCAGCGTCCTCTCGGATCAATAACGACCGGCCTAGGCTGCCCCTGCAGGCCCTCACCACCATAGCCGCCCACGCCTTCGAAACGGCAGTTTAGGGATGGATTGTCTGCTTCGGCGGTGCCAACACCTATGAGAATGGCATCATGTTTGGAACGCAGATAGTGTGTCATAGCCTTGGATTCAGGGCCGGATAATGCTGTTTGTGCACCGGGTACGAGAGAGAGCTGGCTGTCTAGGGATGTTGCGAATGTCAAGGTGACATGCGGTCGCCCATATGGCTTGTTGGGGTGTCGCACTCCGGGTTTGGGGATGTACGGGTCGATCTGGGAGATTGAGAGTTGGGGGAAGTGGAGGGCTTCTCGTACTGGAGCCGCCATATTGAAGGTGGAAAAGCAATGGACTGCTATCGGTCAGATAAATGGTGCCTAAGTACTCATACAAGCACACGCCGAACCAAAACCGGTGCTGATCTTGGAGTCACTAGTGGCAAGGCGTAATGCAGTTGCGGGCAAGATGTGTACAAAAGTTGCTACTTGAAGTCAGTGCTATATAGACGCTATGAATGCCAACATGATGTGCACCTTTTCCTCTGAGTTTAGTTGTTCCTTTCGACAACTGCAACGGAGCCTCACTCTCGTGACGAAGGTTGTGCGTTGTGCAGAGCTGACCAAACAACAGGCACCCACGGCAGAATTCCGGCTGCCCCCACATTGAGCATGGTGGCACGCCTCCGACAGCGAGAACTACCTTTCTATCGCAGGTGGAAAGTACAAGTCGTTTTTGCTTTCTTGATCCTCCACTTCCTTCTCTACCTCTACATTTGCACCACTTTTCGAAGTGTCAAGTGCTTTCGCCGCTGAGCCATCGAATCGAGCTTCACCGCGCCGCTTGCTGCCCGCTGTTCGCCCCACCACCCGACTCACTGCGCCCAACGCGACTTTCGCAATCGCCCTCCTCTCACACGCGACCTCAAACGTCTTTCCCAACTTCGGACGTCTGCCTAAACAATACCGCCAAGATGATGAAAATATGGTCCATGGTACGTCATAGTGCCTTGCAGCGCATCCCGCGCCAGAGCTGTCAGGCACAGGCCGCTGACAGTTATACAGAAGAAGAAGCAGGCGGAAGATGACGCCGCAGCCGCAGCGACAAGCAAGAAGAAGAAGGTCACACCCGCCCAGCTGCGCGCCCAGAAAGGTAGTCCACCCTGCACCCTCCTCTCCATACTCTCACGCGCATACTGACACGGCTACAGATCTTGAAGAGCTCTCTCTCGGCACAACCATGAAGACACATTTCCCCAACCCCGACGACATCCTGAATTTCACACTCACCATCGACCCCGACGAGGGCATGTACAAAGGCGGCCGCTTCAACTTCAGTTTCGCCATCAACCAGAACTTCCCCCACGACCCACCAAAAGTGAAGTGCACGCAGAAGATCTACCACCCCAACATCGACCTCGAGGGCAACGTGTGCCTGAACATTTTGCGCGAGGACTGGAAACCCGTGCTGAACCTGAACGCGGTAGTTGTCGGGCTGCAGTTCCTATTCCTCGAGCCGAACGCAAGCGACCCGCTGAACAAGGAGGCGGCAGAGGATCTGAAGGTCAACAGGGAAGGGTTCAAGAGGAATGTTAGGAGTAGTTTGGGTGGAGGGACGGTGCGGGGACAGAGTTTCGATCGCGTGCTCAAGTGAGTGGCTGATCGAGCTGTCGACTGGCACGAGAAAGACAATCATGAGCAGAGAGCAATTCGCGGCTCTGTGTCATGTTCGGCGGAAGTGACATTGGCACACTCATATGTGCTTATGCATGCGCTGACATGAAGGAGGATGGATGGATGGACGTTGATGGGTCACACAACATACTACGACTTTAGAGCGAGCATCTAAGAATCGGCATACTTTCGAGCGCGGCGTTGATTTGTAGGTTGCTTTGCGAATGGAAACGAACACCACAACGAGACATTTTGTTGTGCGCATATTTGACATGACGCCGTTTATCTAACAAGCAGCTTGGACGAACACGGTACGATACTGCGAGAGACCAGGAGCATCAACGAGTCAGATGCCCCCGGAGGACGCCGTTGGATATGTGCTGTCAACTGTCGTGGCTTGTCGCCGTTGTATTCACATCGTGCCTTGTGGTCATCAATGGCTGTAAAAATTCTGTACTCTTTCGTAGATGCACCACAATGTATAAATCGTGCAAAGAATTGACAGCGTCGGGCGTGTTCTACTCTCCAACTTGGCATTTCTGACATGATTTCTTGACCGATACACAGCTCATCGTCTCTTCGTGCTAAAGTTCCAGCCATCGCAGTACGTGAGCGGCCGTGCTTTATGACGCAACTGGGGAAAAACTCTGGCAGTTTGTCGATCTTGAGTGGATGCCTGACGTTATTGGCTCTGTAGACGTCGAGAGAGCGCAATTGAGGTTCTGAAGATGTCGTGAGGAAAGCCTCCAATCAATGACTGCGTGTTCGGACAATTGGCAATGCTCCTGCACAAGTCCAGACATGCGTGACTGTGATGTGCGGCCCCAGTTTATGGAGCATGCGGCGAGCTGATTGGCTTCGGGGAGGATTCTGCATCTCCGATTGCATGCTCCAGCCCCGAGTTCGGCTGGAGCTTGGACAGAAAATCGACTCCACACAGCAGCCAGACGTCTCCCATAAAGAGTTGATTACCCCCATACTTCTCCCATCAAGATACCCTCACACACTCTTCGCACAATCACAATGGCCTCAAGACAAGCTCCCCGTGCTCTCCGTAACGCCGCCAGGCAATTAGCTGTCGCTCCTGCCCAGAAGCGCACCTTTGTCTCGGCCATCAATGCTGCTTCCCGCACAGCTGCCCCCAAGGCTGCTGTCTCTACCCAGTTTCAGCAGACCCGTGGCATTAAGACCATTGACTTCGCTGGCACCAAGGAGACCGTCTACGGTAGGATCTGAAGCCATTGAGCGGGCTGGAACGAGAGCTAACAGAAACAACAGAGCGCGCCGACTGGCCCAAGGAGAAGCTTCTTGTGAGTCAACCATGCCTCAATGGCATCAGCTTTGGTCTCAATGGCATCGTGGGCTAACAATCGAGTAGGAGTACTTCAAGAACGACACCCTCGCCCTCATCGGCTACGGCTCCCAGGGTCACGGCCAGGGTCTTAACCTCCGTGACAACGGCCTGAACGTCATCGTCGGTGTACGAAAGGGCGGTGCCTCGTGGAAGGACGCCGAGCAGGATGGCTGGGTCCCCGGCAAGAACCTGTTCGACATTGACGAGGCCATTGGCAAGTCCACCATTGTCATGAACCTCCTCTCCGACGCTGCCCAGTCCGAGACCTGGCCCGCGATCAAGCCCCAGCTCAAGGGCAAGGTAAGACTTCATCTACCCCATTGAGACTGCGAACGTGTGCTGACTGCCATAGACTCTCTACTTCTCCCACGGCTTCTCCCCCGTCTTCAAGGACCTCACCAAGGTCGAGGTTCCCACCGACATTGACGTCATTCTCGTCGCCCCCAAGGGCTCCGGCCGCACCGTCCGCACTCTCTTCCGTGAGGGCCGCGGTATCAACTCCTCCGTCGCCGTCTACCAGGACGTCACCGGCAAGGCCGAGGAGAAGGCCATCGCCCTTGGTGTCGCTGTCGGCTCCGGCTACCTCTACAAGACCACCTTCGAGAAGGAGGTCTACTCCGACCTGTACGGTGAGCGCGGCTGCCTGATGGGCGGTATCCACGGCATGTTCCTCGCCCAGTACGAGGTTCTCCGCGAGCGCGGCCACTCTCCCTCTGAGGCCTTCAACGAGACCGTAGAGGAGGCCACCCAGTCCCTCTACCCCTTGATTGGCGCCCACGGCATGGACTACATGTACAACGCCTGCTCCACAACCGCCCGCCGTGGTGCTCTCGACTGGCAGAAGCGCTTCAAGGACGCCCTGAAGCCCGTCTTCAACGACCTCTACACAGCTGTTGCCGACGGCACCGAGACCAAGAGGTCGCTCGAGTACAACAGCCAGCCTGACTACCGCGAGAGGTACGCTGCTGAGCTCAAGGAGATTGATGACCTTGAGATCTGGCGCGCTGGAAAGGCTGTCCGCTCTCTCCGCCCCGAGAACAAATAAGCGTCTCGTCGTAGTGGAGTAGGATGGTGATGTGTAGATATAATGTCTTGTTATCGGATTTTGGATTGCGCTTTGCCCGCGCTTCTCTTCTGGCGCAGGGTTTATGGTCTACAAAAGGAGGGAAAGGAGAACGAGCAAAAGCTAAATGATACCTTACTTTCTTGACAACCACACATTTACATTGCACTCGTGTGACATCGAACCTCTATGATGTGCAGACAATGTTGGACATGTTCGAGGATTCATGATGACATTGCCTCAAGTTGCTTAGTTGTTTGCGCCACCTACCTCCGTAGTGCCAACAGTCTTATTACCTCCGAGTTCCTCTTTCAACCCACTCCCTACACTGTAAAGCTGGAGACACAATTCTCCAAAAAAAATATAGTCTTGTAATCTACTCCGCCCTTCTATTCGCCTGTATTATTGACCCTGTGGTGTCTGCAGCCGTGCAATCGTGTTGAAACATTGCGATAGTCTCGAACTTTTGGCACTACTGCTCCTGCCGCCGGACTAACCAGCATCACTCCTCCTACACGTAATTAACGAATCCCGGCAAGGTCCGCCTTGGGACTTGGCTTCAAGACATCCGCAATATTATATGTTCTTCCAAGACGCACTTCTTGCCTACCGAGACGTCGTTTTCGGTCCACTCCTCATCCTCGTCTAAGGAGTCGGTTTCCTTGCCGAGCTTGCGGAGGAGGGTGGTGTGGGATTCCAACTACTCAGGTCAGTTGGGTGTTCTGAAGGTTGTGTAGGAAGGTTACGTGCCTCGATTTTCTCCAGGGCATCGGTTTCGTCGACGGAGGGGATCCTTGGTGTGCTTCAGGGAGGATTTGAGGGCGCTGGTATTGTTGAGCTTGTCGATGAATGCTGTCTTCTCCAACCTCCATAGGTCACCTTGGAGCCTGTCGCTACCTCAGCGAGCCAGCAACTCCGCCTCAAAGCTGATCCGGTCTCGTGCCACGCGATCAGCCCTCGTCTGCTTCAACTCCACCAGCGCAGCTTCCTCTCGCTCAATTTGCACCTATTTCCCTTTAGTCTGACTAAATCCACGCTCGTGTCTCACAATGCCACTTACCGCTAGAGCCTGCATCTCATCCGCACACTTAACCCACAACTTGTACCATTTCTTGGTACCCTCTTCCTCCATGTTCAGGTACTTCTTGGAGGCCAACTCAGTCCTCGCGCGGACGTAGGTTTTGTAGGTTGTTCGATCGGCGACGCGCAAGGTTTCCACCTCGCGTTCTCTCTCCTTGATCTCTTGAGTGAGATCTTGCAGGCGTATGGGGAGCTGTGGAGGTAGTCAGTCATTTGCGCTATGGAGTTTGTATGCTGATGTCGTACTTGGGAGAGATCTGACATGGTAAGGAGGTAAAATGTGGTTGAGAAATCGCTGGTTTGAGGTAGTCGAGAGAGTAGGGCTCCACAGGTTGAGAGAAGAGAGTGCTGTGAAGGCTACAATAGCCGTTGCCTCGAGAAAAGCTCCTTGATGTAACATTACGAACAGCCTCCGTTTGCTCTCAAGCGAAGTAGAGGTGAAAGAGACATTATGCGATGGTGAGGACGAGGGAAGTGAAAGTTAGAATACATATTACAAGGTGAAGAGAAGAGAAAGAGTTGTAAGCATTTGGAAACGAGATCTTGTGTAGGGGAGTGACCGACGAAAGTTTACGATTTCGGCATGAGAAGATTCGCCGTGGTTTCCCATCTGCTTGTGTTCATCTTCTGAATGATAGAGTACCACAGACACCCAGAGCGCGGTGTACAGCCTACTTACCTTCTGTTTGCGAGAGGCTCTCAGAAGCGCTCCCCAAATCCTCGTTTGAGGCAAAAGCCAGCGATCCCGGAGCTTGTTACATTTGAGATTATTCATTAGTGTGAATCCAAGTGAAATTACTGTTCGGTACATACTTCAGCTTCATACATTGTCTCCTATGCTCTTCCATCCGGCAGCACATCATACGCTTAGTGCGTACATCGACAGTGTTTTCGAGCGCTCCCTTGTAGGGATTGAACTGTCCTTTGAGAACATTCTCTTCTGTAAAAAGGTTGTCTAGCTCCTTTTCTTTCTGCTTGAATCGCAATTCGAGGATTTCCAATGTTGAAGACGGTGGGGTTTGGTTGGCCATGACTTGATGCTGCTCTGGGGATAGAAATCGACTAGGAGGTTCGAGATTCTTGACAGGTAAGCTGTTGAAAGTCTGCACGCAAAAACTTACCACCAGCGTTCCTTGTTGCGATTGATTGCGATGTTCGCAGACCAAAGGCCACTTCCCCTTGTCAACATTGGGTGTCGTGACTGCCTCTTGCTACAGGCGCAGGAAGGGCAGAAAATACCAGAACAAGGTTGTTCGTACGATGTTGATTGAGGCAGCTGCAGATACAAGAACATACCGCACAAATGTCATAGGTAGCTGATCAAGTGCAGCAAAAAGCAGATATCGGCCTCAGATGTTTGAACGGTACTACAAATCTGACTCTGAAATCTGTTCCAGCAAACTGTACTAGAAAGGAGTGCACTCTCTTCAGTCACGATCTTGCTTCTGGGAAGCTCTCCCGATATCTTCGCTTAGAGCTGCAACTTCACGCGTGACCTTGTCGACAGTAGCCTTGTCCTTGTCAGTCCAACAGTAACCTTTATTACACTTGAAACTTACCCTGAGCTCCATAATTCTATCACGATACTCAAGCGCCGACTCCATAATGGTGATCCGAAACCATCGGTCGGTGACTGTGTCTTTCATATCCATGACTGTGTTGAACTCGGCCTCTAGAGTGCTGCAGGTTGTGCTGATGTTCGCGAGCTCCTGTTTCTTGTCCATGGCGCGCTTTATGAACGCTTCCTTGTCCTCGGGTGATAGCTTGAGCGTGGTAGTCTGTGCGGGAATGGCAGAAGTATTGCCGTCGGCCATGTTGCGATTCTGCATGCGATGCAGCGTGTATCGAAGGTTGTCTATACCGGCAAAGATTGTAATCGCATTTCATGAGCTTGTCAGCTTGACGCTGGTGATTGATGTCACTTTTTTGGATGAACAGTAGAGTTGAGGTAGGAGCATTTATTCATGGAAGTAAGGCGCACTACAGTTTTCGTGCACGGGCTGCACGCCATCGGTCAATGCACGAGGTAATCCGCATCTCAACACCACAAAAGTGATACTCCACATCAACGTACAGTAGTCACTATATAGTAAAAATTAATTCTAAGTATCTACAGACCTATGCAACAGTTTTGGCACCTTTAGTCAATACTTCTGAGTTGCGATGCGGCCACTACGCGTCGTGTGAGTGCAAGGTGCAGGTGCAGGCTCCTCCACAACAACACCACGCCACGCATCCCCAGAACAAGCTTTTTTTGTACGGGCTTTTGGAGGAGGCTTCTGTGAAGCTTTGCGCTTACCTAATTGGGATAATTGTATAGATTTTGCAGCGGCGCGCTCCTCTTTCCTGCGTTTTACAGCCTCAGCTTTCTCCTCACGCAAGGCCTTGTTCCTTGCGATGCGCTCTTCTCGCTCAACACGCCGTTGCTCTTTATCCTGTTCATCCTGCAGCTTCTTAGCGAGTTGTTCTTGCTTATCCTTTGCTTTTTGAGCAGCTTCTTGAAGCTTTGTGTGTCGCTTGGCCTTCCATTTGGCACGGGCGACGCGTACTTTGCCTGGGGAGTATAGGGTGGCTTCGCTCTTCGATTTCTTCTGCTGCTCCATCGGGAGAGTATGACGTGGCTTCTTTGAGGATCCTAGTGAGATAATTGTACTACGGAGTCCTTTGACTTCAGCTGAAAGTACTGAGACTTGAGCACTCATGTGGTGGAGCGAGCGCCGCAGCTTCTTTGCACCTTCAGCGTCTGGGTCTTTCACCAAATCGTTGAAGACTCGGTCAGCTTCTCGCCACTGATTGCCTGCAAATGGTGAAGGAGTACGCGGCTGTTCTGCAACTGGCTTGCGGAACTTATTGACGACAGAGTCTCTGTTTTGTGGCCAAATTGCTGCGACTTCAAACGCCCGTTGCACCAGCTCAACAGTGAAAACCTCAGTCCAAGACTCGTAAAATAGACGAAAGAAGTCACGCTTCCTTACGCCTGCAAGGCCTTGGCTATAGTGAAGGTGTTGCGTGACGACGTTGCTGTACTTAGAAGCCAGCGGCGAGAATAGCACCACATCGAGCGGCTGAAGCGTGTGAGTACTGTGTGGGGGTAAGACCAGAAGCAGAATTCGATGGCGATCGCAGTACTTGATAAAAGCCATCGTTATATGAGAGCCGTGGCCATCGACAATGAGCAATCGCCACGCACGGCGTGTCTTCTTCTTTGTAAAGCGCTGAAATATTTGCTCCAGCCACGCCAGTCCTACTTGATCATTCGTCCAGCCAGAGGGAGTTGCAGTAACAAAGGCTGAGTGATTTCCTTCTTCAATATCTTCGACCCAGCTGCTTTGTATGGTGTTGGCTTTGCCGGCATAAATGAGACCTGGCGGCAAGACGCTGCCATCGGCGCAGATGCTTGCCAATAACGTCACCCACTCTCTGTTGCCATCCTGCAGCGATTGCTTGTTTTTCTGAAGCTCGTACGCAAACTTTGAGAAGATCCTCTTGCTCTTGGGGAGTACTCCAATCGCGAAGCCCTTCTCATCCATATTGTATGTATGACGTTGTTCGATGCCGAATTCGTGAATTGTGCGGTACAGGAGGTCAAAATAGAGGTCGTACTTCTGTGCAGAATCGGCGTAGTGACGTTGTTTGTCCATGGCGGAGGCCCATTTGTAGAGGAGGGTGTTGGAATGTTCGTCAATGAAGCGCGTAACCCAGCTATCGGAGACTGGCTGACCTGCCATTTCTGCGGCAAAATTTCGTACCATATGCCTTGTAGGTGGCAAGTGACACGCTGTAAGCACTTCTATATACTCACAAAGCTCACGCTCTTGTTGTGGGCTGAGTTTGCGGCGTTCTTCATCTGCAATTGCACGTGGGAGTGTCACGCCTCTGGCGGTGCGCGACACTGTTGATTGCGACAACCCACACTGATCAGCAACTTTCTGGTAGCAAACATTTCCGTCTGAACTCTCTGCACGTGCATCTTCAAGCGCTTCAAAAAGGGACTTCATTTGGTGGAGTTATGGTGTTGAGGAGTTTGGGATGTTTTGGTGTTCGCGTGCACCGAGTGGACGCGTGCAGCCCGTGCACGAAAACTGTAGCGCCTAGCGCGAACATCTACTACCGTCATCATTCCATCTCACAATGCTAGGAAAGGACACCAGACAAAATCCACATCGGATCATACCACACCAAAAAGTCTACATACTGAATGTGCTGGCGTTGCAGGAAAATACGAGCCACCTCAGTGAATCGATGCAACGTAGTGGGTATAGAGGCTAGCGTTACGATCAACTAGGCCGGCTATGAGAGCTTCCCCCAACTCGTTGATCATTTTGATGGTCTCATTGATTTCACTGTGCAGAGAAATGATCCGGGCCTAATTTTCATCAGTTACTGTAAACTCTCAGTTGAATATGGTGGATTCCGTACCCTGAGATCGCGTTGCTTGAGAACGCGGTCGTTGTACTCGTCGACCGCAGTGTTGTGCAGCCCTGAATCTGTGACTGTAGCAATCATAGCATTGATCTGAGTGATCTCATGTTCGAGACTATCGTTGGCGTTCTTGAATTTGTCGAATTCTCTTGACGCTTTCTCCAACGTCTTGCAGAATGCACCCATGCGGATACCTAAGGTAGCGAAATCGTCAGGCCTTGCATCAATCGCGTCCTTCTCGATTGGCGTATCAGTGGTGTTGGATTGGGTGGCAGTGGGCGTGGATGAGGCTGAGTTCATGATCGGTGTCTGGATCTCAAAGTCGACCGTGGAGGAAGTCGCGGTGTTGTTGTGCGAAGAGTTCGCGAGGAAGTACACAAATAGAATTGGAAATAGCTATCTTCACTTCCACTATTCACTAGCGCAAAGATTCACAAGCAGCTAGAGCAAGCACAATCACCCTTTCACCCTACGATCTCTCCCCCACAGCTGTATCAATTTCCTCAAACATCTTCCTAGCCTTACCTCCCGCACCTCGAATTCCTTCTCTCCCAATAAACCTCACCCATTTCGAACCAGCTTTTGACGGCGCTCACGACCCCCGTCATTTCACATAGATAGTTTCTCATAGGTAGCGATGAGGAGATCACGGGTTTCCTTCCGTCCGTCTCTTTCCTCTTTCCTCTTTCATTGCGGCGAGACGGGCTTGCTCCTCGCGGCGACACGCTTTTAGAGAGCGTATCTGCCCGCGGATATCTTCGCTTTGTCAATGCAAGGAGTTGTTGGTAAGGATTTCTTGGTACTGCATAGCGTCGTAATACGTGCGATCATGAAGCGCTGCTGCAGGGTCCTCTGGCGGGCGGCAGCGCGATCGATGCGCAAGCGGCGACTTGGAGATAGGAGGTTCCGCCATGGTCCGCGCTGAGAATCATGTGGCGAAGAGGTTTCTCGGAACTCTCTGCTTTCTGCAGCAAGAATGAGCTGCATAGGTTCTGGGAAGAGGAAGATATCTTCAATGGTGGTTCTTGGCGTTTGTGGTGAGGCTTTTGTAACGCGGAGGGATTCAGAGGATTTATGACTTTATCTTGAAGTATGTGTGATTTGGGAGATTCAATCGAGGGTATGAGACAGATGGAGACCATATTATACACTGTGAAGAATTCAGTATTCATTGTTTGGTTGAAAAATATGAATACCGTGGTTGACATACTGAACAGTCATACGACAGCACCCAACAGAAAATCGACCTTTTCGAAGAAGGGTCGAGATGAAGACAGAGCCCTGGAGGTGTTTCGAATGTTGCACCTCCAACGTGCAATGGGAAGCATTTATGAATTTTAATTGAGTGTTGGGACTGGGACCTGGGATGCACTCAACCAGAAATGCTAAAGTCACGAACAAGAGTTCCAAGAAATTCAATTTCGAACTTCGCAGCTGCTGCTATCAAGATGGAAACGTCTTGGCATTGAACAGATTACTCGTGATTTACAATCATAGCATACTGGAGTAGGTTTGGAGACTACAGTGTATTGAGGTTACATACAATACTCGCGAAAATGTGTGACAAATCTCGATGAGCCACAGCAGTGGACCAGTGATACCCGCCCAATTACTGTTTGTACATCTGAACGACAACCTCATGAATCAACTTTTAGATTGCCATAATGGCGACGCTCGAAAAACAAACACCAGATGGTATAGTGAACATCGAAATTCGCGATACTGCAGAATTTGTCGTAAACGTCGAGCTCTTGGCGGAATGTTTGCCGTACTGTTAATCCATGTGAAGGTCAAGTATTTTGGCGCTGCGGAAGCCATAGTCGTGATGTGAGCTTGGTAGTAGGCTGAAGGTAGTCGCAGTCGTGTGTTGTGAGGGAAGTTGCTCAGAGACAGAGCCATAGCTACTGTGCGGAAGAATCTCACATCCCAACAGTCCTTTTCCATATAGCTCTCATGACACCATTAGTAATTTCCGCAATATCTTCCTTCCTCCGTCGCACTTCCAGGACCTCAGTTTCTTTCTCTTCGAGTAATTTGCTAGCCTGTCTCAAGAGCTTTTGACGATATCTGATGCATTGTGCATCAGTCAGCTTTTGGAGACCTTCAGTGAGAATATCGATATCAGTCTTCAGTTCATCCCTGTCTTTCAGGACGGTGTCGAGTTCGATATGAATTTGCTCAGAGAGCACTTGCGGCTGGCGCAGGAGCGGACTCTGATCCTCGACGATAAACATGGTGATGGAAGTTGAGTGGTAGATGTCGGAAGGTGTGAAATGCGGCTTGAAGGAATTCCGTGTGTCTATAATATGGTATGAGTGGTAGATGAAATGTAAGAAGACAGTATGAAGATGGGTGCTTTTGTATGTAGGGCAGAATTTCGAGGAAACAATACTTTGGTCGCGAGGTTTTTTATGCTTTGGTCGAGACGTTCGGTCACAACAGAAAGTGACCATGTGAGTCAAACAGCTGCCTGTGATGGTTGAAAAAACCCGGTACATTCAGCTACTATGCTCATTCCAGCCTTTGAACCAAAATTGGAAAACCAGCGTGCTGCGATCTGACGCAGTCCTTATATCAATCCTTACAGTTTTTTAGCGCATGAGTGATAAACCTAAGCACGAAGACTATGTACGATTATTGGTAATCAATCTGTGGAAATGTGATCAGTCTGAGTCCAATAAGTAATGCGAGGGTAGCCAGGGGCTGTAGAAGGCACTATCTACTCAGGGATGGTACGACGACAAAGATAGAGTTATACACGGAAAACTGATCCGAAGCTCAGTATGGTTGACATATTGTGGTTGCCAGGTGTTGGTGCCATGGTTGAAAACAGACAGCAACACCCAATGAGAGGCTGGATACGATGTGTGCAATGACAGGTCACAATCAGGGTCCAGGAGCCACTTAAGTTACTAATACCAATTCGTAAAGGGCAAAAATTCATATCGTAAGTCTGCTGCATCGAGCATTTCACGATATTGAGCCATAAAAAATCCGTGGGTATGGTGCCGGACCAGTAGTTGTTCACGCATTTGAGTTATACGATACACAAAGAACGAAACCCCTCATATCCCTCAATTCTACATCCGACCTACGAAGAAACAGTCAAGTTCTGCTTCTCAATAACAATACTCTCAATAGTCCACGTCTTTCCCTCATCACTCGTCTCCATCCCCGAGCTCGTCGCACCCGTAAGAGTCATCGTCTTATCGAAATCTGCATCCGCCTTGTTGAGAACAAGAGTAATGTTGAACCAGCCTGCACATCATTAGCCCCTCACCCCACCTCCTATAAAAGAGGTTACTTACTGTGCGCACCAAGAGTACCGCAGCCATCAGCATAGCACTCAGTTCCCGAGTAGAATACCGCAGGATCCATACCCTTACTATCGCTCTCCTTCGAGATAACACTGCCGGCCAAGCTGATACTCTGGTCGATCATGCCTGTGCTCTCGTTCTGCTCAACAACAAAGTCGAGCGTAGCATTGTCAGGAATCGGAACGTAGGCCTGGCCAATCTGGCCCTGCGGCGTATACGTACTCGCCGCCGCACACCAGTGCTCATCATCCGCACTGCAACCCCAGACCTCGTTGTTGGGGCCCCAGTTCAACAGCGGCTGCACGAAGTTCATATTCAAGACATCGCTGTTGGAAGGGTTGTCCTGCAGCCCGATCCACAGGCTGAGCCAGCGCTCGTCCGCGTTGGTGGTTAGATAGTCGGTTGGGGGCGCGGGTACGGAGAGAGAGTAGGTGGCACGTGTTATGTAGGCGCCATTGGTGGTCGGGCCCAGGTAGAACATGTTGCCGTATTCGTAGTTGGGGTAGATGTCGGCGGCAGAGCTGACGGCAGCCAGGCCAAGGGCGAGAGTGAGGAGGGTAGGACGAGTCATGGTTGGTGATGTTTAAGGGGTTGATGACAGGATGGTTTGAAGGAAAACGAGGGTTGATGAGAAGAGGATGGAGACTGCGCAGCAGTAGTGAATGGATACAAACGAATGTAAGAAGTGCGAAAGGCAGTTAAGGATCAACCTTAGAGGGCATGAAGTTCTTATAAGGGCTCGATGCGGAAGGGTTCATGGAACAAGCTCATCTCGGCGCAGGACAAGCATTGCGTGAGAAGTGGATCCACGCTCATTTAAAACGAAACAAGGAGCGGACAGCGGGCCAAGTAAATTAAGCAACGTCAGAACGTGGGCCAGCGGCTTATAAAGTGGTCACAGCGGCTCGTAAGAACTGATGAAGGGTACGTGGACATGAGGTGATGGTTCTAGCATTTATGTTGGCGTGACTGCTGTTCTTAGAGCACCAGCAGGCGAGCAAAACACGACAACAGCAATATTGCAAATGCAATGCAGGTTATGGATGATGAAATATGATTCTCAGCTACTACCTCTTTTCGTCTCGTCTTCATGCCATATACAAACCTTAACAAACTCGATTAAACACCAACACCGAGTCCAGGTATTCGTAAAATTGATCTCAAAAGGAACATCCATCAGCGGGCATATCTATACCCACAACCATCAAAATGGGAAAACATGCTAACATCGAAGAGGGAGAAGGCCACTGACGTCGTCCGGGGATCGACCGCGCTCGGTGTACACAATCTAGGCCACCTGTCTGTGTAAGAAAAAGGAAATTATCATCGACATACTAAACCGCCTTTACTCTCAGACAGCCTAGTGCTTGGGGCAGCAGCATACATGGGGTCCAGCCTTGATGACCTCGGTGGTCGCTTGGTCCTCGTACTTCTTGAAGTTCTCCATGAACAGGGTGCCTAGCTTCTCGACCTCGCCCTTGAAGTCGGCGGTGCCGTTCCAGCTCTTGGCGGGGTTGAGCAGCTCGTCGGGGACGTTGGGGCAGGTCTTGGGCACGGACAGGTTGAAGGTCTCGTAGGTCTCATACTCGACGTTTGCAAGCTCGCCCGAGTGGATGGCGTCGAGGATCGCGCGGGTGTACTTGAGCGGGCAGCGCTTGCCTGTGATTGTGTTAGCGATAGCACGATTGAACGTTAGACTTCAAAACTTACCACCAGTAGTAGCACCAGCGCCGACCCAACCGGTGTTGAGGAGCCAGGCGTTAGCGCCGTGTTCCTGGATCTTCTCCGCGAGCATCTTGGCGTAGCGCATGGGGTGGAGGGCAAGGAAGGGCTGGGCGAAGCAAGAGGAGAAGGTAGCCTGGGGCTCGGTAACACCCTGCTCGGTACCGGCCATCTTGGAGGTGTAACCGGAGATGAAGTGGTACATGGTCTGCTCGGGGTTGAGCTTGGAGATGGGAGGGAGAACACCGCGGGCGTCGCAGGTAAGGAGGATGATGTTCTTAGGGTGGCTGTCCGACTTGCAGGGGATCTTGGTGTTCTCGATGTATTCGATGGGGTAAGCGCAACGGGTGTTCTCAGTCAGGGTGTCGTCGTCGTAGTCGACAACACGGGTGACGGGGTCGAAGACAACGTTTTCGAGGATCGAACCGAACTTGATGGCGTTGAAAATATCAGGCTCCTTCTCAGCGGAGAGACCAATGGTCTTTGCGTAGCAACCACCCTCGATGTTGAAGACACCCGTGTCGGACCAGCAGTGCTCGTCATCACCGATGAGCGCACGCTTGGGGTCAGCGGACAGAGTGGTCTTGCCGGTACCAGACAGACCGAAGAAGACAGTAACATCGCCGTTCTTGCCCTCGTTGGCGGAGGAGTGAAGAGTGAGGACGTTGTGCTTGACGGGCATTTCATAGAAAAGGACTGTGAAGATACCCTTCTTCATCTCACCGGCGTACTCGGTACCGAGGATAACCATCTCCTTCTCGGCGAAGTTGATGGCAACCGATGTGGCGGAGGTCATACCGCTGGTGTACCTATTGGCGGGGAAAGCACCGCCGTTGTAGATGACATAGTCAGGGTGGAAGTGCTCAAGCTCCTCTCTCGATGGGCGGATCAACATGTTGCGCATAAAGAGGGCGTGGTAGGCGCGAGCGCAGACAACGCGGACGCGTATCCTGTAGCGCTCGTCCCATCCTGCGAAACCATCGACAACGTAGATGCGCTTGCGGGTGTTGAGGTAGTCAATGGCACGCTCACGGTTGATGCGCCAAACCTGCAATGCGATGTTAGCAAGATGCTCGGTGCACACGTGATGGATCTCCCAAACGAAGGGCTGAAATGCGGGGGAGCCGAGCTCTAGCGCCACCACGTGCAAGGGTCTGGGTCAAAAGCCCCAATCGGCTACGTGCCTAGCGCTTATGACGTCTACCGCTGAATTTCACGAGCCATTTTGCTGCAAATTCCAAAAGGATTCGGAAGGGTAACCGGAAGGCTGAGGGGTGCACTTACGTCGGGTTTCATCGGCTTGTTGACAGGACCCCACCAGACTTCGTCTTTCGACGAGTCCTCCTCGACAATACGCTTATCCGAGGGTGAACGGCCGGTCTTCTCACCAGAATATGCTGAGAGAGCGCCAGATGATGTGATGGCAGAACCGGTCTCGTAAACAAGGGCATCTTCGTAAAGTGCGGCCACGGAGGGGTTGGCAATCTAGGTAGTAGTTAGCTCGAAGCTCCAGCTGGTGATAAGGACGACAACATACAATTGCTACACGGTCGTAGTCAATGTGAGCCTTGTCGTGGAGCTCCTCTTCAATCTCAGTGTGCTCCTTCTTCGGCCTGGAAGCTTTTTGTTAGCTGTGCCTGCCTCGACCTCGGCCAATTGACCTGAGCTCGAACGGTAAGGTCACTCACGTAATGCCGGAAGGGTGAAGATTTGTCTTGTTGACTTGGGAAACCATTGTGAATGCGAATGCAGGTACAGAGGAAGAATGGAAATGTGATTGCTGCTGGTGTGACACCTGGTGACGGGCGAAGTCTTGGGTCAAGGGAGCTGGGCTTGCTTTTCAAACCACGGGGTCTGAGACTTCTTTAATAGCGTGACGATATTCCACACTGACGACGTCGCTCACCCTCAGTTTGGATGTGGACCGGGGAGCAGCTAGGCCAGCGCGTGCTGATTGGGCGAATGGTCGCGCACTCGTAGTGCTCGGCTCACAGCTGACGAAAATAACGCGGAGGTGCGCACGAGAGCGCGAAAGACTCGGAACAATCGACCGGCAACTGCATCCAGGAACGCGGCTGCTGGAGCTCGCAGCCCTCGCAGCGAGGCGCTTGAACATGTCTCAGAGACGATGTCTTGAGGTGCACGCATGCAGCCGCAGGTAGTACTCTACTGTGCAACTTGTCCTCCCCACAAACCCTCGCAGCCAAGCACTTTCCAGGGTGCATTACAACAACAGGCGCCGCATTGGCTCAGACTGTCAGCGCTCTTGGGCGCGTCTGGCCGCCCCAGACGGCTGATCGGTTCTACCCCACAACAAGCCTTGCGTCACAAAAAAGGACGCCTGCTGCCGGAAACGGGCCTACGCCACTTCTGAGAGGGGGTCAATGCGTCATGCCTCGATTGGTCGCACCCACAAATACCCCAAATCAATGCACGATTGCTAATGAAATGGAAGAAAACATAGCCCTCGTGATGAGTTTCCGAGGTCCGCGAAGAAATTGTGAAACTGTCGTGAAGCCATGGCGGACCTGAGCAATCACGGGCGCAGGCAATTCGGGGCTCTGCAACCCGAAGGCACCAAGCACCCTTATGCTCAATCACGATGGTCGGTAGGGCTGGACGCAGCAAGGCGGTGCAGATAGCAGCTGTTCCGATTCCAGCTCGTGGGCCAGCGGATCCCTGCGCTCACAGTGGACCGTCACGATTCACAAATCAGCATTTCGGGCCGGCAGACATGCCCTGGTCATCGTGATCGGAACTGTTTGAGGCATTTCGTCAAACAGCACTGCACAACGGCTGCTTCCCCGGGCGCGTGAACTGGAATAGCTTAAGCCGAGATATGGTTGTTTCATAATGCTCGGGCTATTTCTAGAAATGCCGCACGCGTGCTGTTCACGACTCGTGAAGTTGCAGCTCGTGACAGCTGCAGTACGTTCCCGTGGTGTCAGAATGCACAGCCGTTTGAGCCTCATGTCTCCGTGTGAAAGGATAACCTTGAAGCACACCGAGACGTGGTTTCTGTAGTCACACCGCTCTACTATACATTACAGCTACGAGTATCTGCCTGTACACGTGCAATGCATCCGTGCAAACATCGCGAGGCTACCCATTGCGCCTCAACTCCACCACATGCTCCAGACTCACGATGCTCGGAAAGGCACAGATTCGGAGAAGGTATTTCCTGGGGAAGACCAGGAGCGCATATGACAAAGCCCAAGCCCAATTGGGCGGTTCGCTGATGGCTCGGCCGCGGGGCTACGGTTTTACCCGAACTCAGGAACACGATTACGCTACAATTCTATACCGAGCTATTCTGCTTCTTCTTCTTCTTCTTTGCTGCCTTTTCTTTTCTCGCTGAAGGCTTGAACAACGAAATGATCTTGCGCATGCCTCCGAGGTATAGATATGTGCAGATGAAAACGACTGCGAAGTTGAAAAAGATGTAGATCCACATGATGCCTACAACCCGTTAGCAAAATACTTCAAAACAGCAAAGATTACACATACCAAAGTCTCGCCAGATGTACTGTGGGAACACATTGAAACTGGCCGCAAACGCATCACCGGTAGCGAACTGACAGTACCCGCAGGTTCCGTCGGGCTGCGCTTCCACGTACCCGCCTGACTGCTGCGCGAACTGCCCAGCGTACGTCTGACAGTCTTGGCCAGGTGGGGGAGGGAAGATCGCCAGCTCGTTAGTATCGCACCTGATTTCCTGGCCCTGGACAAGCAGGGCGAGGAAGCCTTCGAGGAGGTACTTGAACGGTGTGAGCCAGTACATCCAGGACTGCCAGAAGGTAGGTAGACCGGCGTAGGGGACGACAACACCGCAGAAAGAGACGACTGGAATGTGTTAGTATGAGAGTCGCGCGCGTCGTGCAGGCATGGGTCGGACTTACTGAAGGTGAAGAACAGCGGTACAAGCAGCGATGCCAGCAACTCATTGGGAGCAAAAGCAGCAATTGCTTGACCAAAGCCAAGGTAGAATACTTCAAAAAGCATAACGAAGAGCCAGATACTCGCAGCTGTGTACGTGTCGCGAGGAAACGCAGGTGGGAAGTACCAGCAGCACCAGTATATCGTACCAGCGATGATACGGTATGGGAGCTCACTAAGGATAGCACCCCAGACCCAAGCAGTCCAGGAGTAGACCTTCGCATTGCCTTCTCTCGACTCGTAGATTGAACGAATGTTAATGAACCGCGGCTGCAGTTGCTGGATCAAAGGCGGCGAGATAGTCAGGGTCATGAAGATCGAGAACAATCGGGACTGCATGTCGATCTGTGACTGACCAAGGTTCCAGAAAGTGAAGCCATTGAACAGACCGGTGATGATGTGGAGCATCACAATACCGAGGACGTAGTCCGGATCTCGCCAGATAGCTACAAAGTTGCGATGGACGACTGACATCCACTGTGTTATGTATGGCATGGCATATTGTCGGTCGTCCTTTGCTTCGCCGTTCCGTGATGCAGACTTCCGCTTGGATGCGATATCCTGGATTTCTTTGCCGAGCTTCTGATTCTCCTCAGACTTTGCCCAGACGTCCCCCCAGTCCTGGCCCTTGTAGTCGGGGTTACCAGCGCCAATGGCTTCGAGCATGTACTCAGCAGGATTCTCTTTAGGTTTGCACTTCTTCGCTCCGTTGTGTTCGAGGTACTTGATAAGAGTTTGTGAATCATGACCAAGATCGCCAAAGTAGACTGTGCGCCCTCCGGACTTGAGCAGAAGAAGCTGGTCAAAGTGTTCGAAAAGAACAGCACTCGGCTGATGGATGGTGCAGAGAATGGCTTGGCCGGCATTGGCCAGCTTACGAAGGAAGCGGACGATGTTGAACGCGGCACCAGAGTCAAGTCCAGATGTGGGCTCATCCAGGAACATCAGGAGCTCAGGCTTACTGGCAAGCTCAACACCGATGGTGAGCCTCTTGCGCTGCTCTTGGTTCAAACCGGAACCAGTCGTGCCGATTGCCGCGCCCGCAATATCCCGCATCTCGAGCAAATCGATGATAGTCTCCACATAGTCGTACTTCTCCTGAAGGGGCGTTTCCTTTGGCTGACGCAAACGAGCAGAAAAGCGCAAGGCCTCACGCACTGTACTGGTTGACTCATGAATGTCCATCTGCTCAGCGAAACCTGTTGATCGCTGAAATGAAGATGGCAGCGGCTTGCCGTCCACAAGGAAGTCTCCATGCACCACACCAAAGCGGATGCGCTGCGCCAGAGTGTTCAACAAAGTCGTCTTACCAGCGCCAGAAGCACCCATAAGCGCGGTCAACTTTCCTGGCTTGACATAGCCTTGAACATCCCTGAGCAAGGTGCGTTCGCCCTTCTCATAGGGAATGGTGTAGGTGATGTTCTGGAACGTAAAAATCGTCTCGTTCTTTGCAACGCCACCCAACTTGTCATCAGAGTCCTCGCTTCCAGTCTTCTCATTGACCGCACCAGGCTCGGTCTTGCCTGACTCCTCGTCGCCGGGCTTTTGGGTCTCCATGTCCTTCTCAATAGACTTGGGCACCTGTCCGCGCTTGAAGATGGTGACTGCACCACCACCCTTGTTGGGCTTCTGGCTCTCCATACCGATGGCTGTGAGGCAGACGAAGAAGATGAACATGCCAGTGATAATGCCGAAATTACGCCATAGATGACTACGCGAGTAGCCAAAGGCAGCTTCAGCGTAGTCAGAGCCGGCTACGGTTAGCGAACCTGGTCTGCTTCCTTGTATTGCACAAGACTGGTACTGTTCTTGAGCGCCAGGTATCCCAGGGGCAATGTAGGGCGGCGTGCACTGGATCTCGAGATTGTAGAACTCGTTGACTAGGAGACCTTCGAAGCCGTATTGAATGGGATTGATCCATCGCAGCCAGCTGAACCAAGGATGCATCTTGCTCGGAGGGATCAGGTAGCCTGTGTAGACAACTAGGGCTTGAATGGCGACACCAGTGATGCGCGTGGCGATGTCGAGGGATCCAACAAGCGATCCAATGGCTCGGAAGAACGCGTACATGGTCATGGTGATGATCCACAAGAATAGCAGCGAGACGAAGAACTGCGAAACTGTGCGTTGTAGATTGGCCATGAAGTAGACCACCAGATCGAAGATGACAACCTGGACCAGCACCAGAGGGATATCTACGACGGTCTGAGCGATGGCGTAGGCAGCAGGTCGGTAGAAGGAGAAACTTTTGTGCTTGAGCAGGATCGGGCGACTTTCGAAGGCAGCTGTCAACTCAGCCAAAGCGAGGAGAGCGTTGAATAGCAGCATGAAGAAGATCACACCACCGCGGGGAAAGACGCCTTCGGCAGTGTTGGGGAGATTGAAGAACAAGGAGCCAACAATGAGAGCCTGAAAGAGGATGCCTCCCCACTTGCCACCCAATGACTGGGGATCACCGATCATGACCAGGAACTGGCGCTTGGTGCAAGCCATGACTTGCTTGTGGAAGGGCAGGGTGAAATTCTTCTTTTTGGTTGCCTTTGTCGCAGCAGCGCGGCGGTCTTCCGCCAGACGCTGGGTTTCCTTCTCGAACTCTTCGATCTCAGAAAGGTTGTCCTGGTGTTGTTGGCTGTCAGCAAAAGCTTTGCCAAACTGTGCGCCGGTGCGTGGGAAGCGGTCTTCGTAGCCATCCTTTATGTGCCGCTCATGGTCATCGGTGACTGATGTGAGGAAATCGGCGGTCGTCCAGCGGTCTGGTTGATGGAATCCCAGATTCTTGAAGTAGTCGGCAGCGCGATCAGCAGGACCAAAGTAGCAGCATCGGCCTTCGTGGATCAAAAGGACCTTGTCAAACAAGTCATATAATGACTCGCCAGCCTGGTACAGAGCAACGCTTGTAGAGATGTTGGCCATATTGGTGAGCGATCGCAGACTTTGTACGTATTCCAAAGCTGTAGAAGCGTCCAAACCACGTGTTGAGTTGTCCCAGGATTGTATGGATGCCTTGGTGATCATGGCCTCAGCAATAGAAACACGCTTCTTCTCGCCGCCAGATACACCACGTACAAACTCGTTGCCGACCTTGGTGTCCATCGTGTGCTCGATCCAGAACAGCTTGGTAACGACACGAAGGAACTCCTTGACGTAGTCCGGTCGCGATTCACCTTCCTTGCGCGAGTCCTTTCCGGGTGTTCGAGTCTTCAAAGCAAATTTAATTGTGTCCTTGACTTTCAAAGTGGCATAGTGTAGGTCGTCTTCAGGATTGTAGAGTACTTCACTCCTATACTTCTTGGCCATCTCGTCAGCATCGGTTCCTCCATACTTGACATCGCCCGTGATCTCTTCGTAGCCAAATCGTTGGTTGCCGAGCATCTTCAGAAATGTACTGCATCCACTACCAGGCCGTCCCAGTACGAGAAGCATCTCGCCAGGCTTTATGCATCCTGAGAAGTCGTCGATCAGGGTTCGGACAGGTGGTTTCCCGGCTGCTGCCTTGGGCCCGCGAGTGACGAGGTTCTTGACAAGGCGCACTGGATTCATGAAGAAGTCACCGGCTGAGGGTTGCAGAGCGGCTCCGAGTCCTTGTCCCTTCACAGTAAGATTCTTGAAGACCACGCCAACGTGTCGTGTCTTCTCTTCTTCCGATGCTTCCTGCCGTGTATGTCCGAACATTCTCGACATGAGTCTGTTGATCTCATCCTGTTCCTCGTCAGCGCTCGATGCAGTGGCTTGTGTATCACTCCGCCCAAGGCCATTGCTCTGGCTGGTCCTGCGTCTTGACAATATGCGGAAGAGGTCGTCCTCAGTCATCGGTTTCGACTGTCTTGACTGTAAGGAAGGCCTAGTAGCTGATTTGGTCGCTGCGTAAGTACTAGGCTCCTCAGGCTCGGAATCTGACGAAGAGTCGCTGTGCACTAGGTCTGGTACAATCTCTTCCTCCCGCTTCTCCTTGATCTCTTCGGTGGACTCCTCCTTAGGTTCTGGAACGTGGTTGTCGACAGCGTCTGGAGATGGCACCGCGGTGCTATGGCTTGATGCAGAGAACAGACCAGATCCTCGACCTCCATAGTAGCTTCCGCTCGAAGTGTGCAGTGCACTATTGATGAAGGTTGGGCCGGTAGTGTTGTCATGGTTGGTACTGAGTGCGTTTGGCACTTGAGATTGTGCTTCAATGTGCGATGATTGTAGATTAGATTCTACCGGTGTTTCTACTGGACGTTCAGAGAGGTGCGATGCCGAAGGCGTTGGCTGTTCTTGGAAAGCCATTCAAGGGTTCAGATGTCCCTGCAGGATTCAGTTGCGAGCGTGGTACAGAAGTATCATGAACGTTACCGATTCTAGGACGAGCGACCGTTCAACAACCAATCAGTATGAAGTATTCAAGAAACAAGACAATGGAGCCCTCGAAACGATCCTGTGGAGGTACCTACGATCTCGAGATAGCTGCGGATAGTGAGGATCCCGAAAGGTATATTTATTAGACTTTGTAAGGTCGCACTGGAAAAGCGCTTCTGCGCGTACGAACACGCTGTTACCGCCATTTTGGACGCGTTCAGTTTGTCTCAATGTTCAACTGTTGCAAAATGGTGTCGTCATAGTCGCGTTGTGCCATGCGTCGTGATCGGTGCGCTTGGCCCTCGCGTCGGTGCTTTCAAAGGCCGACGGGCTGTTCAGCCTCCCAAAACTCGATCGATTGGCGCTTTCATGCCTTCAGCCTCAATGCATGTCTCCACCTTCAGGCAAACACGCAAGCTTTGCGGACTGTTAGAGCCCCTTCATCCGTTATCCGATCGATCTTGCACCTTTCCACTGGTTGAGTTGCCCATCACTGAGTCGCAATCTCGACATCGCCCAGAAGATGAGGTCTGATCCTCACAGGGGTGATGACGCTGCCAATGCTTGCCCTCATCCTACAGCGCCTCTTGTGGTGCTTCCATCACCTGTGCATGACGGCGATGCTCCGCGGTGAAGCGGCCAGACCATCAACAAATTCCTTGACGAGTTAATAATTGCGCTTTCTCGATTCATTGCGCGGACAGCTACACTAAGCGCTCACAATCATCGCCGTTATCTCTGAAGTTGTTCACAATTACCACATCCATGAATTTGTCCATGTCACAGGACTTGACTATTAAAAGCCAGCGAGCAACCTCGCAGGGTTGATCTACACAAGGCTCGCAATTGGAACATGGCTCCCAGCAACATATCTGATCGTCCAGGATATAAGAGAATTTGCTGTGCGAGCAGATTAAATTAAAGATCGCCTAGAAGACCTTTTTCAACACTATTTGACCTGCTAATGAGCAGATAGTTCACGAGCGCACGTTACTAAGCATCAGAGACCCCAGGGTTCACAATGCTACACTTGAACTACTGAAAAGCATTAAATAGAAACGTCAAGGTATCGAGGTCTAGCAATCTTTTCCGGGAGTAAGTCGCACGTGCTAACGGGTACAGCGCGTCCAACAGTCAGTATGCCTGTAGTAGTACGGTACGGCTACGGATCACGTGAGGCGTAGGGAAGCAGTGAAGGTGGTCTCCGTAGTCATAGAAGTAACGTAGTGAGCAACCCCTCCGTAGTACTTTGACGACATACTTGAGGATCTATCAAAGGATAAGACTTACCAGGAGTTGATGGATGACCCGTGGTGGTGGTGGCTCAAAGTAGGCCGCGCAAAGTACCCCATCGTCTTCAAAATGGCTTGCAAATTCCTTTCCATCCCATGTGCCAGCTGCGAGTGTGAGCACTGCTTCAGCTCCGCCAAACAAACGATCACGTGTGATTGCAATTCACTCTCAGCGTCAACTGTTGAAGCTCTTCTACCCCAGAAAACTGGCTCAAGCACCTCGACAAAGGCGGCAGACCAGGTGGCAGCTTGTGAAAGATGGGATAGGCAAGACAATGGCTTAGGAGACAAGCCAAGCTATTCATTCTTATGTGTGCACTATACTCAAATGGGAAATCTAGCCGTACTACGACTTACTGAGCGTAAAACATCTACTTTCGATCAATCGGACAGCAACAACACCAAAAATCCACCTGTATCGTACTTATATGAGCTTCATGGTACCGTCTTACTGACTCTTGAACGCGCTGAACGGGTAGAAGAATGAGATAGATGGTGAACGAGAAGTGACAGCAATGAGTGCCCTACTAAACGAATACACGTTAAGGTATTCTCCTGGAGCGAGATCTCAACTATTGCAGGAGCAATAGAAGGAAGAGGAATCCTGAGATTGCACTTCTTTGGTACAATAAAGGCCACGCATGCAGCTAAAACGTGCTCTTGAAACTTCTGAGTATATCTATCACACCTAAGGACAGCAGCTCCAAGCATTCACAAACATATATTCCTTATTCTGAACCCAAAAAGAAGTCCCCTTGGGACAACCTTACTTTTTTTAAGACTATCTCAATGATCTTCCTGTCGTTTCTTCCTCACCCTCAGTCCCGTTGTCCCCGCTATCAGCACCCAACAGACCCCTCTTCCTCAATCACACCTCTAGACACTTTGTGTCTCCACTCCTCCTTGGCGCTACTTCTGTTTTCTTTGCCCCTTTCACACTTTTTGCCTTCCAACCCCTTCTTGCGCAGAAATGCCTCCGGATACTCCCAATCAGGAAAGCGCACATAGATGTCCTCACATCCCTTCTCGAAAGCCTCAGTCTGCGCAGCAAACAGACACTGAACCTTTGCGACCTCGTCACAGGCCTTCGCGCTGTGCGCATGCTTTACGGTCTCCCATTTAACACAGCCAGCCTTCTTTGTTGCGGTACTAGTCGGTCCATACGAGACCCTATTACCCTTACTTAGACTGTTCTGGATTAGCACGTTCCAGAGTCAGTATATAGTCGTCTTCTTCTCACTAGATAGCAACTCAGCGCAGTATTCCATCGACCCGATAGCCCTACGTTATCGTTTACCGTAGCTATCAGTATTCTACAGCGGCCCACGCCGCTACATTCTTGTTATGGTCAGTATGCCTGTCATGGTAACCGGAGGAAGCACGAACCGTTCTAGTCAAGAATGCCTCGTATTTTCGCATGCCTTGTGTCCAGTGTTCGCGGGCCTGGTTGAGCCTATTCTTGAGGATCGCAATTCCCTTGTTCTTTGCGGCGAGCTGCCATTGGATGGCTACGATGGACAACTTGACAGGGAGCTCGGTATCATCGGTCGCGCAGGGCATGATGATGATAGCATACCATAGTTACTGAGTGGAGGTGTAGATGGTATTTGGTGCTTGGGTGGAGACCAAAGCTGCCGGTCTGTGCGTGTGCTCCTTTCACTTGCATCACGTCATCTCAGCTACGGACAAGCTTGGCAGTTTCCAATCCCCATTTTACAGTCTTTCCAACTACTCTCTCACTCCAGCCTTGTGTTCGGTCCTTCTTCTCCATTCTCTCTTTCCACCAATCAACCATTGAAACTCTCTTCTTGATTCCGCCTTTACTCTTTAGTACCAATTCGCTTGTCGTCCTCTCCAACCTCTCGAACACTTTGCTCGCCTTTTCACACTGTGGTTCCCTTCTTCTCCATGAACCACTCCGGTCTCTCCCAGTCAGGATGCACTGCGTAGACTTCCTCAAACGCTTCAGTGAGCTCTGGCGCAGCAAAGTGTTGGTGGATTGCCGTCTTAAGCGCGACCATCTCCTCTGTAAGAATCTCTGGAGGTAGGTTGTCGAAGGATGCCTAGCTCTGTTCATTATCTGCCTGATCTTGATGTCGTCCTAAAACTCATACCTTCATGGCAGTAAACTTGTCGTATTTCACCAACATCGCGATCCATCTGCGCTGAATCTTGGTGCATTTCTTGCCGATCGGCTGCTGCGTGTTGGTTGTTGGTCGCGAAATATTGCCCATTTTGGTCGGGTATGCGAGGTGGTCGTGGTGTAGTTGTAGAGTGTGAGAGAAGAAGTCGTGGCGAGGAGTACGTTGACTTTTATCTGAACCAAAGCTACCTTCACTGCGGGCCTTCAATCGTACCGTTTGCTTATAGTTTCTTTTACCTGGTCAGAATAGATGACTCAGGTAAACAGATGGGACATAAATCCACTTTCGCCCTGAGTAATTCCAGTTTGCCCCTGACCCTAGACCCTTCACTTCTTGTTAGTACCAGCCAAACCCTTCTTTCCCAGAACCACTTCGGTATAGACCAATCAGGATACTTCCTGAAGACCTGCTCAACCTCACCCTTGGTAGGGGTCAACGTCGTATAGGCCTTATAGATCGCAGCCGAAGCCGTAAAGATGTCCTTGCTGCGCTGCTCCGGCTTCAGGCCGCTGATGAACTCGTCGACACTAGCCTAGCTTGAGTAAGATCCTACAAGCTCGTGTCTGGCGTCTTGTTGTAGGGTGCGCACCTTAGTAGCCGTGGCCTCGTTGTGGTCTTGCACTATCTTGCGCCACATGTTCTTTTCCTTAGGGTCATTATCATCGAAGATGATAGTGCGTGTCATGCTGGGGGTAGGGTCATGGTATAAACCGTGCGGGACTGAGCTTGCAAGCGGTTGTGGAGTGTAGGAGGTAAGGCGATTTCGACAAGGTAGAGCAAGCTTTAAATCTAGTTTGTGTTGTCGTATACTGCAGGTTCCTGTTTGTGCCGTTTGCTGCTCTCATCGCTTCCGTTGACGCGCGTTATTGTAGAGCTGTCAGGTTAAAGTTGAAGCAACACCGAGCCAACATTATCGATAGCGCTGCAATGTCGAGGTGAAGTCGACCTTGCGGCCAACACTTGGTTGCAATCTCTACCTGCCTTCAAGCGCCTCTCCTTTTCCCCTCGCCTGAGCCAAACCACAACAACTTTCGAGCCCTCAAGATGTCCGCCACAACATGGACGATTTCGCCGCTCGAGAGACTCTGTATCGAACATGAACTTGCCAACAAGATTGCATTGCTCAACACGCTTTAGGCCACTATCGCGCAACTCCGCGTCGACCTCGACGTTATCAACAACGAGAAGTTGGATGAAGAGTGATTGTTTGTCGATTGCCTCGATCCTGGCGCCTAAGATAAGGTTGACGCAATCGTCCCGCAAGGCTGCTTATCAAAGTACGTGTCCAAAGTATTGCTGCGAAGAATGTGGGATTGAAAAGGCTGAATGGAGTGAAGGACTCCAGGGTACGCTTTCGGTCGCAGGTATAGCTTTCTGGGTGTTTTGTATGCGTACACGCTGCCCAGCTGAGCAGCGTCTACGTCCTTCTTCGCGACTTGTAGAGGTGTTTCAGTGGTAGCTGAAGAAGGTTCTTGAGATCAAGCAAGGATAGTTCGTATTGATGAAGGATGAACAAGAGAAGGTATGCTACCCGCTCAAGCAAACAAAGATATGATTAAGAAAGTATACTAATGATCAAGAACTGGGAAGTCATTAAGGAAGAGTCGTAGCGTCGTGAGTTGCACCATCGTTCACCTCCCCGCGCCCTCAAGCAATACTCGTCATACTGCTCGAGTCATCATCATCGAGACTATACGGATCCGTACCCCTAACAATCGTCATACAAATAGACGGAACATATGTCTCAAGCCAAACATCCAACGTCCCATACCTCTCAAAGCACTCGTCACCATACATCTGCAACACCCACTTATCCTGCGGATCCAGCTGGTCCCACCACTTCATGCGTCCACAATGACGCACCTCCTCGCTGACACGCTCACTAACGATGACATTGTCGACGGGCTCGTTGAGCAGCGTCTGGTAGAGTCCGACGAACCATGGGATATGTAGTTCCCGCCATTGGGGACGGATGTCGTGGAGCAGAGTGGCGGGGAGGTGTGGGAACAGTGCGTATTCGCGATGCTTGGTCAGGGTTTCTTTGGTCATGAAGGTATCAGACGCATACTCTGCACCAAGAGCGGCGGTGATGGCTTCGTCGTTATTCTGAAAGACAGCGCTGAGCTTCTTCGAGATGTGTTCTGGGGTCAGGACGGACCAATTGTACAGGGCCATTTCGTAGTATTTGGTCTCGGCATCAAGATACTCTTGGATGAAGGTGTTGGGATCAGAGGTCATGTTGCGCGCGAGGTTGAGCGCGATCAACGGGTTCTTGACACCCAACCCACCAAACGCTTGCGGCAGATAGACGATAGCTTCGAGCGCGAGGGGTGGGCTTGTACGAACAAAGTCAGAGCGTGCGTGCAGCATGCCTTTGACATGATCAGTGAGGTTATCACCCTCAAAAATAATGTCAAAGATCCGTTTGTAGGCAGTTTTGACAGCCTCCAAGTGCGACTTGCCGAACAATTGGACAAGTGGGCCGAAGAGATGAGAAGCATATGTTCCGACCGTGCTATTCCAGGTGCGTACCCAGTCATACACTGTGGTTTGTGTTGAAAGCTGTTTCTTCACACGATCGGCATAGGCCTCAACCATGGAGCTCTTGACAGTGACAGCGTCCCCTGTGAGCTCCAAGAACCCGATGTCAAGGTGCTCAGGTTGTGTAAGAACATCATCGAAGTCCAACTTGGTGTGCTCCGAGAACACAGATAGCTCCTGCAGAGCTCGGTCATTTTGCTCTTCGGTACCCACAAAGTAGCATCTGGCTCCGAGACGGTATAGGTGTATACCAGTCTTCCTGCTGACAGCTAGCTCGGCGAAGAACATAACTGCCTCGGTGAACAGTAGCTCCAACCCATGGCGTTCTGGAACGCCACAAGCTCGAGTTACGATGCGATCTTGTGTACCACGTACGGAAGGACCGATGTTCAAGCTCGCTGTGAGGGACCGGGCGAAGAACTCGACAAAAATCTCCGGTACTCCCAGAAATTTCAGAATGACGAGAACTGTCTTGTGCGGCAGTGCTGACGCAAGAGAGTGGAAGTCGACCACCGAGCAGCCGAAGCGGCCGTCGAATGCCTTACGAAGTCTGATTTCAGCAGCCAGCGTCTTGATTAGATTGGCTTGAATCACCTCGGTAGGTACAACCTTGGGTCTGCAGCCATCTTGAGTTGGAAGACGAGACATGAAAAAGTCACGCTTGTAAGTCCTTTGCCTTTCCTCGTCCATAGTGCCAAGCATCATCGGTAGCGGTGGCATCGCAACAGGCGGCGGAGGTGGAGGCGCTATCATGGGAAAGCCGGGTGGTGGTGGTGGAGGAGGAGGTGGAGGTGACACAACATGTTCGACGTAGCCTGTCTTACTGCCCTTCTTCTTCTTCTTCAGGCGCACAGGGATACCGTAAACGCCATGCGGAATGACCATAGGTTCCGGAGGCGGCGGCGGCGGTGGCGGTGGCGGAGGAGGAGGGCAATCCGACGAGTCAGAGCACTGTTCTTCAGGAGGTTCAAACGGCATCATCTCAAGGAAGAACTCGCGCTCCTTGTGATTGTTGAGAGAAAGAGTTCGCCTGTCATCCAGCTCAATGTACCGAATGAAGTCCGACAGGCAGTCTTTGAGCTTCTGAGCCCATCCAATAGCCGTACAGTGTAAGAACAGCGTGTCGACGATATCTTCTTCAACAGTAATGTGGTACTGGCCTTCCGCATCGTGACGAGCAGTGACAGGTAGTCCTTTGTCCGCTTGCTTCCAGTTCCAGTCGCGGATTGACTTCATGTTGAGCACACCGAGCAGCTCCTTGATGGCGACTTGGTTTTGTACGTAGCTCCCAAGAGTCTTCTTCTTTTCATCGCTGATAAGGTCGTTCTTGAGCAAGTCCAAGATACACCACTCCAGCTCATATTCCTCGATTTCAGCATCTCCGTCGAGCAAGTCAATGCCATACCGACGCATGGCGTCGCGCAATCGGGACAGGGAGTGACTGTGCAGTCCCATGAGGCTTGTCAGGTATGCTTCGAGCGCCTCGACATCGACGTCCTTAGCAGTAAAAGTTTCGGCCTCAAACTTCTCCCAGAGATTTTCGAGTCCATCCTCAACGACCTCGAAGTCATCGTCGAACGTCACAACATCAAGTCCAGTAGATGATGGTTTGGGGGACGGATTGGCGCCCATGGCTTCTCTCATCAAGTTGAGGTGGAGTGAAGTAGCATTGTAACGGTTCATTCGCTTGTCCAATTTTTCCAGAATCTGCTTCTCGAACTTCAGGAATTTCTCATGCGAGATACAGCTGCCATCTCCGTTCTGCTCGACGCACCGTGCAATAATTGTAAGATCATCATCGTCTTCGAGTTGCGAGTCGAACTGTTGGACAGTCTTCACGAGCGTGGCTATTCTTTCGCGGAGTGTGATATTGGTAGGGCGCGGAGTACCGATGCCATAGCGAGACTTGAAATCTTGTTTCAACTGGTCGAATTGATCGATCTTGAGCTCAGCGACCTCCCTCAACGGCGGAGCGATGGTCATGGGTGTCATTTTGCTCGATACTGAACAGGAATAATATGTTCTGCGAGTGGGTGAGGCATGTTGGAGATATTCGGCGGCTTATAAGCCACCCTCGTGTCGCTGTGTCAGTGGATCCCGTCAGTGGAGGCACGTAGCACGCAGGCTGCTGCACACTGAGCAAGGCAGCGGAGCGATATCAACCTGTCTAGGGAGTCGTAGGAGTGTAAATGGACGCCTTTCGACGCAAAGTCATCTGTCGTGCATGCTGTCGCAAGGCAGGCGTTGGGGGCCAGTTGCCCTTCCAGTGCCTGCTAAGCGAGGCTAGCCAATTGCAGCGCTTCTGCATTCACCCCGCATCACTGACCGGTCAGTTCGTGATACCAACAGTTTCCAGCGAGCTGGAGCTGATGCGCACGTATGCGGTCATCTTTCTTCGTCAGTACAGCTGTTATCCCGCTTCATTGACTGCACGCCTCCGTACTGGTAGCCGAATGTTATTGTATAACATTGAGAGCCTAGTCAAGCAAGAGCAGCTTGGTCATTCGTACTGACGACATATGCTATCGGTGGAACCACTGCTCCAATGTACAAAGCTTGATTGTGAGCGTCTTTGTTTCACGCTCAAAAGCCGACCATCTATATTTGAACAGCAACACGGTTCGTCTGATACTTCTTTGTGCTTGGCAGCAGGATGGTGCAGATAATCGCAATACTGCCAAAGGCAATCGACGTGAACTTCTTTCTGTTAGTACACTATTTATATTCCTCGAATGGTTGGGAACTCACCCAGACATATTTTAGGCTTTGACTGTAAGCCCACTGCACACCTTTCGTCGCACCTGCAACCACTGCAGGTGTGACACCTTCAATTGGTGTATTCGTCAAGTTTGCCGGTGCATTCAGGAAGACTGTAACAAACTCCACAGCGCTCATGACCGGCAAACCCGCTTTGATCGCGTACTCCGCAGCATACTTTGGGATGTTCTGCTCGAGCTTTGTAGCGAACACATTGTAGTAGATCGAGTAGCCGATACTGCCGCCAACAGTGCGGATGCTGAGCGACATCGCCGCTGCAGTAGTGATGAGCGCATCAGGGCAAACGATCATAGCGACAGTGGCAGCAGGCACGAGGACACCACCAATGCCTAGCGAGGCGATGGATCCCAGGCCTACGACCAGCTGCTCGTTCTCTGGGGTCATGACCGCAAGGGAACCTGCGAAACAAGTCATGAGAAGGACGGCAACGAGAAGTACTTCCCTTGCACGGCCTGGAAACACAGAGAGTGCTGCGTTGAACAGAATGGCACCGATTGCAGTGGTGAAGGCAGGAGGCATTGCGCGGAGACCGATCTTGACTGGGTCGGGCTCGTATACTGACGTGAACGTTATAGGGAAGAAATTGAGGATGCTGCTACGTGTTAGCTCATTACGACAAAGAGCAGGTAAGGAACGACCGGGATGAGAGAATACTCACCTGAAGAAGTTCATGCCAGCTGCAAAAGCCACGACGTAAGCAAGACCAACAATTCGTTGGCCTCTGAACAGCTCGCCGGGAACCATAGGATATGGTGCGAACTTCCACTCCCACACAATCCACGCAGTGATGAGTGCGATGCCGAAAAGAAGAGTGCACAAAATGTATGCACTGCTCCATGCATGGGTGTAGCCGCCAGAGTTGAGGGCGACGAGACTGATCAGGATTAAGGTCGGGGAGAACAAAGTGAGGGAGATAGACTTACAACAGAGTCAAGCCGGTGATGGAGAGAAACCCTCCCATGTAGTCGATTTTCTTCAAGATTGCACGTCGAGAAAAGCCGTCCGCTCGGGTGTGAGCTTTTGGGAAGTACGTGAGGAGTAGACCAATGCCCACGATGCCATTGTAGATTAGCGAAACCCAAGGACCCCACCGCCAGCCGACCGTCAGGTCCCGGTGCGACCATAACTCCACATACAAGAGGTATGGGCAGAAAGGAATAACAAAGGCAGTGACCATAGCCAATGAGTAGCCACGGTATTTGACAGGAACAACTTCTGCGAGGCTGCAGTGACGTTAGTAGGGGTTTGACGTTGTGACAGCTGAGCACCTACCCAGCCAAGCCAGTGAGCTCGCCAATCGCGGCACCCACGCCTGAAAGTGCCATGCCTACGATGGCCTGCCCAAAGTTTTGTGCTGACCCTACAAGAGCACATCCTAGGCAGATACAAAATGTTCCGAACAGAGCGATGTACCGTTTGCCGAATAAGTCTTGAAGGTAGCCAGCATATGGACAAGTGGCAGCGATGGCAAGGATGTTGGCGGTCGGCAACCAGACGATACCACGCGTGATGTTTAAGTCTGCTCCAACAAACGACAGAGAGCCGCCCGCAAAGTAGAGGATGACTTGTGAGCCTGAGGAGTTAATACCCTACTTCCATAGAACACAAGCGTGGAACATACCGGTGTACAGTGCTGCGAGGAAGATTGCCGAAAAGATACTGCGAACGCTCCAAATAACTTTGCCATCAGAATCATCACCTTTCACTGCTGAGGTGTTCTTCATGTCCACACCCGAGAGAGTCTGTTCTTTATGAAGATTCATGGACGAGTCGCTTGTCTCTACATGTTCAACATAGTTGATCTCCTGCTTCTCATGGTCCAGAGTTGGGTTCGACATCATGGGCGATCAGCTTCAACGTAGTGCGACTGTAACAGATAGGAGGGATGTAGGATGGAGAGGTGGAAAAGTTGGGAAGCTGTCGAATCGATGCCTCACATGGGTCGACGACCTCCCTACGATACAATTTATCACCCTGATATTGAAAGCCTTACATGCTCCGGGTAACCTACTCCTGTCAATCCAGACTATGAGACACGCGCTCGACATGCCATCAAAGTCGTGTAGCGTACCGTAGTCCGCATTAGAGGGCCCACTTTATTTGACAAACACAGCGAAAATCCGGGGTAATGGCCTTGGTGACTGCGGGGAAACCGTCCTGGATCCACTACAAATGGTCTCGATCTTCTCGTGACATTTGGATGTCGTTGCTGTAACTGACTCGGATAGAGCGACATCCTACCTGACAGCGACGAGGACTGGGGCTTTTCGGTAAATACATCAATGAACCCCGCAACAAAGTATGAACATGAATCGTGCGGTCGTCAAGGTACCGCCACCATGGACCAGGAGTGGGTGTTGAGAGTTGTGGCTGAATGCTTGTTGGAAAGAGGGGGTGGTCACGGGTTTTCGCGGCCAATCACAATCATCGAGCCTCAACTGCCGTAACTTGCAGCACGAACGGCAGCAGGTTTGCGACAAAGACAAGAGGATTCGTCTTGTGTGAGCTCGCTTGTTGTTTCGATTTGAGCGCCATCTTGGGAGTGCGCGAGCTGTTCTTGCTCAGTTTGGTGTGGTTCAGACACCACTGGCTGTCAATACGCTGTATTGAGCGTGCCCTGGACAGTGTAAAGCTGAGGAACAATTGGCGCTGCGTGTTGATTCGACGGTGTTGTATTACTGTGGCCTGGTACTATATGTTCTTGTAGAGCTGGCGATATCAACGCTGTATAATCCATATTGTGGCTGAAGCAACCAGCATGAAAAGGCTTACGACAACGGAAAGCGTAGCAACGGCAACCGAAGTTGCCTCGTGTTCAGCCTCAGCGGCGATCTTTGGTAATTCAAAATCGCACTTGTGACCCAAGAGGGAATGAACCCCAATGCTTGTTCTGAGGATGTATGTAGCACGCCAGGTCTGAGATAGGCCCCAGCGTTGGTGTGCTTCCGCAGGTGTCACACGTGGCATGGACAGATAGCACTTGCAGTACGGTCGATCAATTAGTGTCGCCCTCCTCAGCGATCAATCCCTCCACGTCTCGCTCCATGAGCCAGCTGCGTACGCTATCCATGACCTTCTCGAGTGTCTGGCCGCCAGCCATCACATCGTCAAGATCGTGTACCGTGGTACCACTCCTGTGATCCGTAACTCTTTGTTGTCCGTAATTGTATGTTCGAATCTTGTCTCCCCGGCCCATCTTGGCTACACCAATTACGCTTCGACGCATTGCCACGATCTCGTCTTCTCGTTTCTCTCTCCGTGCTTGTGCGATACGGGAGCGAAGCAGTGCCCAAGCCTTCTCTTTGTTTTTTGACTGAGATCGCGAGTCTTGCATTGCAACTACTGTGTTTGTGGGTATGTGGGTGAGTCGAACGGCTGATTCGGTTTTGTTGACGTGCTGACCACCGGCTCCACTGGCCCGCATAACCTCCTGCCTGACCTCCTTGATGTCGATGTAGTAATCGCTCTCTGGATCGTCGAAATCCTCTTGAGCTGCCGAATTCTCTTGCAAACTTGGCAAGACGTGCACAGACGCTGCACTCGTATGTGTTCTCCCTTTGGTCTCGGTGGCCGGCACACGCTGGACGCGGTGCACACCTGCTTCGCATCTGAAGACGCCGTATGCATTCTCGGTCTCGACCTCGAAAATGGCTTCCGAAAGCGGTATGCCGGCCTCGCTAGTGCCGTTGATGTTTTCATACTTCAAAACGCTCGTTCGAAGGCCATTGTGGTTGCAGAACGCTTGGTACATGCGAAACAGATCGCCAGCGAAGATGGCAGCCTCTGATCCACCAGCTCCTGGTCGTATTTCGATCAGACATGGCAGGTGGGCGAACGGGTGTACCGGTACGAGGGAGGTGATCAGGCTCTGAGAGGCATTGATGAGGTCGATGCGCGTCTCCCCAAGGTCATCTGCTGCGAGATCTCGTAGTTCAGGATCAGTCGTTGAGTCGTGAATCAGCGAAGTGAGCTCTGTAACAGACTTTAGCCTATATCAGCAACCACATTTCAGACGCATTTCTGAGCTCCACACACTTCATTGGCCTTGTCCCACTTCTCCAATGCCCTCACAATGGAGCTGTATTCGCCCAGCTTCTTCGCTGATTTCGTATCAAAACCATTGGCAAGCTTTTCTGTAAGGGTCTTGTGCTCAAGGGCAATGTTACGAGCTCGTGAGAGAAGGGCAGGCGGTATGGATTCGGAAGCAGCAGCTTGTGGATGTCAACAGGCGCTCAGAATGGAAAGGGCATTGAAATGCATACAGGTTGATTGATGACGTAATTGTCGCCGTATCAATGGTCGTGCAATGCGCGAAAGACAGCTGCGACAGACCCACGGTGTTGTCAGCATAGTTCGGCTTTTGGTGTTGAAGCGTGACGAAAAAGTGCAGGAGCTGACGCGCTTTCCGAATCTCGCAGGGACGCTCGGAACGCTGACACGTGATGGCGTATAACTTTCGTTTGCGCGACCGGAACCTTGTTCACACCAAGCTCAAATCTGTTCCACCACCTTCCTGATTTTGATCTTGATCACGAGTCTCTATCCACAGCGGACACTACGACGGGTCCACACCAGGAATTCCAAGGCAACATGGAACAACGACCTGCGAGATCGGCACTTTCGCCTTTTCCCGACGGCATCGCGTATCTCCGGGTATAACCGTTGACCATATCATGAGCGAACGCTCCCCATACCCCGCATACTCCCTTTCAAACACCACGATATCGAAGCGCTCGAGTCACCAGTTGGAAGGGAATCAGTCAAGAATATCAGTCAACATACCACGAGCACTGACACCCCGAACGAGCATTGTCCAGCCATGTCCAACGTCTACCCCCACCCAGAACCCCAGTTCGTCCACTTTCCCAGTCGACGATCTGTCGTACACAGCACCAAGGGAATTGTATCTTGTACTCAACCTCTCGCGACCGCTGCTGGAATCGACATCCTGAGGAAAGGTGGTAATGCCGCGGTATGACGTAATGCATCTACATCTTGAAGGCAGCGTACTGACTATGACCAGGATGCAGCAGTGGCCGTTGCAGCAGCCATCAATGTCACCGAGCCTGGCTCCACAGGCATCGGTGGTGACATGTTCTGTCTTTACTACAATGCCAAGACCAAGAAGGTTTCTGCCATGAACGGATCTGGTCGATCTGGCTCAGGTGTCACGCTTGAGAAGATTAGGAAAGACCTTAACATCCCGGACGGAGAGAATGGACAGATCCCCATGGACAGTGTACATGCTGCTACAGTACCTGGAGCCGCTGCTGGCTGGGTCGACTGCCATGAGCGCTTCGGCAGTGGGAAAGTGAGCCTTGAGGAGATCCTTGCACCCGCCATCGACCTCGCCGAGAACGGCTTCCCAGTTTCTGAGCTCTCTGCCACATTCGTAAGTATCATTCAGATGACACTGAAGGCCAAAGCTGACGTCTTTGAAGTGGGCGCAAAGTGAATCAGCGCTGAGAAAAGCATCGCCAAATGGTCACGAGATGCTGAAGAAAGATCCATCGGCAAAGGATGGCTGCAGAGCGCCAAAGGCGGGTGAAATCATGAAGAACCCAACTATCGCCAACACTTTCAGGCTCCTTGCAAAGCACGGCAAGAAGGGCTTCTATGAGGGCGAGGTCGCTGAGCAGCTTGTAAAGGTTGTGTCTGATCTTGGTGGCTACATCACCCTAGACGACTTGAAGCACCACGCGGAGACTGGCTCTGAGCCTGTTGAACCTATCTCGCTCAAGTACACTGGCCAAGGTGTCGGCGAGTCTACAAATGGCGGTATCGAGCTCTGGGAACACCCACCAAACGGCCAAGGTATTGTCGCATTGATGGCGCTAGGTATCATACAGGAGCTGGAGAAGCAAGGCAAGATTTCGAAATGGGGTCTGAAGGACCACAACACAGCGCAGCATCTGCACGCCACAATCGACGCCCTCCGTATCGCCTTCTCAGACGCACACTGGTTTGTCACAGATCCAAACGTCGTCAAAGTTCCATCCGCAGAGCTCATCTCGCAAGAGTACCTCGCCGAACGTGCCAAACTGTTCGATCCCAAGAAAGCTGCTGAAGCACCGGTGCACGGTTCGCCCGCTCATCTCCGCAGCGATACCGTCTACTTCTGCTGTACCGACAAAGACGGCAACGGCATCTCATTCATCAACAGCAACTACGGCGGTTTCGGCACAGCCATCATTCCTAAGGGCTGTGGTTTCACTCTCCAGAACCGGGGTGCGAACTTCAATCTTACAAAGGGCCACCCCAACGAGCTTGCACCAAGAAAGCGACCATACCACACCATCATACCCGGTCTGACGACCTACAGTGACGGCAGCTTGCACTCAGTCTACGGTGTTATGGGTGGCTTCATGCAGCCGCAGGGTCATGTCCAGGTCCTGCTGAACCAGGAAGTTTTCAAACTGAACCCACAAGCTGCGCTGGACTCGCCACGTTTCTGCATCGGTGCCGGTATGCCGAGCGCTGATGGCAAGATGACGGATGCGACGATCTACCTGGAAGAAGGTATCGATGCCAAGGTTGTGGAGGAGCTGCGGGCGCTGGGACACAATGTTCAACAGCTGAGTGGATACGGAAGAGGCATGTTTGGTCGTGGTCAGATTATTAGGAGGCATACAGATGATGGACTTACAGTATGGAGCGGTGGCAGTGATCTGCGAGGTGACGGTGCTGCTGTGCCGCTATAGACATGTGTCGGCTCGCTGATATATTTTACGTACATACAACATGCAAGTAAAGTTATGTTCACTTTCTGCAACTCTGATCCACGTGATACTTCGATATCGTGTGTATATAAGCTTGCCTGCATCTTGAAAGACCTTCTTTACATCTCGTACATGTGCCTCCAGCTTTCCAAGTTCTAGACATCAGTGCCCTTGTCGGTTCTCCAAAACCATACCAAGCCCTCATGTTGTGCGAGCATTGGCTTCCAAAGCTCATTGAAATAGTTTGCATGATCGATTCTTCGGTCACATTCTACAATCTCAAAAGGAATAACTCGCTGTTACATGTCCTGAGCTGCTCTGTCCTCGATTTCTGTGGTACCCATCGACTTTTGAGCTCAGCCAAGTTCTCGCAAATGCCACAACAAAGTACGAAAATTAATCGGACGACAAAGTATGGTGCGTCAAAAGTTGTGATCTGGTGGTCGTTTTTAATGACTGCAAATAAATTTGGATTTTTCAAAACGGATGATAGTGACCTCGTGTGAGCAACGTTATCTGATCTTGGCTTCAGCATTGTCTATAAAGTCGCCCACTGTATCAAGACATAATCACTCCGACACCTCTCTTTCCTGAAACTTCACAAAGTTAACACCCAGTCTTTGATGTGACTTCCAAAGCCTGACTCATATTCACATGAACCTCCCGCTCTGCACTTTCTTCAACATAGAAAACTGAAAGCTTACCTCTGATGAAGTTTGTTCTGGTCTCCAATAGACACCAAGAAGTATCACGGCGCGACTTGAAAAGCAGCGAAAGTTCGACCATGGCTGTGGAGTGCTTCGAAGAGCGCAACACCCGAGATCTGCGTTCGCTGGATTCAAAGATACGATCGACAGGCCTTCCTGGATCGAGGAAGTTCTCATGGCTCATCCCTCCGGACCAAGTGCCAATGCTCTGGCTACAACAATGACCGAGGGAGCAGTCTCTGGGACGGCTGAGCCAAAGCAATGTCGAAGGAGATATCACGGTAGCTACCAATTGGATAGCAAGCACCGCAAAGTACTCGGGCTTGGGCTCTTCAAAACAATATCCGGTGTTCTTGACGTGAACAACGGAGTAGGAACAAAACCTGGCATAGGCATGCCCTAGCACTACACTACTATAGACACCTCTCCTTTGTTTCTCTGCACTCTTTTATCGTTTAGCAACTTTGCTTGGAGCATATTAGTGCGTTGCAAAAGTCTGGCACCTGTAGAGACCCCCCCCCCCCCCTTTTGTAACTCCCATCCCTTCCATACTAGAGAAGCTACTGCACCTCTCGTCCTCCATAGTCTCAGACCCACATAGGACGTTAAACCAATCAACCAATCGATCAAACGGAGTAGGAACAAGAATCGAACAAGCTATCATAACCGTTGTGGCCCCCTCAACTCGGTTCACCAGGCTGTTCATGATGTTGAGAATGATTGATGATGTGTGCATGGCGTGCTCAATCCAGTGTATTGGTTTCTTTCAAGTGATACGGCATGATTCCAAGACCTTCGCGGCTTCGGGATTGACGCGTAGCCGAGCAGAATTAAGGGAAGCAGCTGTATGCCCTCCAAGTCCATGGTAGACAAGCTCCGGAATGTAACATGTTGTCGTGCCAAATCTGAGCCGTAATACATGCTGTAGAGGTCTCATGGCATTATGAATGTCTTGAGCGAACATGTCCGCCGAGCCCGGCTGGGTGTAGGCTAGAGATGTATTGCGCATGAAGGAGTCCACCAAGACGCACTTGTATGCACCACGTGACAAGTATCCTAAGCCGTCGCTTCTAAGGCATTCTGCGCACGTGTTGTCGAGGGAGGTAGATACGAATGCGTGCATGCGTAGTTCCAGGCATAGTTGTCAACAATCAAATCAAGTCGAACCCTCTCTTCCCGCGCTTACCCAAGACAGTAGAAGTTAAGCCTATACAAGTAACTGCTAGACTCGAACAGGCAATCAATCAAGTCAAGCTGAGCTCTCTGAGCCCCACTTAATTGATTGTTGACAACTATGGTTCCAGGGACGAACGTACGGTTGAGAGGGCGTCATGGCGCTCTGCAGGAGGGTGCGAGAATAACTCTTACGCCCATCGAGGAGTTGTGGGTTTGCGGGCTTAGCACGTATTCTGTGTTGCAGCTGGCAAGTCCCAACGCGATGTTCCTGAAAGCTTGGGTCTTCAACAAACTCCTCGGAGTCTGGGCATTACCTGCTACATGTTATTTCTGAGGGAAGATAATGAGGTTGCTCGACGTGGAAAAGAGACAGGATATCGCGTCGTCCCAGATGAATAACACGGTAAATGAATCAAGGTCATGTCAGGCTTCGCTGATGCATGAGGTCGCGCGGTCTGCGCGGAGAACATTGCCCCACATTAGTGGATCGCGCTTCACACGCGAACTCCAGCCGAGGCCGCAGGGCCCGCACACAAACTCTGTTAAATTTTCAAAGCGGTATATATTTATTATTTTAAGTTGTTATTTCATCAAAGTCAGTTTGGCCGAGTGGTTATGGCGTGTGACTCAAGCGGCATCAGCAACTCATCTGAGTTCTGATCAGCTTCATCCGTAATAGCGGTTGAGCATTCTCATAGGGTTTCCCTGCAAGGGTTCGAATCCCTTAGCTGACAATATTTCTTTTTTGCTATTTCTTTTTTGTCTTTCTCAAGAAATAGTCATGATTCGTCTGTGCGCAAGGGAGACCTCGAGCAGTGCAAACTCCAAATACCACCTCGTAACTTTCTCGACTTTGCACAAGTCAGGATTCAACGATTACGCTCCGTTGACGCGAAGAGGAACAAAGAACGCAAACGCACTATTGTAGTATATCGATCCTCTCGTCCAGTGAACCGAGGAGGTTGCTCGCACGAATAACATTCCACCCACCCCTAGAGAAGGAAGGATCAACAACATATCTCGAAAGATCCTTTGCGGCTTTCAACATAGTGCCTCAGGAGTAGTAGTAGCGAATGTAGGGTAAAGTGCCTAAAACCGTGCGGGCGGATTTCTCACCTGGTTCTCACGAAAGCCTCATACTTCCCACAACCAACCACATCCATCAGCGGTAGGAGGCAAAACCTAGGCAAAAGTTGCTCGCGCCTTCCAAGACTACGAGCAGTACCTACTTCATGAAACGTTGGTCACCATGACTTACCCCAGTGCTACACGTAGGGAAGAAGGGGATGTAGAGCGAGTGGCTTGCCAGGAACCCACTTGTTCGGGGTACAATTGGAGTTCGCATTTGAGGCTGCGCAATACATCGCTCTCTTGGTGTAGCTACCTGCCTTTAGCTTTCCCGCCCTCTGGCTAAACCCCACCCCCTACCGTAGCTGCGTTTGCTGCGCTCGTTCCAGCCAACAAGAAGACTACCCACTCTCTTCCCGAATTCGATCTATGCCTCCTTTCGTAATGCGGAAGGTTCAGTAAAGGGACAGTCTCTGTGAATTTGTGTGGCTACAGTATCTCACGGGCTCTCGAGAGGGTGAACTGTGCAGACTCAACGCACTCGGCGAAAGAGCTCATGCTCTCCGGAGTTCAGGAAGAGGAAAACAAACAAAAGAGTGCCTCACCATCTCGGTTCGTCAACAGATAGACAAGCGAGTATAGTAATGTTGAGTGTGATTCATGCCAAAAAGGTAGCGCTACGCTATGTACACTGACCGAGCTCCAAACCCATACCCAGTCCTGTATACCAAGTCCCATCGCTAACAGTTATCCAAAATCGAAAGCCGGAACGCCCTTGGGCCAAACGCCATATCCAAAAGTCAATAAGCCATCCACAACACGCCACACACCTTTGTCTATCCAATCGCTATGCGCTATGCAAAGGACGAGTGCCGTACAGAGAAGGAGGTGAAAGAGACCGGGAGAACTGAATGTCGTCACGACTCCTCAATTTCCTCCATCCCCTCTTCTCGGTCTCCCGACGTAATCTGTACCCTCCTCTTAGGCTCCGTCCCCCACAACTCCCTGAGCACGCGATGTTTCTGCGTATCCCTGACCCCCTTCAGAAACCCGTACGTCCGCTCAACCTCCTCGAGCTGACCCTCCAGCCCGAAGGAGTTGCTTTGTGCGCGCTTAATTAGCGGCCCGACCAAATTCCTCCTGGCCTTATCTAGCTGATCCTTGACTGAGTTAATAACCTGAATATGGCTCTTCAACTCGCTCTTATTACTCAACGTCGACGCCCGCACGTCTTTGAGCAGTTTGAGGTTCTTCTCATACTTTGCAATCTTGAGCTTGTTCGTAATGGTGTTGCGCCACATACTTGCCAAGAACTCATCTTTTTTCGTTGCCAAGCTATCTTCTTCTCTCGCAACACTGCGATGCAAGTTATGGAACTGCCTATCCACGCTTTCAAAAAGTCGGAACAGGACATCTGCGCGCGCGAGCTCGTTTTGGATGTTCTCTTCGAGTGTGGAGAGGAGGTAGTCGAATGTGCGCTGCAGGGTTGCGCGGGAGCGTTGTTGGGTTGTGTGGCCGAGGACGTCATTAACGACGCGGCCGAGCGAGGTCGGTGTGCCGTCGGCTTCGAGAGCGCCGAGGAGGGAGAGCGCGCCGTGCACGTTGGAGACGAGGGTGTCGAGTATGCCGATTTTGGGGGACTGGATGGAGGAGAGTTCGCGCCGGGCCCATTCCATGGTGATGAGGATGCTACGGGAGTCAGTGGTGCGTGCGTCGAGTGTTTGGAGGGCTTACGAGTCCATATCGCCGTCAACGTTGGTGAAAAAGGAAGTGATTTTCTCGGACAGCACTTTCAGACTGTCGCCCAGATCGTCCAGCTGGTCGATGATGACTGTCGACGCAGACATGTTCGTCGCCCGCACGCTCTCGCCCAGGTCCTGCACTGCGATACTCGCCTCGGCCAGCTCGCGCGATCGCGGGATCACATTCTCGCTCGCGTACATGAGCGGCTCGAACTGCTTCGCCATGTTCGCGACATTTGCGACATCGGGAACCAAGCTCGTATTCCACGGATGCAGCAGCACCCAGCTCAGTACCACGGTCGCTATCGTCAGTATCACGTTCCGTCTTGTCCGCGTGAACATGCCCATGCCATTCGCAAACGTGGAGAGGGATTCCTCAATGGGCGCAGTGCGGAACAGCGTCTCTCCTCTGATGGCAAAGCGGACGACTGCCAGTGTCAGTGTGAACACCCTGCACAACGCGCAGGCTACATACAGCCGTCCATGGTACTCGCCTCGTCGTGGTGCGACAAGGCCGTTTCATCCACGGGCTCCTCCTTCACGTCTTCCATCGGGCTCTGCATGCGCGAGGCGATGTTCTCGGTCGCATAGCGCTGCTCCTCCGGCTCAGGGCTGCCTTGCGGCGTGTTCTTCATGGGCGACTCGGGGAGCGGTATGCGCGACGGCGTGGTCTCACGGTCGGTGCGGTAGTACGACGGCGACCTGCTGGAGTGCAGTAGCGACCGCCGATGCCACTGGTTGTTGCTCTTCTGCCAGGCGGGCGGCGCCCAGGGACCCTCGCTCTCCTGCTCCGACTCGTCTGCTTCCTGCGGGGGTACGCTCCAGCGCGAAGAGTGCATGTTCGAGCGCGCGCTGTACCCGGACTGTGCGAGGTAGCTGCGCTCCGGGTCAAAGGCTTCGAGCGATGCGCTGAGCGAGGGAATGTCGTGGTCGTAGATGCTGCCGCGCGAGCGCTCCATCGTGTCCATCATGCTGGTATGCGCCGGTGTGCGCTGAGGATGTATCGCGAGGCGGGGAACTGCGGGCTGTGCGAGTACTGTGGTGTCGCAAGATCGAGACTCTGCGCGCGTGGATTGCGCCCGTGACGTGCCTGAGTCGCGACTGCTGCCTAACGGGATCCGCTCGAGTGAAAGAGTGAAAGGGTGCTATTCACTGTAGCGACAGTGCTGTGGAGGAGTGCAGGTCGCCCTCATGGAGCGATAGAGCGATAAGCTAACCCATGTCGCCCGCTGCCGCCAGAGCGAGGGCCAGCACAGATGCCAGGGCTGCAGCGGGGTGAAACGAGGGTGGCTGGGTGTAGTGCAGTGATTGGATGTGCTATTGCGCGACGTAAGGCCTCCCACGGCGGGGAAGGGTCCGCGGCCACTAACCACCACCTGCTCATGCACGTTGACATCTGGATGTCCATGGTACATCACCGCCAGTGATGCGCCGGTGAAGAGACGTAGCGAGCGCAGCGAACAAAGCATCCCCATAGTGCATCGATAGCGCCTTCCATCAGCCAGTTCAGCTTCTCGACAAGCTTTGGGCCTTGCAGAGCACATTTTGGCTAACGATTAGCGATGCAGGTGACATTGTCCCCCACCAACGCTCTGGCCAATCGATGTGCGGGGGGTGGGGCACCGGTATCTGAGCACTCGCAGGGCAAGGCTGCGATGATGCAGTGAGCTGATCAGTCGTGCCTTGCAGCGGGATGGATGTCCGCAGTATGTCGGATATGTGAGGGCCAATGTGCGAATGCGATATTGGAAACGCTCCGATCGTGACGTGTTTTGGGTTTGACTGCATCTTGTGAGGACTTGGGGTTGTTGAGGGGTAGACAGCGACTGCAGTGTTAGGCATCTTAAGGGTGTTGCCAACACATGTAAAAAATCATCACCACCACCACAACGAATAAATTCCGTAGAAAAGCGCATCAAACGACAAAAGAGCATTCGAATTTTATGCTGCAGGTCAAATCACGCGTGCAAAGGTTGTTGTGTTCTAGTTTGGCTACTCGATTTCTGATCAAGCTCTTCTACCCGTGTACATGCAAACGAACGTGGCGGCAAGAGCCAAAACTCGCGAAAAAATGAACAACCGATGTCGGTATGAGTGTCGTAGAATAGAAGGGGACGGACAGTGATTTGTCCCCTCTCCATCGAGGATCTCTGGCCGATATTGCAGCTGTTGGGAATGCCTAGTTGGTAATCGCAAACATACTTGACCGCGTCGTACAGTGTGGCATTATCGCTGGGAGGAGCACGACAGAAAGTTCGGCTTGGCCTTGAACTGGATCTTACGCGCATCGAAGACTTGTTTCTTGATCTTGACAAAGTCCTTGTTGTTGAGGTCTTGGAACGACACATTGATAAGTGCCGGTTGCTGCGCGGGTTCTGGGTTGAGCCCGTAGCTCTGCAGCGCAAGCCTGAACTGCTCCAGATGCTGCTTGACAGCTGTGGGACCTCCCATGATCGTATCACGGTTTCCAGAGTTGATGGCGAGCGTATTCCAGGAAGCGAGAGGCTTTGCCACTAGGCGAAATGGCCTGTCTCCGAACGATCTAGGATCAAGACTCCAAGCACCACCAATGGGCCTAGTACTCTTGGTCCTGTACTGCAGGCCGGGTGCTTGGAGGATGCGTCCGGGTACAGTTAGAAGTTGAGGATCGACCTCGATGCCGAATTCGCTGAGAGCGACGTTGAGGCCATTAGCCACAGGGTTGATCTTGGCGACCTGGGGGCCGTCGTCCCCCGTGATAGACTCAGCGGTTTGATGGGGTCGACGAGCTGCGAACCGGATCATCTCGCTCGTCTGAGGTTCCAGCAGCAGGTGCTTTGCGAGCTGGCCTGGTAAAACTGTACATAACTCAGCAGGAATGCACTTGGAGTCATCCTTCGTGCCATAGTTGGCCACTGGAGCCCGCGCAGCAGAGAGAGTGATGTTGTACGTCTTCTTAACTACTCAGCGATGGACACCCTGGTGCGATTTCCGTCCTTGTCGGTCATGTCGAAGGTGGTATTCGTACTGTTTCTGTTGTAGGGCTAGCTTTCTCAATCACGCCAGGCTCAGCAGGTTCTGGTCGCTTGGTCGCGGTTGAGGAGGCCAGACGTCATTAAAGAAACGTGCATCCTGCATCATTGCGTAGGAGCAGGCAATTTCTCAGTTCCTCACCGGATATCGACGTCGTGTGTATCATTTATTGCTCTGGAATTGGGTCGAGAGGATGCGCAGTTCTTTAGCCTTATGCTGCTCGCCATCGCTATCTCCAATGGAGCAATCCTGCCGCTGACGAAGCTTCTCTATTGGTGTCTTTCAGACGTGATGGCATGCTCGTAGGCACCAGGTGTTTGGCTCTGCTTATCCGCAAGGCTGTGCTTTGGCAGCATGCTTGGATGAATCTACTGGCAATTTCCAGAGTCAAGAATGGCCACAGGATCTTATCAGCGGAGATGCCGTGCCAAATGCAAACATGTAATAGAATGTGTATGATCGCAAAGCCGGTGTTCCTGCTACAATCCAAGATCTTCGGGGTCGAGAAAGTAACAGTGACAACAGCACGTGATCTGTTAGCTCCGCGAAACGGAGGTTACCAGATTTGACATCTCGTCATTTTGAAAGAACGTGTATCGACATTACACAACACCGCCGCCATGCCGCCACGACTGAACGTCAGCGCCTTCTCGCGCTCAATTGCCTTCAGGCCGAAGCCCCAGGTTCAATGGCCTGCTCGCTCTGCACTGCGAGTGGCGCCCTCGCAAACCCGCACCTACGCCGACGACAAGGCCCCTGCCCAAGACCGATCCCACAAGCCCAGCTCCGAGCCCATTGAGCATGTATCAGAGGAGGCAGCGAAGACTGCGCAGATCATGGGCGAGCAGGGCCCGGATGTCAACCAGGGCACACCAGTTGAAGATGTGAGGGCGACTTATGTCAGATCCGATAAACTATGGCTAACAACTGCCAGCTTGTGAAGGGCGACAAGGAAGCGCAGAAGAACCTCCCCAAGGTCATGCAGGATGCGCTTAAGCAGGGCAAGAAGACACCAGCACCCAAGGGCTCGCGCTCCTACTCTACCATGACGACACGGTCGAACGAGGGAATGGACATGGGTCTTGTCGACTTCGAGGCTGTCTCCAAGCTGCCAGTGACTCCTGGGCTGAAGTTTGAGGCGCCGACCCTCCCTCTGCCCAAGGACGGTCACGTCAAGCACCGGTATGACCCCGTTGTTGAGCAAGTCACCAACCTTCTCATGCGACACGGCAAGAAGAGTGTTGCTCAACGTGTACGTCGCTTTCTCCGTGTAGTCTCGAAGTCTACAGTGCTGACAAATACTTTACAGCAAATGGCAGTAGTTCTCCAGCACCTCCGAACTTCACCAATCCCTACCATCAACCCAGCTCGCCCTCTCCTCGCTGGCGCACCGCCACCATCACACCTTCCTTTGAACCCCGTTCTTTACCTCACACTTGCTATCGACTCTGTCGCCCCACTCCTTCGGATTCGCGCAATAAAAGGTGCTGCAGGTGGTGGTATGGCGTTGCAAATGCCAGCTCCTCTCAGCCAGAGGCAGCGAAGAAGGACAGCTATTCAGTGGATCTTAGGCGCTGCTTCGAAGAGGAGGAATACGGGAAGCGGGAAGAACAGTTTGGGACAGCGTGTTGCGCAGGAGATGATCTCTGTCATTGAAGGCAAGAGTGGTGTCTGGGATAGGCGCAATGCTGTTCACAAGCTGGGTGTCGCTGCTCGTGCTAACATTGTTCTGCCTAAGAGGAGATAGAGTTGGTTATGCTGGAGTTCGGAAAACGCTGGATGTCTGCCATTATATGGTGTATCATATTGTAACAAGCAAGCAAGGAGTCAATGCGAGCCAATTCAAACATCTGCATCTCAACACGAAGAAGCTCGCATTTTTTGACGCATTGCTCTCAAAACCACTACTTTTGCGAAGCAACATGACATCGAAACAAGCAAGCAATAGTTTCCAAAACTTGCAGCATACATCATCAGTAAGTCCTGTGACATTTCACAAGGCTTTAGAGATTATTTTACTGCGTTGCTGTGTGTACACTATTCACGCTGGACCATGATATGAAGCGAATACTCGAAGAATACGAGTTCCTTCGTACTGTGCTACAACGTGCTCTGTATAGGTACATGTCTGTGCCATAAATGTCGTGTGCCAGATGCACGATTCATAAATCTGGAGAGCTCCACATGCTCAGCCACACCCTCACTAGCCGCGGGCTCCAGTGTCATCGCCATGACACCTCCCACTCCGACTTGCTTCAAAGACCACAAGATGTGCAGCATGTCGAGCAGACTCACACCGCTGAGTGAAGTTGTGTCCACAGCCGAACCCCACAGCTACCAACGACAACGTCCACATTAATTGAGTGATTTCTACATGAATTCCAGCTGCGAACGTCATTCGCCAAGAAACGAGGCTGGGCATGAGGGGGTCTGTCTCCATCAAACCAAACCTAGACCTACCCACAAGACATCGTGTCGTGCTTACTGTTCCTGCAGTTCCCTTCGTCTTCCGGCTGTTCTTCTTCTCTCCTTCCACATGTCGTCCGCCTCCATCAATCTTCTTGGGAACAATCTCTTCTCAGACAGCGGTTAGAGTTGGCACATTGGACACGGTTCGGCCCGCCATCACATCAGCTCAGCTACGATCTGATCTTTGGAATTACTACCCCACCCATATTGATCCCCAGCCACTCATCACGCGCTCACTCCACACAACGAGCTCCAGACCCGCCTGTCAGAGTGAGGGGTGCATGGGAGCTTCAGACCCTTACCGCGACAGCTCCCTCACACCCGTGACGCCATTGCGACCTGACCAATTGTGATATTCGGTCAACAGTGTCACTATACCCCACAAACACGCCGTGTTTTTGCTACACCACGGTCGCGCACGTACACCGCCAGTTGAAACGACCATCGCTGCCCAACCTCGATACCCCATTCAACACCACCGCTTCGCATCGCCACCATGTCGTCGCTCACAGCTGCCATAGACCAGGAGATGAAGGAGCATCGCGATGCTAGGAAGAACAGTGGAGGTGGTCGCGCTGAGAGTCCTCTGCCTGGAGGCCGTCACCAGAGCCCAACTCCCCGCCACCTCAATATAGACGACGGCCGTGTGCGCAGTACAAGTCGCGGTAGCACTGGTATACCGTTCGCCATGCCAAAAAGCGCGCCTTCCCCGCCTCGTGGCAGCAGGATGTCAGATGCCGCCCCGTACCAATTCAACTCGATTGCGAGCGTATCGCAAGGCGGAAAGAAGGACCTAAAGCCTCGAGCCATGTCCTCTGTGTACGGCACCTCGCCAGGCTTCATTGGCCCAGGCAACCCTAGGGATCGACACAATTCTATGAGTGGCGCCTACAACAGATCAAAGTCTGGATCACCAGCACCTGGTCGTTCTGCATCTCCACGAACACGCGGACCAGTCATCTCTACCTCCGAAGCAATGCGCAAAATGTCCGAATCCGCCATGACCGACTCTGACGGCGAATTCACAGCGCCACCAAGGCGGAAAGCTTCGGATCCCTCCAAGGGAACCACATCCGCGCCAGGCGGCGGCGTTCGACTGACTACCGATGACGACGGCGACGAAGGTGGTGAAGACAGCGCTGCTGTAGAAAGCAGCGACAACGATTCTGAATCGAGTTCAGATTGGGACGACGGCTGGGCTACAGGCTCGAGCAACAAGACTAGAGGGCGAAGAAGATCGAGAACAGAATCTGGTGGTACAGACCGGATGGGCAGAGAGATTGTCACAGCGCAGAGTCTGTTCAAGACTGCGAAGGAAGAAGGTGAGTCACCACAGATCTACAGCTGCCCAACTATACGGACACTAATGTCCTAACAGGACGAGACCTTACGGCCTCCTTCATGACCCGAGAAGAGAGGCAAGAGAAGCTGCGAAAGCTGAACGGACCGATCATCAACGTCGAAGGACCTGACGGCGAGAAGGCCATGGTGCGTCGTAAGTCTACGGACGTACACCCACACACCAGCTTCGACCAGGACCACTCCAGAATATCTTCACCCATCAGCTCTGATGCCGAAGATCACATGGCTGAACTTAGATCGGCACAGCAGCTGGCGTTGCAGATCACTCCTATTCAGTCCAGCCCCGAGGCTCACCGATGCGTTCGCCAAATCGTTCGTGGAGACTACAGCCAATTTGCGCAGGAAGCGGACAATGGTTTGAGGCGGCAACGTGTATATCTGGTTTCGACGGATCTCAGTGACGAAGCAGCATACGCTCTCGAATGGACAATTGGCACCGTTTTGCGCGATGGTGACACACTTCTGGCTGTCTATGCTGTCGACGAAGAAGTTGGTGTCGCGACAGATGCTCTGGGCGCACCGATCGCTCAAGGCACAACCGGACTTCAAGAGGGGACTCACCTTAAGAGGACGTTGTCAGGTCATGATGGCATACCTCAGAAGACTGCTTTGTCGAGCACCATTGCAGCAGCTGAAGCCGATGTCAGCAAGATGGGCAAAGCAGAGAAGGATCGCTATCAGGCTTGCGTAGAGGTGTCCGACAGATGCGTCAAACTGCTAAGGAAGACACGCTTGCAAGCCCGAGTTGTAGTCGAAGTGTTCCACTGCAAGAGCCCGAAGCACATGATCACGGAAGTTGTAAGTCGCCTGGAACCTCACTGGCACCTCAACTGGTCACTGACAGGCATTTGACAGATTGACATGCTTGAACCAACTCTAGTCATCCTGGGATCTAGAGGCCGCAACGCCCTCAAAGGGTAAGTAAGCAGCCCCGATAGTGTACGCATGAACTGATTGTGGCAGTGTTTTGCTTGGCTCGTTCAGTAACTATCTCGTTACCAAATCTTCGGTGCCGGTCATGGTTGCGAGGAAACGCCTGCGAAAGCACAGCAAATACAAGCGACAAAACCTGAGGATGTCCAACGTGCTTACTGGTCCTGGCGATAAGCTCGCAAACGCCAAGATAGACTGAGGCGTTTGAATGAAGATTTGTCAGTCTGTTTCGGTACTCACGGGGAGGGATGCCTTATTGAGCAGTGTTTTTCAGGCTGTGCGAAACCTGCACAGTTTGGCAAGCACGGCACTATGTACTTGGCTTAGCAGGGAGTTTGGAAACTCATGTTTGCGCATATGAATCTCTTCTCTTTTCGAGGTCGGGGTGTTGCTACCAGGGTGTTGGTCTAAATATACACTGATCTCCAGAGCCGGACGGGATCTGCCTCAAACGCATTACGATTCAGACCTCAACGTCCAACTTTCGCTGCTGACACAACGCGACAGCTCCAGGTCGTTCCTGACATTTGGCCAACTCAAACGTTCTTCCCGACATTACGTCATTGTTGTTGGTACGAAATGAAAGGGAGGTTGCAGACAACATTTGCTTTTCCCTTCTCGAAATTCTAGCGTGCCTCAGCCTTGCAAAAGAATATACATGTTTCACTCCAATTCCTTTTGCATCCGCACGTCGTGACATCGGCAGCTCCTGCCGCCAGTCGCCCAAGATCCTCCAATCACCCTAAGATGCTGTGGTAGAGACGTCCCGTAATTCAAATGTGGTTCCAAGATTCCGGTTCGCTACCCTCCACATCTTACCCTCTCACATCGTCCATCCCGCTAGCGCGCTTCCTCCAACGCCTCACACTGCGTGCCTCACACTGCATCCCCGCACAGATGCCGCGTGAGGGGCCCGTTTGTGGCGGCCCGCAAACATCGATCATGCAGCGCGTCTGGGCACCGTATGATCGTGAACGGGCCAGGCTTAGGCAACCTAGAGAGCCTGGATGATGCCTGAAGTGTAGCTGCGGGTGCATAAAGCGATGTGCTGGGCGATGATGAGGGGGCAGGGGTGCGGGAGAGGGGTATCAAAAGGTATGCCTGCCTCGGTGGATAGATTCTGGGACATCTAACAAGACCGTTGTTGATAGCCTTCCACATGGATTACACTACGACACCGGTTCCATACTTACCTCGGCTCGGCCACCTCGCGTTTCTGGATCTTGAGGTGGAAGAGCTGGACACCTCGAGTTTGCAAGCAAGGCTCATTCAATCACCAACACGAGAGTTCCTTCTCTCGAGACGAAGAATATGGGATACAGCAACCAGAGATGAGATCGATGCAGACACGCTACTGGCGGACCTCGGTCATCTGGCCCCGTCGGTGGCTAAGGACTTCATTTCCAAGGAACATACCGAGGCCAGCTTCGCGTTCCGATTGATCAACGATGTCGACTACCATGGTGAGGAGGAGGGATATATAGCTATGAGCTATTGCTGGAAGAAAATGAACCGGGACACACCAAGGAAAGTTGTCGAAGACTTACCGTTCGCCTGGACTAGAGAGGTTGAACAATTTCCCCTGCCGACTAGTGGGACTCTGTTCCAAGCCGTGCTCAAGGAGAAAAGTGCAAGAGAAGGGCTGTGGTTCGATCAAGTTTGCATCAACCAAGACGATGAGGCAGAGAGAGCCACCATCATTGGTGCGATTGACGCAATCTACAAGAATGCGAGAACTGTAGTCGTGGCTTTGGACGATATCGTGGCTACACCAGAAGAAGAACAGTTCCTTCGAAGCTACTTGGATCAGTACAGCTACTCCGACTTGGCTATCGACCAGCAACCTAATGCGCACCAAAATCCACCTTTCATGTACCAACATCCAGCATTTGTTTCTTTCTTCGAGCGCTTCATTCAGTCAGAGTATTTTGAGCGGGCCTGGTGCGCGCATGAGATAAGGCTGGGACAGCAGCACGTCTTTCTCTTGCGTTGTTCGTCTCAGTACGTCGATGAGGTTCAGACTGTGATACGGTTTACAACATATTTTCTGCTTCATATGCTGGTTCTGGCGAGCGAGCTTCTCACATCTACGCCTGCACAACAGACGAGGATACGGACATTACAAGACCTTCTCATCGGACACAGCAGCACTCAGGGGAAAAAAGATCTTGCAGTTCGAAGACCTGATACTCCGCAGACACTAAACTTCGAGCCTGCCGCTTTTGTACCGAAAATGGTGGATACGTTCCAAATGAAAGCAGGTGGCAATCCACGATTACCAGAATATCTGAGAAGACTGGATGCCAATCGAGACAAGACTTGCATCGCTCTGAGCACCTCCAAGCTTCCCATAACTCTGGCACCCTCCAACCCATATCAACGGCCAAATATTGAAGACGAGTGCCTTCGATCACTATTGCTCGTCGGGCTTGCTGCTCGAGACCCTGTCTGTCTTTGCACGACAGGCACACCACTGCAACTACACGACGGCTCAGTATCCTGGCTCTCGAGACCTACATCACTAGACACGCATTCCAATCGTTCAATACCCCGGCGGTTTCCGCCAAGTTCAAATCCAATACGACAGTCTTCCGACGGCAGAGCAGAGTACGCTCAGCTCAATCTTATCTTCCTCGACCTTCCACATCGCTCGAATCCGAATCCGCTTTTTCCAACTCACATCGCACGAGCACGATTGTTCATCCATCTTTGCATACAATTCCGCATTCCCGGTCCGGGCATGTGGGGCTTCTGGCAAGGCCCCGACCACCAGCGCGCTGCATCAATGTGCAACGCCTTCATCCAAACCCTCGGCTGTATCTTCAACTGCGGCCCGCAATGGCTTCTGGAGCTCACCACCAGTCACAACTTCTCTCACATATCTACACTCGAACCTCACACTATCGACATGCTGCTCAACCCCCACCTCATCATCCAAAACTACATCCTCCTCCCTGAAGGCCAATCCGCACTATCCTCCCTCCTCGCCTGCATCTCAAGCATCCTCATATCCGGCATCCCGTGGGCAAGCGGCGCAACAGAACGCACTCACGGCCCGCTCATCGTATCCGCACCCACACCATCCTATCTATCCATCGACCCCACCTGCGGCAGCAAAGCAATCATCTTCGCCCCCTTCGTGCACAGCAAGACGCTGCTCATTGCCATTCCGGACGCGGTCAAGGCAGCGGAGTACGATGGCTTGGCCAGAGCGTGGGTGCTCACGAGTATGAACCCGTTTACCGGCAGTCCAAAACAGAGTGTGAGTTGGACGCTGCAGAGTAAGGGTGTGGTTTTTGGAGACGGGAATTTTAAGGCGGGGTTGGCAAGATGTGGGGAGGTGAGGTGTCATCGGGTTTACGGGCCGAGTGGGCAGATGAGTGCGTGATTATGGGTTCGGGATGAGTGATGCGAGGTGGTTGTCGTTTGGTGTGAACAAACGTATGAGGTATGGGTTTTTGTGATGATGAGGCTTGGAAATAGGCAGACTGTGATCTTGTTACGATAGCGAAGTGTACATAGGCAGATTGAACATGATAGTCTATAGCCATCATCTGCGATCATCACCTTTCGTCCAAAACCCATGTTCTGGATACCGCTCTTCGCTCAACCTGGCTTGCGCTGTCAACATTGCTCGAAAAAAGGTACATGCGCCCCATCGACCGTGTGCTCACGGTGCTGATTACTTTGAAGCCACAACTGCCCCAAGACTGACCTGCACATACTCTTCTTTGCTTGTTCCACCTGCACGCTACCCAACGACACTCGCCCAACCCACGTTGCACCCTTGATCCTGCCGCAAGAACGCAGGTTTCACATCATCGTTGACACCCCTTCCTCACCACACTTCCTCATCCCACTTCCTAAGATAGCTGCTTGATCGCCATCCCAAAATAGTCTTGTGCCTAGGCCGACAAGATGTGCGAGCACGGTCGATCCAGACCTCAGCAACGTGGTGAGTGTTTCAGATCCTTTTGTGAAGATGCTTTTTGCTTCGACGATACAATGCGATGCGGTGCCATGTTGCCGGTGTATCCGATTGAATATCGGGCCGCCATGTGGGTCGGAGGATTGCGGCGTCGAAGGTTGCCATTCATGTCAGGCCATGTGGTTTGTACGATGCTCTCGATCATGCGTGTTTCGGTCCTATTGTTCCAGTGTCCTGGTGAGATGCAGTGGAGATTGCCGTTAGTTGCCCGTGTGTGGTGGAGTCGTACAGATCGTGTTTGCTTTTTCTGACTGTAGGTTATCGCGGGCGGGAAAACGGAAAATGAGAAGACTGTCAGCAACGGCGCAAATGTCACTGGTGGAACATAGTATCGTTCGACACTTGCAATCTCGATATCTGCGCTCAACCTATGCTTTCCACTTCTCCCATCGCGCGTGCAAGACTCCCTTCTGAGTATGCTCTTACGAGCTTTCCGCCCCCAATTTCGCCAAATCCTTAGTAACAAACTCCGTCGCACTATACAACGCCGTACTCCCATACACAATCCTCCTCTTCTGCCCCGGTCCCTGCGTACTGGTGCTCGTCCGCTTAGCCCACTCCTGCAGATTGCCATACTCATCCATACTACCACCGCCCACTGTGAACACAATGGCTTCACTAAAGCCTTGCCTGCGCTGCCCGAATGTAGCTTCGATGCCGCGACCAACAGTGTTCGGCTGGTTGCGGGATGCGCTTGCGGGAGGCAGGGTGCCACGGGCGTTGGCGGAGCGTGGGTCGAAGTAGAGGTATGATTCGGTCTTGCTGATGGCGGAGGATGAGGCGTTTTGTGGGTCCATGAGTGACTCAGTGATTTTGGTGAGTGTGAGGTCGGTGTTGGTGGGCAGGAAGTTTTTGATGCCGCTCAGTACGCCTTCGAAGTTTGCACCCAGACCAGCTTCTTTGAAGCGGTCTGTGACACGCGATGAGAGGCTGGAGAAGCCGCCGAATAGGTGTGAGGTGCTTTGCGCGGGCTGCGCGGGCGCGGAGGTGATCATTGTCATGCGTGTGAGTTGGCGAACGGATTTGACGTATTTGACGGATGTGGTGTCGGCACCTGCGGCCTCGAGGGCTTGCGTGAAGGAGTCGAAGTCGCCGCGAGACAACTCGGTTTCGGTAGTTAGGTACCACTGGAGGAACAGTCGAAGTTTGTCTAGTGGCTCGTTGCCCTTGTCGTTGTCCTTGATGATGTCTAAGATCTGTCCTTTTGTTTGCTTCGATAGCTCTTCTTCAAGCTGGAAGTAGAAGTCCATCTTTCGGTTCTTGATGCCCTCCATGACAGCCTCAAGGATATTCATATGCATCTCGATTGTGGCCTTTCTATCTCGCAGCTCAGGAAGCAAAGCCATGGCACCCTTCAAATGTGCTGCGAACTGGTTTGACTCTCCGTTCAGATCGTCAAGGGATGAAGCGCCAGTCTTCTTTGTGACGTTGTCTGCATCTTGCTGGTATTTGTTCCATTCGTTCGTTACGTCTTCGGCAACGTTGGGGAACGGCAGCGACGCGTTCCTTGCCCAAAAGTAGTCGGACGCTGTGAGATCGTGTGATTGCTTCTTGACCCCTCTCTCGGGGTGGTCTTTGTCGACAGGGACTGAAATGCTGATTTTGTTCAAGTGGAAGTCGAGTACATCGTAGACTAGACTTTGGTACTATAGGTACGTCAGTAACTATATGGGATCCGGTATTGCTTAACAACTTACGATCCACGAGTGGCTGAACATGGGCACCAGATCTACGTTTCGGTCGACTGTTGCTGGGTTAGTATTTCCTCATGCAAATCGAAGACTCAGACGCACCAATAACCATCACCGGCCGTGATGTAACTGCCGAAGACTTGTGATCTGAGAAGAGGTTTGTTTTCGAGTTCAGAATATGATCTCGCAGCTTTCGGTCAAGCTTGGCACAGATGTCCTCTGCCGCACCTCCCTTGGGGCAGCGGATGATAGGGACGACTCCCATAGTGACAACGACCGAGAACAGTCCGGATACAATTCGGTCCACGATGTTGTCAAGCTCCTGGTCTGATGTCTGCCCACTGTTCAAGGTGTGGTACGCCCCCTTCATGTTCAGGTGGAACAGGTCTGGCTCTGAGACAACGAAGTTCAGATACTGGTCGTAGACTTGTGCCAGATGCTCCGCAGTGTTTGTCTGCACTACTTGGGCACCAAAGTCTTCGAGAAGCGGTCGAGGTATGCTGGAGAGGAAGTTCAGGTATGCGGGGCTGTAGAGGCCACGAGATAGATCGGAGGTAATAGTCTGGAGGTTCTGTGCTGTTGGCTCGACGAGGTATATGACTGGGACCTGCTCACGTTTAGCATGCTGTAGCTTGGTGGAGGCATTGCACATACATCAGGGATCATATGGCGCGTTGTTCCAATGTTGAGATGTATTGTGACCTAGTATCGTGCTCAGCATAACTCTCTGTAGGTCCATTGAATGCGCCAATACCCCAGAAGCTCGCAGATCGTTCACTCGCAGGACTGAGCTTATGACGTCCCTCCCCATCTCGTCGAAGACCAACACCTTCCATATTGCGCTGCCGGTCGCGGTCTCGGATACTTCATTTGCATCATTCTGGGCGTCTACATCTGTGATCGGCGCGTTGAGGTTCAGAATTCGCTTTATGCTGGCTAGAACGTCAAATGTTAGCCTCAGTGCGCTGCATGTAGGGGCATCTCTTACCTATTTGCTTGTCCCGCAATGTGACGGCCATTGTAACGTTGTCTCCTGGCTCCCGCCGTTCAGAGCGCTATCTCATACGCTGGAAGGAACAGTAAATGCCAGTGGAGTACACGGTGAGGCCAGCGCTGCTATAGCAAGAAGACACAGTAGCTTGTCTGCCTGTTGGACACCTTCACCATGCTCCGGTGATGCTCGCGACCGCGGAACTTGCCCCGGCGTGGCCTAGCGCAGATTGGCCTTGGCAGCTGTCCGCCTGCGTAAAACGTCGACTCGCCCCTGCGCAGCCGCCCTTCCTCTTCAACTCACCCCATCCACCCCCAACACACCCACCTCTTCCGTTTGAACACTCGTGCAACTTCTCAGTGAACTTCTGCCCACTTAATAAGGGCTTCTGATTCTGAGCTAGATTCACTTTTCCAGTCCCCGCTTTGGAGGAAGTGTGTACTAAGGTTGGCAGCGGCGTTTGTCAGGAGGATTCGCGGTGGAAGGCAGAGTGACAATCAGCCTGGTTTCTGCTACTAATACAGCTCCTTCGACGATCCATCGAGTGTCGCATCAGGGAAGTTAAGTCAGGCCATTGCGCAAGGCAGAAGCAGTTTTTCAAACGCAGCAAGCGGCGAACCTGTGAGCAAAACGCAGCGCGTGTGTTGTGCAATTGCGTGCACAAACGTACGTCAAGTGACAACCTCCGCAGTGTCCTTTATCGCAATAATACGCGAGGCTAAGTGCCGTCCTGATAAAGCCAAAAGCTGCACATTCGTGGACTTGAGGGATCACAGCATCGCGGGCGACGGGACACGAGCGCTGCGCGTTTAAACCAGCATCCTTCTCGCTGTCGCAGCTTTCGCAGAGGGACCCGAGGCGCCTTGGGCACTGCAGACCCTCCGACTCAGCACGACACCCAAACTGGCAATATTACCGGCCATTCCAGACTTTCGAATTCCCTGAATCGGCGGCCTTGTTCACTCTTCGTGACACGCGCCATACCTGTTTGTGCTTAGTGCACTGCGTAAGTCCTGTTTGCCCAACTGAGACTTGTGGGCTCAGGCACCTTTCAGCCAATCAGAACTGTCCAGCTGAAAGCTGACACAAGTCGATCATTCAACCATGGCCTCCAGTCACGTGCCCAATGACCAAGTGCCTCTGCAGGGTCAGAGCATCTATACGGACCCGTCTTACTCCAACTTCTTTCCTAATAATGTCGAGCGCTATGGTACCCCATCCTGGGAAGCACAGCTGCACCAGAATGCTGCCTTGACATCCAACTCAACGAACCAAAACTGGCACGGTACATATCCTCAACAAGCCTTCAATTCGCACGGCCAAACATACGGAGGGCAAACGCAAGCTTTTCGGACAGCTTCGCCTTATCAGTATGGTCAGTTCAACCAACATGGCTCAGCGGGCACCTTTGGCCATGCTGCTCCCGTGGACCCATCGCTAGCACTCAATCCAAATGGGTTACGTCAACAACAACAACAACAACAACAACAACAACAACAACAACAATCGCCCTACCAGATGCCTGTGCGAATTGCTACACCTTCAAGTCAGTCTGGCACGGTCACCCCGCAAGCACTGCAACAGAACATATCGACACTTCAGAATGCGCGTGCTTCTGCATCTCCCTTTCAGGTAAGTCCCTGTGAATTGTCATTTGAAAAATTTCAACATCTGACATCACCGCAGGTACCAAAGAGCACTACCGAACAATTCGCTCAGCAGGCGACGCCATCAGCGTTTGCTAGACCAGTTCGCAATCCAGTGTACGAGATTCCCAAAGGCAAGAAGTCAGGCGGGTTATATGTTCTTGATACAGCTGCTCTGGCGAAAGCCACAAATTCAACTGCTTTGAACAAACTTGTGACACTCGGATCCGATCCGATCCAGCTAGCTACCAATCGAAGTAAGAAACCACCTTGCCAATCCCCTCTTGAACCACCCTAACATATGCATAGCTGCACTGCCATTATACACGGCTCGACAATCTATCAAGGAGCTGAAAAAGGCTGGAGCTGACAACAAGAAGCTTCTCGCTAAGCTTTCATCATCCAAGTCATCGCTCTCGAGAGCAATCAAGTTCAGCAAGAACAATGGCGGCAGTCCAGGTAGCTTGAAGCGGGAAGTCAGCGACAGCGAGAGCTACACCGAGTCCTCGGACGATGACAGTGAATACAGCGACTCTGACGACGAAGAAGAGTCACCACTTCCTGCAACCAGGCCTGATGACGATCCCCACCAAGCTGTCTGCTACGACGTCATCAAAGCATCCTGGTTCCCGCGCAGATTTGCTTTGAATTCAGCAAAGATCAAGACTAGCATGCGCGACCTTTGGGATGTGCTGAACACCATCCAGAAACGCTGGCGGGCTGATAGTAAGGCGGTTGCCGAAGCGGAGGAAGCGAAGAAGATTGGCGAGCTGCCCACACTGAAGAGTCGAGTCACAAGCCAACGGGACTTGCTGCAATCTGCTCTGAAAGCTGCGCTCGATCATGCACATCCCGATGTTTTGTATCATTTGGGGCAAGTGAAGCCATTTTTGTATCTCTGTTATCAATTCTTGGCGAACCGTTTCAAAGCTAAGGATTTTGACGGGCCACTACCCGCGGCCATCTATGAGATTCTGGCGCGATGTGGTACTCTCACCACAGAGCTCGTCGAAGAGACTAAAGTCTCCAAAGCATTGGTTTCTATGAAGAAACAGGCGAATGACAAGAACAAAGCTTTTATACAACAAATCGTTGAAGCCGCAGCCGCGGGGTCTAAGAAGGCAAAAGCAAACTTCCCGCCTGCAACTGAGGCAGCAGATGCCAAGGGCGCAAAGCGACCTGCATCAGAGCCAGCCGTGCGCGCCGCAGGTGAAAGTCTTTCAGTGAAGAAGGTCAAGCCGGCCGAGACCTCTACCACGGCAGTCAAGAAGGAACCTGTTTCAGGATCAACAAAGCCTGCAGCGATGTCTGCAAATGCTTCTGCGCTCAAGCGACCCGGCGAGAAGCCTATAGGTGCACCTGCACCTGTCAGGGCCCGTGTCAACCCGGTTACGAACAAGCCATCAAGCATATTCGCTTCTCTCAATGCTGCCAGCAAGAAGCCGGCAACAACTGCTACCGCTCCGATGGCCACAAAACCGACTGCTCAGTCTAAGGCCACAGCAACGACAGCCAAAGACAAGAAGCCTGCAACAGCAGCGCCCAAGCCATCGGCCTTTTCCTTTGCATCAACAATGGCGGCACTCACAAAGCCTAAGGAGCCGGAGGCGGCGCCTACCAAAACGGAGAAGGACGTTCCTAATGAAACCCCTGAGCAGAAAGCGAAGCGTCTCAGGAAAGAGTCCAGGCGTCATCTGCGCGTTACTTTCCGCCCAGACGCTTCTCTGGTAGCAATCAAATACTTCAGCCACGACCCCGAAGAGGAGCTTGGACATGACGAGAACTTCACGCGCGATGCAGGCGATCTCGGAGGCGAGGGTCACATGTTCAAACAACACAAGGAACTCGACGAGGATGACGATGACGAAGACGACGAGACCGAATATCGACCCTGGACGGAGCCATCTCAGGTCGACTTCAGCGTCGTCGATCCTGAGGAGCGTAAACGTAACTACATACCATTTGGTGGAGGTGAAAACGTACCAACTTGTCCCGAGAAAGAGATGAACTTGCGACGCGAGAACGACATACTCATGGTGTTTTACACCAGCCCTGCTGACATTCCGCCTTCACCTCATGAGCCTCCGGAGCAGAATGAGGACAGCACGGCAGCCGTGACAATGTTCGGCACTCCTCCTGATAGGTGTTTGGAAAGGGCACCGAAGGCAGCGGCACCTGCATCCACTCCTGCTGTCGATCTCATGGGCCTTGAGAGCATCATCGCCCAATTTGCCAGCCAGAATCAACCCACTGCGGCTGCAACCGCACCAACGCAAACAACATACGCTCCGCCCGCACCAGCTGCTGCCCCTGTAGACCTTGCAAGCCTACTCAGTTCCATTCAGCAACAGCAACCCCCTGCGATGCCCACTCAAACTGCAGCACCAGTTCCAGCACAGTTCCCAGCTCTCCCGCCTGGTATGCCGCCTCCACCGCCTGGCACGCCACCATTCGACATGGCCGCCTTCATGGCTGCCATGGCGGCACAGGCTGGACCTGGTGGCTTGCCGCCAATGCCTCCCGGGTTGCCTCCTGCGAACTTTCCTGCAGCACCATTCGCATTCCCACCGCAACCACCACAACCACCACAACCAGATGCTGCAGCATATCAGCCACAACCCCAAGATCAGTACTATCAGCAAGACTACCAGCAGTCCAACGGTGGAACGAAGCGGCCGCGGGACGATGGAAGCAACAACGACCGAGGCGGCCAAGGCAAGAAGCACAAGGGAGGGGGAAAGCCTCACAAAGTTCTTGCGTGCAAGTTCTTCCAGAAAGGTACCTGCAACAAGGGCGACAACTGCACGTACATCCACGACCTCAACATGTAGATACGGGTGGTCGAGCTCTCCTCGCCACCGTCACCACGACACACGCGCTACAACGACGCATTATTCTTCTGCACCAAGACTCTTTCGAGCCAGTGGTGCTGTCCACATGTGTGGGCTTTGTATTATACCCCATTTGGTTTTGGCTTTTATCATCAGCATAGACGCATCATGGCGACTGGTTTGTCTGCAACGGACGGTATTGATGCATTTGCGGCGTTTATCATCCAGCATCTACGCGGAGTAGCCCACCCAGGGAACAGAGGCATTAGCACAGCTCCAGATACACATGATCTGAGAAGCGACATAGCATATTGTAATCTATACATCTCCATCATACACTTAAGAACTCGTTCACGTGACATGTGCTCTACTCACACCGAGCACCCGTAGTTCGAGTCACCCCAGGTCAGCGTGCGTCGAGATTATCAGCGAGACAGGGGTGTCACGTCGATAATCCTTGGATGCATTGTTGAGCTGGCGCAATGCAGAGCAATCGCAGCGCCAAGCAGAGCAAGCTGCAGGACCGTTCGCCCGTCGACAACCTTACCTGGTCCAATTGCATCCTGCAGCAGTGTTTCTTGCCATGTAGCGCCCAGGCGGCTGTACTTCCAGGGTTGTTGTGGTTCGCGTCTGAAGTCGAGCCAGATCCGGGACGAGGCGTCCGGCCTTGGCGGTATGTGCCGTCATATTTTCCGCAAGGCATCAGACATCACGTCAAGTTCAACGCAGCGACATTTGCAGTCTTGACACGTCCCTTTACTGTCACTCCATCACGACTGCACCCCACGCAGTCTCTGGATCTGCCCCGCCCGCCCGTTTACCCACTTGGCCTAACCTTCCCGAGCCTTACCCGCACGAGGAACCGCCCTTCGACGTTCACGAGCCGGCCGATTGCATCCCACACCACGCCCTCACTCCCCGCCACACCGCTTCCCGCCACACCACTCCTCCCCTGCAAGCAAACATGGCGCCCGCACGGAAAAGGACGAACAACATTGCACGCCGCAGGCGGCTCGACGACGAGGACGAGAGCAAGTCGGTGGCCACAGAGCTGGCGGACGACTCACAGAGCGACGTTTCGGTACCCAGCGATGTGGACGAGGACGCCGACGCCGACAACAGCGACCTGAGCGACGCAGACAGCGGCGTTGCGCCCACAGAAGCGAAGCCAAAGCGGAAAGCAAACGGGACTCGCAGTGCAAAAGCGGCCCCGGCTGTTAGCCACCGGCAGCCATCGCCGTGCATTGCCCGGTCCGATGCCGCCTTTACAGCGCTCGAGGACACGGAGGCCATGATGAGCGGACTGAGCATCACGGACGCAGCGAACGACGCTGAAGCGGTGGACCTGGAGACGGGGGAGACGGGGCCCACAGAACCAGCGCCCGCCGTTGGTCCGCCGTCTGGACGGCCAGAGACGCAGGGTGACCGCAGGCGGCGGGAGCACGAGGAGTACAAGAAGAAGCGCGACTCGGATCCAGCGTTTATCCCCAACCGAGGCGCCTTCTTCATGCACGACTCTCGCTCAGCGCCAGGCCAGAACGGGTTCAGACTGATCGGTGGGCGTGGTCGAGGGCGTGGAGGCATTGGCGGGCCATTTTCTCCAGCAAAGTACGTGCCGCATTCGCGGGCTTCTACACACACGCGACTTGCTAACAGCAGCTCCAGCATGAGACAACACGCCCCGGAGGCTACAGACTCGCCATGGCAGCACGACCTGCACGAGGCTGTCAACGCGCCTCACCAGCACCCACAACCCGCGCCACCCGGCAACGCCCCCGCACAACAAGCACCAAACGCACCACAGCAGACCCAAAGAGCGCCATTCGTGCCTGCCTCGAAACCGCCCCAGACTCGCAACTTCTCCACAACCGTGCACACGCACAACGCCGTCGTCCGGATCTTCCTTCCCGACATGAAAGCGCCCATCACCTTCCAGAACGTCCCCATCAAGTCGCACACACGCCTGCCGAACCACCGACCTCCTCTTCGCCGCGACAAGCCAGTCCGTATCTCATTGCCTCCATCGGCACCGCGATACATCTTCCCCACAGTAGAGCGATCATTCATCTTTATTCCACGCGCGCTTCGTCCCAACCAGCAGGGCTTCGGTCGCGGGCGAGGGCGGTTTGGTTCGATCGGTGGCGGAGGCTTCTCGAGCAGGCGCACAAGTGCGTACGGCGGTAGCGTATACTCACCAAGCGTGGCCCTTAGTAGACGGTCATCTATTGCTCGGGACAACATGGTATCGCCAGCTGGATCGATATTGTCTAGGAGCGGCAGCTTCATCGACCCGTCTCGGCCTGTTGTGCGACTGCCCCCTGGCGGTGTTAGGACGCCTACTGGGCCGGCTATCATCTCGCCCACCAACGGATCATACCCCCTGCCGCAGAAGCCAGCATTCCGCGAGAACTGGGCGCAAGGCCAGCTACCTATACATCAGCCGCGCCCCCAGAAGAACGTCAACGTTGCAGGCATTGAGTCGCCCGCCTCGATGAACTTCAACCCTCCTCAACAGCAAGAACAGCAGCCTTTCCACCAGCAGGTTCCGGCCCATATCAACGGTGCTGGGCCGTCAGGCGAACAGCCAGGCTTCTACCAGCATGCTCGCCAGCCATCGTTCCCAGGTCAGGTGTCTACAGGCACACCACTATCGAATATCCCAGAGCGTGCCATCTATGCACCTGCCTTCCAGCCATTCCAGCCCGGATACCCAGCCCAGCCATTCGTGCCACAAGGTTACTACTACCCACCCAACGGCCCTCAGCCACAACACATGGCACCTGGTGGCATGGCGCCGATGTTTGTCCCTGGCGCACAACAACCCTACGCCATGCCTGCGCCGGCGCCCGCCGTTGCACCTCCTCCGCCGGCCGCCGCAGGCCCACCCAATATGGTCGCGTACGAGCAGAACGGCATGACCTACTATGTCGACTCCCATCAGCTTCCGTATGCGCCTCCTGCGGGGGAATACGCACAGCCGAGCTATGCGGTACCGGGCATGGGCGGTATGATGACCCCTGGACCAGATGGCGCGTACTATTACCCGCAGCAGATGCCGCCTGCTGCTTTTTACCCCCAGCAGTAGAGCGACCTGGGAGCGAATGCAGGCAACTTAGTCTTATTGCCAGGCGGAGAATACCACTCAAAAATCGTAGATGGATGGATAAAGAGTCCAGGCTTGCAATCTGGTATTTCACTGGATGACTTCGCCGCCGGGCTTACAAGCGAGCAAATCGCGAATCTCTCGCTTTTGGATAACCGCTCACGGTGCCAACCTTCTTATTCCGAGCAGTAGGACGCTGAAACTTCCACCTCATCGTCTCTTCCGCCCACTCGCGTGCCAATGCATCTGCTACTACACGAGATGGACCCCCCGAAGCCGAGGGAAACTGCTCGTTTGCGCATCAACTCGACCGATAAACACGTCACCTCACTCTACGGACACAACACCGGTCACAAAACATCTCATGGTTAACCAAAACATCACTCCTAGCGACAAAACATGCATTGCCCTCTTGCCTTCTTTGGTCTTTCAATTTCTGCATGACGTTTGCGATACGTATGCGATGCGCGTCTTTTTGTACGACGTGCCTGTTGGGTATAAACGCATAATACTGTGGTTCTAATATACTTCTTTTGATTCCCCCTTCGTTTATATGGCATGCGTTTGCATGCGTGTAGTTGGATTGCGGCCTTCAATGATGAGACATGATTAGGTTTGGATGTGGTCAAACGAATGGAGATGGAAGGGAGGAGTGGGCGTTGCTTAGACGAACATATGCTATGCTTGCCATGAACAATCTTCGCTTTGGTTACTACGCTTGTGACACTAATGATCACCCATACGTCAAGTCAATCTCTTGCAATGTACTGCTGCTTTACAAGGCGCATCGATCCACACGACAGGAAGCTGTGACTACTTGCGTTCCAGTGCGCGGGGAGTTCAGTCTGCCGTGACTATCTGTGAGCTCGATATAAGGCCAGTCGCTTGGACTTGCCTGAACTGGGCAGCTTACTCCTCAGTGAGCAGGTACCCAATCGCTCGTACTTTCTGTCTTCGACCTTTTTGAGCACAAGGCAGCGGAAAGTGCGAATCTGCTCTGAGGCAGCGACTAGTACGAACTCCCAGGCCCTGCCAGAGACAAGATCGTCAACGTTCGCAGCAGTCTCGCTTACTAAGCTGTTCATGATCCGTGCCTTCCCGATACAGTCCGTGCCTTCCCGATACAGTCCGTGCCGTCCGAGGTTGTAAAACACCCGATCGTCCTGTCGCTGATACGCCAAAGCCAAACTACACCCGTCCATCCGGTAAGAACCAGATGGGGAAAGTAATCAAGGAATCTGGTCTGATGGGCACATGTGCTGTTGATATGCTTCGATCGATTGAAGTCCAGTGTTTGTGATCTGTCGGTCCGGTCGTCTTTGCACAGATGCCGCAGTTGCTTGCACACAGACCTGTATGCAAGGTTGGTCTGTGTCTTTCCTCAGCTTTTGATAATAAGAAAGATCCCAGCCTTCTATTCACGTCTTCTAGCTCCACGAGACCCAGCTCCAAGGTGGCATGGTTGATCTTCTAGCTAGTCTCGAACTCGGGGGGACTTCCCACAACAGGGAAAATAGGAAATCAAGCGTGGAATTGTCGCGGAACAGCAGATCCCAAAGGTGATAGATGGGAGTCTCAGCTTTCTAGAATTGAGAGAAGATCCTCAAAGAAGTCCCTGCAGACTTCTTCGACGTCATAGTTCCATGGTTTCAGGCGAGATATTGGAAAAGCTTGGACTGAACACCGAAATCCTGGCTAGAAACCTCCTCCTCCGGAGTTTGTTTTGGTTTCAAATACGAAAGCGCCCGTTACTGACTAGCAACGATGCGTTCTGCGGCGTTGAAAGTAGACCTGTTCCTTGGTAAAGACAAGCCTCCGGCGAGAAAGTAGGCCCTCCTGGAACGTCCCTCTTCGAGTAGACGATTTGCTTACAGCAATCGCATATCTTGCATTCGGCGCTAGGGTTATGAACTTTCCGTATACTGAAGCTGTGGCTGAAGGCAGTCGCGGTATTGTACTGGGCCCAGGTAGACCGCTTTCTGCACTATCCCCTGCTGCATCAATGATTGTGATGGAAGCGTTGGTATAGATCTGATCCATATTCTGGATAACTCCGGTTTTGGAAGCCAAATGTTGATCTATACAATGACGATCTGTCCAGAGGTATCTGAATCCCATCTGCTTCGTGCATTTCATGGCACTCTCAATGACCTCCTCGAGTTTCGATGCTAGACGTGTTCTGTACTCGGAAGCCGAGCCTGTGCTCCAGACGTAGCTCAGTGCTGCGAGCTTTGCAACCCGGAGGAAGTTCTTCGATTGTTCGACTACCACAGTCAATAACGACGAATCCAGCTAGAGTAAAAGGCTCTGGTATGGCGTATTCATCTCCATGGTTCACTTTTCAGTCCGCAAACCATTGCTTGAAGTCATCCCAATCATCAGAATTTAGAAGTGGCAGAATGCGGCGAGGGAGACCGGCGGCGGCTGATCTTCTCGCGGTATGGCTTCCCAAAGACGTAATGATCATACAAGGGCCCGACATAAGACATAGACAATTCCAAGCAAGGAGAAGGAAGTCCATCCTTCTTGAAGTCGTTCTAATCGAACCTATTGATCCCCAGAGAGACGATTGTGTAGTCATCTCGAGGATTCTTGCTTTGCCACTTGCGTCTTACATTAGTATCGTTCTAAAGCCATGTATTGAGCTTGTGTAGATCTGTTCGTTGATCAAGGGAGTCACGTACCACTTGAAAGCAAATTGACAAAGATCACATGTTCCAGGACTTAGGTTGAGAAACCCCATGAGTGCCATCCACCCTCTCTCACATTCGTATAGCATCCTCCAACCAACTCTCCTGCACCCCACATCCTCAAATTGGCCTACAGTTTGCAAATGTCCCCTGAAGCCTGTGGATATGACGGAAAGGACATGTAAATCTTGCTGTCGGGACTCATTAGCCCGGAAGCGGCTCGATGAGGTTGACGATCGTCGACCCCGCTGACCATGATTCTGACCAAGCGATCATCAACCGGCTATTCAGCCGGCGCATGCTCGACCTCAAGAGAGGCTTTGAAGAGCTCGTCTGTTGCCATGATGCGAGCGCCAAATAACGACCATGCCATCTTTGTGCAGTTGCAGCTTAGTGCTGCTGGTCCTATCATGTATACTATCAACCGTGGAGTGTACAATCGATCGCAAATCCATTGTCCAACAGTATAACCTCAAGCTCAGCCAGTCACATCCATACAGCCCTATCCAAGTAGGAAATGGCAGATTCGCATTTGGTGCTGATGTCACGGGCCTGCAGACCTTTCTTCCACACAACACACTATCCTCATGGGGCTGGCACAATTCATCGTTACCTACAACGCCAAACCAGACACTGCCTGAAGACTACACTGGTGTCGACTGGTGGACTCATGATCGGCTTGTCAACTATGAGCAACCCAACCCCACTCAGAAAGATATAAGCCAGTGGATGATAGCAAATCCGCATCGAATCAACCTCGGGAGAATCGGATTGTGGTTCGACGGACACAATATCACTGAGCAATCACTGGGAGGCAAGACGCAATCCCTGGACCTTTGGACAGGAGTGATTTCTTCTTCTTTTATACTCAATGGCGAAAAAGTCAATGTCACCACAGTGGTGAGCCCTGAGACGGACACAGTGGCTGTCAAGATATCATCGAAGCTACTGACACAGGGTAACCTGGGTGTGATCTTTGACTTCCCGTATGCGACTGGGAAGAATAAGTTCGACACACCGTTTGTGGGATTGTTCAATGCCACGTCAAACCACACCACCAGACTCAGTGCTTCGGATGGTCGGGCGGTAATCACGCATACACTAGATGCGACGACGTATGTCGCGGACATTGCTTGGGAGGGCAACGCTACTCTGGCTCGGCTCAGCAAGGAGGAACACAAGTACGTTTTGAAGACCGCCCAGCAAGCGGAAACGATGTCTTTCACTGCCACATATGCACAACATGCTGGAAATACTACTTGCACTTCTGTCGAAGACGTCCTAAAGACATCAACAGCATGGTGGGCCGATTACTGGTCGTCTGGCGCCTTCATTTCTCTCCCCACAGTAACCAACTCTTCCGCCAACGAGCTCCAACGCCGGATTATCCTCTCTCAGTATCTACTTGCTGTCAACGGTGCCGGAAAAGACCCTGCGCAAGAGTCCGGCCTTGTAAACAACGGCTGGTATGGCAAATTCCATCTAGAGATGGTCTTCTGGCACCTAGCACACTGGGTGTTCTGGTCAAAGTGGGACCTGTACAACCGCAGCATAGGCGTCTACGACCGCTTTCTTATGTCAAGTTTTGATCGCGCGAAGAAGCAACGCTACGACGGCGCGCGCCTAGGCAAGATGAGCGACCCCAGCGGCCGCTCCGCCCCAGGCGAAATCAACAGCCTGCTGATATGGCAACAACCTCATCCCATGTACTTCGCAGAAATGGAGTACCGTACTTTTCCCACCGCCGCCACGCTGAGGAAATGGGACCACATCCTCGGGCCCCTGGCAGACTTCATGGCCAGCTACGCGTTCTACAACACCAGCACGCACGTCTATGACCTCGGGCCTCCAATGTACCCTGTCTCTGAGAACACTCCGCCAAACGCAACCGTAAATCCGATTTTCGAACTGGCGTACTGGCGCTTCGGTCTCGCTGTTGCTTCAGCATGGCAAGTTCGCCAAAACAAGAGCGTGCCAGAGAAATGGACACATGTACACGATAACCTGGCCCCTTTTCCCGTCGAAAACGATACGTACGTCACTTACGAAGGAATAAGGGATATGTGGACCACCCCGGAGTACACAGAAGACCACCCCGGCCTTCTTGGTATTTACGGCTGGCTACCTCCCGAACCGCGCTTCAACCTTACTATCTTTGAAAACACCATTGCCAAGGTACATGAGACGTGGAACTTCCCCTTCTCATACGGTTGGGACTTTCCGCTGTTGGCGATTACAGAGGCGCGGAGGGGCGATGCGGAGAGGGCCGTTAAGTGGTTGCTGGATGTAAACAATGAATTTGATGAGCTGGGTATGCCGGTTGGTGGGACGAGGGTGCCGACGCCGTATTTTCCGAGCGCGGCGGGGTTGTTGCTGGCGGTAGGAATGATGGCTGGGGGGTGGGATGGGAGGGAGGGGATGGTGTGGCCGGAGGGGTGGAGGGTGGAGGCTGAGGGTTTTGTCAGAGGTATGTAGGGAGGTCGAGGGATGAGCAAATAGATGGATGATAAGGATTGAGAACGAGGAAATGTAGTCTATCCATGTTTTACCATGGTGTGAGCAAGCGACTGCTACTTCTCGATGCATCGAACGGAGTATCGTTGCTCGGGACGCAGGTATCCTGAAGGCTAGCATTGCTCGACCTGCATACAACGATTGCACTTTGTGCTGTGTTGACTTGATAGGAGCGCTGTCGTCTGTCGTTTGTTTTGGAGCGCTGATAGCCTTGCGAGAGTAGATGAGGCCAGTGCGGTTGTGAGCTGAGCAGAAGCCAAGCGGTACTGCGGCAAATCTCATCAATCGTCTCGTGAGCAGTGACAGATTGGAAATTTGGCGCTGGGTCGGATTCGCGACGCTCCCGAGGTACTTCCCGCATGGTGGCGTCGATCTGGCGTCTGGGGTTTGCGTGCGCAAAAGGAGCTCACCTGAAAGCCAAAAGGACCCACGATGGCTTTTTTTTTTTTAAACGGTCTATCATCCTTTAGCCATTCCTATAGACTTAAAAAGCATAGCTGATGTTTGCTGCAGTTGTCGTGATGGTAGTGTGTTCGACAACCGGAGTCGGAAGTTGCTGTGGAGGGGAAGAGAGGAAGCGGCGACCACGAGGCTGGACCCGCCCGTACGTTGAGGCTAAGCTGAACGTCGCCCCATGCCCAAGCCCACTCTTCCTCTTTCATCCATCACTTCGAAAACCTTGCCTCATTAGGATGCGACAGCTAGCCACAAAACGGATACGGGCGCTGAGCGACATGGCCTGGCGAAGACTTCCTACACCCTGCTGCTGCGGAAGCAAATCTTCGAATGAGAAGAAGCAATGCGACCCCTGAAGATTGCGGCGATAGGTGTTGACGCGTCGCCGAGGCTATCTCACTTGCTGCGAACACCGATGAATGCTGTGCGTCGCTTTCGCCGACCATGATGGGTTGGAACGCTTCGTCTGTTCGACTGCAGGAAAGAGCCGGTGCACGCATTACTGTCCACAACTTCTTCAGCCCTGGCTAAGAGAACTGCATCTGCTAGACACTCATAACCGCCGTCATTCTCGGTCTGTACACCCAATTGCGTATCATGGAGCATTCTACCACCACCTTGACCACAAGTCTACCATGCGAGCCGCATTAGCGTATCCTGGATGCGGCTGACACCAGCATGGATCTACGGGATCTCCGCAAAGGCCACTAACCCAATTCACGGACCTCATGTTTGGCATTGAGATGGATGATACCGGATTGGATACGTTCGAGAACGAGCTGTACGATCCCCTCTCGCCTACAGGTTCGGTTATGATCCAGGAGCCCATGAGCCATCTCCGCGACCCTGTCAATCTTCTTCACGTGGCGCTTTCGCTTGTGGCTGCTTCGCCATGGCTTGATGAAAGCTGAACGATGCCAAAGTCGCATACTGAAGCTCGTCTCCTGCATGTCAATTTCGCACCATGGTTCAGTCTATCACACACACCTCAGCCTCGAACCGCTTCTACAACCAGCCAGACCCTATGAAAGCTATCAGATGGGGGTCCAGAGCGAATCGGAGACACCTACATACTCCAGGCTCACACATCCGCTCAGGCATCTCAAAGTGGACTGAAGCTGCGCGGCATTCGCATACTTAAGCTGCCTCGTGCCATGTGTGGTTCATGAGCTTAGGTGCTCTCCTCCAGTCTTCGTTCCTTCAATCTCTTTGCTGCTGCTTGCCTTCTCGATATACCCAACCTCGTCTCTTTCCTCGTCCACCCTTAGGTGGTAAGCAGCTCACTATGGCACCTATTTCATTTGACTTTGCCGCTGTGCCTACCGGCATCTCGAAGGACCCAGAAGTCTCTGTCGCGGAGCTTGGCCCTATGTCGCCTCGCCTCGAGGCATTGGAGAGCCTTACAGTACCCAAACTCAGCACTATTCACGAAAAGTCTGATCTGACTGTGACACCTTGGCCACGCTTCGGCCGCTCTGTAAGCGTTGCTTTCAAGGGCAAAGGAACAGTACATGACTTTCTTCGCTTCCTGAAGAATGAGCGCTTCCGACACATGCCTCACGATGGCTCTAGCTGGGACAAGATCCTGAAGTGGGCCGATAACATTGGCGGTGTTGTTCTGCTCAGTGTTGGTGTCCTGAGCGAGTTCATGCTAAACAGCGAGGAAGCAACACACCTCATCTGCGATAATTGCATATCTTTGATCCAGGTAAGTGCAAAAGATTGGGTTCGATACGCCGGACACCAGCGCTAATGAGCACAGCTTGGATCAGCACACATCAAAACCTTGCTGAAAGTCTTCAGTCAATTCCACAAGATCGCTCTGGCTCTTTCTGTTTTCCTGCGTCAAAACCAGCTCATCAAGTCGAATCCTGAGGTTCGCCTCGAGCTGGCACATGCGTTCCAGGAGTTTTCACACTTGACACGCGATGTTCACATCTACTGTGTGGCTCGGTGCAGAGGTGTGCTGCCAGTCGACCATGCTGAGTTGGGCGCATTCATGGTGCACGGCTCAGCATCTTTCTACCGCCATCTTGAAGGAGTCTCGATCTCGATGTGGTCCTCTTACAAGCATTGCTCACAATTCAATGTGCGCGCAATCCGAGATTTCTTAACACCTCAGGACAGCGTTGTGAAGACAATTTTGTCCAACCAACTGTACTCGGAAGCACGCCGCGCGGAGTACACATGCGAGTGGTTCGCAGCACCCCTCAGAAAGTTTACAAAGAACGGCAAGAAGGTTCTCCTTGTCACTGGAGCTGCATCTACCGGCAAGTCTGTACTTGCTCGCTGGATCTACGAGAAGCTCCAGGAGTCGATCGATGACTATCCATTCGATGTCCTTAGCTACACCATCGGTAAGCCCTACATCCCAAAGCGATAGGACTTGCGCTAATTGCCAGTAGACACCAACGTCAGGTACACTACAAGCTCACTGAACCTTATCAAGAGCTTGCTCTTGCAGCTGCTAGACCGCAGGATTGGCCGTGAGCACTTGCTGTCCCACATTAACGAAGCTATCGAGCACGCGCAATCAGGTTGCCCAGCCAGTGAGATCGAGGCTACCCTCTGGAAGGGTCTTGAGCATGCGCTGGACGACCGCAAGCTACTGATCCTTATTGATGGATTGGATCAGCTCAGCAGTCCCCGCATCGGAAACCCGCCAGTACTTGAGATCCTCGATCGCATCACAAAGTCCAAGAAGAATGTCAAGGCTGTCGTAATCAGCCGACCAGTAAGCGATGCTGCGTTGAAGCACTGCCAGGAACACATCTCGCTGGAGAAAGCCCACAGTGACGGCTCGCCAGACATCAAGCACTTCGTACAAGATTTCATCTACCACCATGCTGAGTTGCGACACCTGAAGGAAGCTGAGAGAAACGAAATTGTCGAGAAGTACGCCGAGGCTGCCCACAACTCGTATGTTATCGCCGAGTTGCTCCTCCGCCAGATCAATACCGAAGAATCCGCGGCGGATATCTTGAAAGCTCTGAAGCCCTCCAAGACTGCTGAAGAGCTCCTTGACCGCCAAATTGGACGCCTCGACTCGAAGCGCCCTGAGACAAAGCACATCCTGACCTGGCTTGTAGCTGCTGAACGCCCTCTATCCTTGAAGGAGATCAAGGCCTTGCTCGAAGTCGATCTCGACGGCTGTGCTTACCGTCCCTTCTCTGGAGATGTTGAGAAGACCGTTCGTCAACTCTGCACCCCACTCGTGACCATCAGCGACGGTCTCGTCTCCATTCGCCACTCCAGCGTCCGCGAGCGTCTACTTTCACACAAGGCGTCGAAATTCGCTATCGACCTCAAGGACGCTCATCGAGAACTTGCCATCCGTACTATGGCTTATATCAAGATCCATATTCGGCAACAGGATATCAATCCTTCATCTACCCTCTGCGACATTACAGATGTTCGAACTAGCTTTCTGCAACACGACCTCTTCGAGTACGCAGCTCGTTACTGGGTGTCTCACTTCCAATCCTCTTCCATGTACGATAAGTCGACTGGCAAGATTAACCCATCAGCTCTGTTCAAGATCGCCTTCTCCAGTACGACACGTCTGGCGCTCTTCGAAGGCTCGTGCCTCGCTCGACAGCACATTGCCTGTGATGCGGGGAAGTTGCAACATCTCGCATACAACGTCCGCAAGACTCTTCTGGGCGAGCACTCCGCCGCTGTCTTGCAGAGCTTGATTCTGGAGCTCTACATCGGACGAAAGTTCAAGAGCACTACCACTCTATGCGAGTACTCCTTCGAAGCTTGGAAGCTGAGCCGACAGATCTGCTCTGCGGTCACGATTCAGAGCCTGGCTGAGTCTTTCATCAGATACTCACAGACCTTGACCGTTTCTGAGCACTCGCATCTGTGCGCTCACAAAGTTGAAGTTCTCGAGTATTCGGTTGAAGTGTACAAGCACAGCCATGTCGAGTTGAAGTACATCGAATACTTGACGATTTTGGCCGAGCTTCACGTTGAGTTTGGACACATCCAGAAGGCCGTGGTCGTCTACCGCCAGCTCTACCGTCTGCGACTCCAGACCTGCGGACACCTTCACAAGCATACGCACACCTTGTTCCAACTTCTGATTTCGTACTTGAAGCAGCTCTCCCTTCACGATGAAGTCCTTGAAGTCTACCTCGAATACCACACACATGTGGAGACACTGCTAATCACAGACGAGCGCCGTATTAGCTCCACGCTTGCTCTGATTGCGAGCTACGAGGAACGCAAGGAAATCTTCAAGGCGGAGCAGGTCCTCGTACGCTTCTGGAAGAGCGTCTCCGTTTCCAGGTCCACCACCCGCACCACCGAACTCAAGGTCGACTTCGCCCTCAAGTACTCCAAATTCTTGTTTCGTCACTCACGCAAGGAAGAGTCAGAGGTCATTCTGCGCGGTGTCTGGACCGAGATTCAGTCTTACAGCTATGAGTCCCGCTTCGAATCAACGATGATCAAGAAGGTACAAAAGATTGCGAAGTACTTCTCTCGCCTTGAGGTCTTCAGCATGTCCCGCTCGATCTATCAGTCTCTGTACGAACACTACGAGAGCCACGAGCAGCGCACTTCGACCGAATGCATCACAATCGTGCGTTCTCTTGCCGAAACAATCACCAAGTCGATATCGTACTCGAAGACTGTCAGCAAGTCCGAGACAAGCACCACTACGACTAGCACTACGATCGTTTCGAGCGAAGAGAAGACCCTGACCGAGATCTTTGAGAGTTGTATGGAGTCCACCGAGATCACATCGACTACCATTTCCATTTGCCAGGCTCTCTGCACAAGCTACATGTACGAAGAGCGCTATGAGAAAGCATGTGAGATTTACAGCAGAGTCATCTGCAAGGTCTGGGCAAGCCTGGAGACTTCAGTGTCTGTCGATGTTACGGAATTCGTCGAATATCTCAGCGAGGAGGTCTTCGAGCTGGCTTTCAGTTTGGCGCACTGTCACTTCAAGATGCTGCGAATCGACGTTGCGGAGACAATCTACTTAAATCTCTTCCGCGCTCTGATCTGCATCCGACACATCGAGAACAAGCACTTCCTGCTTGCCAAGATCAAGCTGGTTCTGGAATTCTTCAAGGTCACGTACAAGTACGAGCGTGTCATCGAGATCTACCGTGAGCTGTTTGTCTATATGCCCATCGCATGGGGCAAGACGCACAGGGAGACTATCCTGGTGTTGATCGAGTTCGCCAGGATCTGCTTCAGGATGTCGCTGTACGAAGAGGCTGCCACTGCTTGCTTCTACGTGTATTCTTGCTTTCACATCGCCCACGGCTGCCTCCATTTTGATGGATTCGAGGCTGCCTTTCTGCTCTGCCAGATCTACGAGATCCAGTGCAAGTGGGAGCTTGCTTACGAAGTCTACGGCTACTTGTGGCGCACATTCGTTCGTTTTGGTGCTGAGTACTCACTTGATGTCAAGATCATCCAGAAGATCTTCACCCGTTACGTTTTCATCCTCGAGCACCATCATCACGTCGAGTATTCTGTGTACCTCCAGATTGCTCGGGAGTACCATGAGAAGTGCGTTGCCTTTTATGGTCATCACCACGAGATCACCATCAAGGCTACCTTACATTACGCGCACGTCTGCGAGACTAGAGAAGAACACCGAGAGACCTCCATCTCTTTGTATGAGCAGGTCATTAAGTACTGCAAGGAGGCTCATACTGAGTTCAGTAAGAAGACTCTCCACACCTGTAACACCAGGATCGCCAAGATGTACGCTTCGGAGACCAAGCACATCACTAAAGCAGTGAGCATCTACAAGGAGCAGTATGAGAGCTACAGCAAGACCGAGCGAACTTCGAAGGAGACCTTGACGGCCCTCCACAGCCTGGTCATCACCTACAAGAAGCAGGAGACAAAGGAGTCTATATCTGCTGCCACAAGTACTCTCAAGAGCAGCTCTATGGAGATCTTCCAACACGAGAGCCGCTCTGAAAAGCTGATCGAGTCCGCACGTAGCATTGCCTCGATTTACAAGGAGTGCAAGTTCTCAGAGCATGCTGAATCTCTCATAACCGAGATGCGCAGCAAGGTTGTTGAAGCGATTAGATCTTCTGTCACATCATCGACCACTGTCAAGTCGAATGCCTATGTCTTCTTGGCGACCTTCCAAGAGTCGATCTCGGAATCTTCATCCTTCACCTCGGTGATGTCCGAGCTGCGGTCAGAGGTGCTCATGTACACATCGTACTTCCAGTCCACTAAGAAGCAGACCAACTACCGCTCGATTATCAAGTCGGGATGCAGTTTGTACTTCCACCTACTGGAGAGGAAGACAACCCGCAACGCCGAGTTTGTCAAGATCGAGAAGGAGCTCACAGAGTACTTCCGCAAATATCTCAACCTCTCTCGTAACGTCCAAGATACTACAATGCACTACTTCTTCCAGCTCTACCTCAAGCAGGTCAGCAAAACTCACTACGAGCATGAGGTCGTTCGCCAAGCGACCGAGACTGTACTTAAGTTCACCAAGACCGCCAAGTTCACGGAGGCGTACGATCTTGTCTTGCTCATCGACCGATTCATCCATATCAACGGTGGCTTCAAGTCAGAGTTCTACATCTGCACTGGATTCAATGTCTCGAGATACCTCGTCGGTATCGGCACCAACAAATGCGGCGACGAGAAGCTGTATGCCTCTATGGTTGAGCTTTCCCGCACTATCTTGCAAGAGGCTCTAGCCAGCCTGGATGACGTTGAGATTGAGCTTCACGAGCTGCAGCACCTGCTGACTGACCTTATCTCTACATTGAGCCAGCAGAAGAGGTACCAAGATCTTGAGCGCATCCTCCAGCTTCTGTGGAAGACCAAAACCATCCGCAACAACCTCTCTTCTAGCCCGTTGGTACTTCACATCGGCCGAAGCCTCGTGCAGACGCTGGCCGCTCTCGGCAGATACTCCGATGCGATCCATCTTTGTAAGTTCAAGCCCTTCCTATACTATAGAGTGTCGCTGACAATCTTAGGCTACCACATCAGATATAACCTTGAGTTCATCCGCGGTGCCCTGGACAGATCCACTCTTGAGTTCACGGTGCTCCTGTCCGAGCTCTACACAACACAGAAGCGTTACCGCGATGCATTCGAGCTGCACGAGGACATCATCTGCCGTCTCGGCGAAGGCCAGACGGCACCCGGTCTCAATGCTGTCGACGTTGCAAACAAGCACACGGAGCTCCTGAAGTTCGCTTTCAAGCGCCACGGCAAGTTTGACAAGGGCGTTCAGCAGTACGAGGAGCTCTTCCGTGCGTTGGACGAAGAGTTTGGCAACGATAAGGCGTGGAAGGACAAGCGTCCTCAGCCTGAGAAGTGGACGCTTGGCGTGGGGAAAGACGAGATGTTCGGGTGCTGGAAGAAGCCCGAGAAGTTCGAGTGGAAGATTGAGGAGGATGAGAGTGCTGGCGAGCGGAAGTGGAGGGAGGAGCTTGTTAAGAGGAGGGTCAGTGGTAACCTGTGGGCTAAAGATCCTTCGGTCGAACCTTTGAACGCACAAATCGTGTACTAGTCAAAGAATTTGGAGTATGGGGATTTAATGTTATACGATCATTGGTGCTCAGGCACAGGGGTATCAAACAGGGTGGTGCTTTGAGAGAATCGAATTAATATTTCATGCTACAAGCTTCCGCTGTGCGCGCTGCCTCTGCCATAACGTCCCTGATCACTCAACCTCTCCTCGCACACACAAAATCCCGTCTCTGCATAGACCATACCGCAAATCGTATGACGGTCAGCACCATCACCCGTCTAACCAGCAAGCTTTTTCATCTCACTGCAATTGCGCAGCAAGCGCCACGACCTGATCAAGCAACGCCTTGTCCTCTCCCGCCGCATTCTTCGTAACCTTATCCCTCAAATGATCAACCTGCTGCCCTGCCACAGCCGGTGGGTTGCCTTGGGCTGTCTGGATCCTGGAGACCTGCATCTGCAGGAAGAATTTCGGGACCTTGATCGCCAGATTGCCTCCTACACTCCTGATTCCTGCTTCGGTCGCGAGATACACGTTCAAGTTGTCTTGGAAGGCCTGCAGATCAGTATCTGCGAGAGGATTGGCGGTTGCAAATTGCTGCAGTGCGAATTCGAGGGGTGTTTGAGATGATTTCGAGAAGTCGATGGCGGAGAAGGTTGCGCTGCCGGACGAGACGTCGGGCACGTTGGAGATGGTTGTTGCTGAGTTGTCGCAAGTAACGGCGCTTTGAATTGCGGTCACGGTGTCGGCGACTTCGGCAGGAAGAGCTGTGTCGCCTATTAGGAAGCAGGCGTTGGCTTGTCGAGTTGTGAGATCAACGGTGGGTAGGGCTGTGGATGTTGACAGGATGCTCAGGATGGTGAGCACTGATGTTGTGAGGGTATGCATTGCGGCTTAGGGTATCAAACAGGTATTATGATCGATTTTGTATAGGAATTGAAGGCCTGCCAGAGGTTGCGGATGTGAAAACGATAGACGAAGCGATGGAAGGACAAATGTGTGGCTGATGATGGGCGTTCCTCGGTGATTCGCGGTCGTTTTGTAGTTGCCTTAGCATCGTGACAACCATCCTCAGGACTTGCATTCAGGCGCCGCGCCGTGTGAGGTTGTAGATCAGGCATCTTTCGAGGTAGTTCCTGTGTCACAATGGTAGTCGTGACAGAATTAACAGGGCTGGTCGTCCGTTTTAGGCAACGGCGCGTCTCAGGTGCAGTCTTGGGTTCGCGCAGCATGAACCGCAAACTTCATTCGGCTCGTAAAATTTGACAACTTCCAGAATCGAGGAGTTTGGAACGACCGCGGTGCTTACACAAGGCGGCAAAGGTACCGGGATCCGTCCGGCGCAAGGCGAGGGTGCATGTGAGCGGTTGTACTGGTATCGAAGCGTTTCATGTCGTTCGTCTATTGTAGTCGTGATCCATGTATGAACTTTAATCTTCCGTTCTTGGTGAATTCTTCTCGCATCTTCAGGCATTCTCTCGTGCTCGTCTAAACATGTTCCCGCCCGTGCCTCTTCCTCCACCCTCTGACTCCCTCGTCAATTACATCCCTCGTTACACCTCGTGGTACCAGTTTCATCGTCACACCTAGCACTTCGACGTTCTTGTTCCTGTTCTCATCATCGAAAAATAGCATCTCCTCGTACTCTATCCCACTATCCCTGTGTATGCGCTCGAAATGTGTCGTCTTACTGCCAGGGTAAATTTGCAGGTGGTCGAAGTAGTCGATCGCACGGGTCGAAGAGCCGGACGAATTGGGGATCTTGAGGAGCTTGAGCATCTCGCGGCCAAGGTCGGGGGCATGTGTGCGTGAGGCGGCGCCGATAAGGATGTTCTTGGCTTTGAGCTGGAGGTTATCAGCATTCTGTGATCGATACTAGAAGGGTTGCATATGCACTCACAGCTACCAATACGCCTCCAACATCATTGTAGAAGCCATATGCCTCTCCGTAGCGGTCCTTGACCTTCAGTCCGCCCTCTATCGCCTTGATAGGTCCCGTGACATGCGTGTCCACCCAAAATGGCCATAATGTGTAATCGAGATCAAACACGACAATCTTCGGCAGGGGTAGCCCATCTGTGAATGTCGATGGCCACTGTACCTTCTCTGGCAGTGTCGTAGTGGTCGCTGTATTGTCGGACCGCGTGGAAGTACCGCTGCGGTGGGGCATGTCGAGATCTGGCAGGTGCAAACGACTCGGTGTGAATAGATATGCAAAGACAAAGGTCGTGACTAGTACGAAGAGAAAGCGAAAGTTGGCCAGTATATTGTAGTGCGTGATGCGATCGTCTACAGAAAAAGCCCGTTCGTTGAGTTGAAAGTGGCGCGCAGCCACTATGACATCACGCGTCCATGACTGGCAAGTGCGCTTTGACAGCCATCAGCATCTGGAAAGCAACAGCATCTTCTTGACCCCCACAAATACAACAACCCTACCACAATTACCACATAGCAATCATGTCGGTCAACAAGGTGAGAGTGTTCAAGTAAGACGATGTCGAAAGCACGATCGAACGCAAACGTTTGTCTGCACAACTGTAGTCCCAGAACACACTTATAGAGAGGTGGATTTTCATTGAGTTCAAGGCCTTCGTGCCAGCTCCATCACACAATATCCTACTCTTTGAACATGCCGGATCTTACTCAACATTACTCTCAGGCCACATCGTTGTTCTTCACGCTGCCTGACGAGCTACGCAACATTGGTATATGACAACCTATGGATTCAAATGGCCTGATCCCGGGGATCACACACTGATTCCATGCACTCGATGGTCACTTGGCGAAGAGCATACCGCGCAAGAGCATACCGTGTGAGACAATCCCTCAGAGCCTACGATCTCCCCTTCTGGCTTCTTACTTGTAAGGCCTTCCTCAATGAAGCAATCGAGCAACTTCGACGAGATGGTGTTTGGAACATCTACACCGATACTGACGCACCGATCATGCCGTTCACCGGACTCCTTATCTGAGCCACAGCTCAACATATCTCAATAGCCTGGGCCAGCCTACGTGATCTTCGAGAAAGAGACACCTGTCTTACTGAGCATGTACTGAGTACAAAGCCCGAAGGATTCGCTGCTGAGATTCTGTTTCTTAATCAATTACCAGCCACGAACGAAATCAGATGCTTCGAACTGTTGATCGACTCAGGCAGTGCACGCAGGTGTGGTCGGTCAAATATCAGACACCGTGGATCTGATATCTTTAAAAAGAATCGACGCTGCACCTTGTGAGCGCCGCATAAATGAAGTTCATGCATGGCAAAGTCTCTATGATGAGCTTCAGATCGCAGCGAGCACTGTCTTTCATACCGAGGTTCATGAGATAACAGGCGTGTATAAGCAATCGTCAATTGGCGAGTTGTCAGTCGTGTTCGAACCTGTATCGAGGGAGCAATAAAGTCGGCGGTGTTAGGATGGCGTCTCGAACCTGCTTTTCTGCACCTCGATGCCGTCAGAGTAGATTCTTTGCTAGTTCATAGCTCCAGCATCCGGTTTCCCAGTTTCCCATCTCTACCTCTTCCTGTAACACCAACTCGAGATGCACAAGGCACACGTGCACGAGGGGTTGCACCGCCAGCTCACCGCTCCACAGGTTCACTGACGCCCGTCTTGTGAGCTCGTTACACCTTCTTCAAACTGTCGCACGCGCTGTGGGTACCGGCCAAGGTCAAAAGAAGCCGATCAAGTGCCCAGCAGGCCGCCGGATGTTAGATTGCAGATTTGCCCCACAGCCAGTAAGAAACATGTAGGAAGATGGTCACCCTTTTCGTTGATAGCCGAGGCCAAGCTTTGCGGTAGCGCGGCGCCTCGAAGCCTGATCCCCGCAACGCGTGAGTCGCGCGTCTGATCTTCCAACGTCACGACGCACCTCACGACGCAACTCACGATGCTAGTGAAGAGCCAGTACAAACGCCGTTACTCAGACACATGTCGTCATTCTGTTAGTATGTTAAAGACCAGTCTCAGCATCATGGCCTTCCCACAGGTTCGGGGACCGCCGAGGTTGCTGGCTGCGACCAGCGACTTCCCCTGAAATGTACAGGTCGACGGAAGTCTCGTGCCCAATAGGAAGGTATGACCGCGCTGTTCAGTCCAAGTACACCACCCAAGGTTTCCTGTCCCCGCTACTAGCGGCTATCACATTCTGTTATGTGTTGAAAGGATGCATATCCACACATTTGTCCTCCCTTGTTGCGCATACGCGCCGAGTATTGAAAGCCGGAGATATCTTTGGTTCGCTGCACATCTCCACATTCATCTGCAGGTACAACGTCCCAGCCATGTTGTCAACATCTAATGCGAACCGCTGCTGCTTGCCAATGGACAGGGACGAAGTCATTTGTTTCTACCTGCCGGACCCTTTTCACTAGATGCATCATGCGGCGCGGAAACATGGTAAGGAATCAGGGGTGGAGGTGAAGTTGGATGTTAACAACTCGCCATGGGCTCCACACCTACTTTCTCCCCAGGTCATCGTGACTATGGCCCACTTATACCCGGCACCAGAGCTTTCAACCGCTTATATTTAATGTGCTCTTTTCCGCTTCGAACGCCTCTTCCATCTTACTTGGACCATAATCAACTTGGAGGGCCTCAACCTTTGAGCGCGAGATGTTCGTCAAGTCCTTCCTCGCGCTTGCCGCGTACACGCGCTTCGCTCTTGCGGCACCTTACCCTCACGATACTACTTCCCTCGTCTTCGCTCGAGCTACAGACCCCTCAACGTGTCCGGGCTATACAGCAACCAATGTTGATGTCACAGACTCTGGCCTCACAGCCGACCTCACCCTCGCTGGTGCCGCATGCAACGCCTACAGCGAGGATCTTCAGGAGCTAAAGCTGGTTGTTGAGCACCAGACCGGTGTGTATCTACCTATTGCATATTGCAGCCTCCGTTTTCTCACTTAAATCGACAAGTTGACCAAAAACTGACTCAGTCACAGATGACCGTCTCCACGTCAAGATCTACGATGCGGGTCTCAACATGTTTCAGGTTCAGGAGGAGGTCATGCCCCGCCCTGCAAACGACAAGGTCGCTTCCTCTGGCGCGGCTGTTCGATTTGACATCATTGCGCAGCCCTTTGCATTCAAAGTCATTCGGAACAGCAACAACGAGACCATCTTCGACACTACAGGTACTCCCTTGATCTTCGAGAAACAGTACATTCGTCTGCGTACCAACTTGCCGAAGGACCCGAATCTGTATGGTCTTGGAGAACACAGCGATTCTTTCCGTTTCCACACGAAGGATTACCGTCGCAGTTTTCTGAACGCTGAGTCGATTAACATTCCAAACAATGCGAACTTGTACGGCTCGCACCCGGTCTACTTCGATCACCGCGGTGACAAGGGCACTAATGGCGTCTTTCTGCTGAACTCGTCTCCTATGAACATCGATGTCGACCAGGATGATGCTGGCAACCAGTACCTCGAGTACAACACCATTGGCGGTGTGCTCGACTTGTACTTCTTGGCCGGCCCCGCCCCTGCTGACGTTTCGAAGCAGTACGCCGACGTTGTTGGTTACTCGGCCATGTATCCGTATTGGACGCTCGGCTTCCACCAATGCAAGTACGGCTACTGGGACGTCAATATGGTGGCTGAGGTTGTCGCCAACTACTCAACCGCTGGAATCCCGCTCGAGGTCATGTGGACAGACATTGACTACATGGATGCGCGTCAGGATTTCACTCTCGACCCTGAGCGCTTCCCTCTTACTAAGATGCAGGAACTCGTGTCCACTCTTCACTCCCGCGACCAACGCTACGTGCTCATTCTTGACCCAGGTGTTCATGCTTTCGAAGAAGTCGCAGCCTACAAGAGTGGTCATGATCTCGACATCTTCCTGAAGGCAGCTGACGGCACTGATCTCCTCGGCGTTCAGTGGCCTGGTGCTGTTGCATGGCCTGATTGGTTCCACCCCAACGCGCAGAAGTGGTGGACTGATGAGGTCCTTAACTTCTTCGACACCGACTCCGGTGTCAACATTGACGGCATCTGGGTTGACATGAACGAAGCTTCCAACTTCTGCCAGGACACAACCTGCAAGCCTCGTGAAAAGGCAATCGCAGATGGCATTCCACCTAAGCCTGCCCACGACCCCCGCCCCAACACTGGACGTCCCATTCCCGGGTTCCCTGCATCGTTCCAGCCCAACTCTTCGAAGCGCGATCTTGAGTCACGTCAAGCTATGGGTCAGATGAAGGGATTCGCAGACCGCGAGTGGTTCAATCCCGCCTACACGGTCAACAACCATGTCGGCAACCTCTCCGACCTCACCATCTACTTCAACACCTCGAACTACGACGGCACACATCAGTACGACACACATAATCTCTACGGACACATGATGGCCATGACGACTCAGCAGTCAATGATCACCCGCCGTCCAGAGCTGCGCCCCTTCGTTCTCACCCGCTCCACATGGGCTGGTACCGGCCGCAAGGTGACACACTGGTTCGGCGACAATGCATCGGACTGGGAACACTACCGCACCTCCATCCGCCAAATGTTGTCTTTCGTGTCTATGCACCAAATGCCTCTTGTCGGTTCTGATGTCTGTGGCTTTAACGGCAACACGAATGAGAACCTTTGCGCACGCTGGGCTATGCTAGGTGCCTTCCAGCCATTTTATCGCAATCATGCTGAGTTGTCGACGATTCAGCAGGAGTTCTACCAGTGGCCATCCGTCGCGGAAGCAGCGAAGAAGGCTATCGATACGCGTTACAAGCTCCTCGACTATATCTACACGGCGCTGTACTACCAGACCACTACTGGCGCGCCGATGATCAACCCACTGTTCTTCCTCTACCCCAATGACGCCAACACCTTCGGTATCCAAGAGCAGTGGTTCTACGGCGACTCGCTCCTCATCTCACCAGTCACCACCGACTACTCCGACACCGTCACCTATTACCTCCCCAACGACGTCTTCTACGACTACTGGACACACGAGAAGATCCAAGGCTCCGGCGCCAACGTCACAGAGTCAAACCTCACCACAAGCGACATCCCCGTGCACATCCGCGGTGGCTCCATCCTGCCGCACCGCATGAACTCGGCCAATACCACGAAGGCCCTGCGCCAGGAAGACTTCTACGTCCTTGTTGCTCCCGCTGCCGATGGTTCGGCTAAGGGCCGCTTGTACCTCGATGAGGGCGAGAAGATCGAGCAACCGGGCGTCAGCGAGATTGAGTTCAGGTTCGAGGGAGGCAAGTTCAGCACAAGCGGATCTTTCGGGTACGCGGGTGCGGTTGGGGAGAGTGTCATGGTTGCTAAGGTGGTTGTCATTGGGCAAGAGAAGGCTGGTGCTACTGGCACTTTTGATGCGGAGACGGGTGCGATCGAGGTTGAAGGGCCGTGGAAGTTGGATGGGGGGTTTGACTTCCAGCTTTGAGCAGGTGCGGGAATAGTTTTACGATCTTGCTGACATATTGGCGTCTTGAGATGTTTCTGCGTTATGCACACCGGCATAGCATGGCGTCCTGGGGCTGCGGTTTGACATGTCACTTTGGTGTCTTTGGTGTGCGCTTAGTACATCCTTTTGTCGGGATTTTGGGAAACATCTTGTGCAATGTTTCCGTCATGTCACAGCATAGACAATTCGAACATGTCGTACAAGTCCCTGTAAATTCCCTCTGCTGCACCACTTCCGCTACCATTACCTTCCACCATCAGTACAAGCATCCATACCATGGCCACGATCTCAACTACTTTCCAACGTACGATGGGCAATGAACATTTGTCATACTAGATCTCTGCATTGGGTTTTACTTTGCCGCCTGCATGCTGCTTTCACGCCCGTCAATGTTTACCCGACGCCTGTCCTACAGACGCACAAATTTCATTAAGCCAAGCAATCCTACAACAATGAAAAGCAGCGTCGTGCAGATAGACTGTGGTCACAGCGCACTTTTGGTTTGTGATCTGAGTCGTGCGACACCGCCTCGAGGACTTTGTGGCCGTGTGACCGTGTTGGCGCGCCATGGTCACTTGACCACGTGCTACCAGGAACCACCTGGGCACACTCATCTTCCGAAATGTCAGACACGTGCAATCTGCGCCAGAATGGTGTTTCGAGTGTACCGGTCAATGCGCTTGTCGGATGGTAGTTGCTGCCGTGACACTGTAGCTTCTTAAGTCGGGCGTTTCGCTTCGTGGACGTGTTGCCATGTGTCCAGCGCTGGAAGCGCAAGATAGGCAGGGTTCGCATATCGCTGCAATCCTCAGAACCGTGCTTCGGTGCAGATGTCGTGCCGATCATCTGTCGGCTCCAACTCTTCTCAGCCCAACTCTTCTCAGCCCAACTCGTACTCAGCCCTCCGCGGCCAACGTAGCAGCCTCGAGCTCGTCCCTCACGCTGTTCAAACTGACGTCTTGCACCTCATACCCGACTTCGATCTTGTTCTTCGGCCTGTTCTTGTTCAAACCCTCAAGTAGCACACAAGCTTTGCACACCTCCTGGCTCGACAGGTATCCGCACTTCTTGCACTGGCCCATTACCTGCTTAGTTGGCCCTTTCTTCTTGGGTCCACCGGTGCGCTCGGCGCGGGGTTTCTTTTGCCCTTTCGTTGAGGTTGCGGATGGGGGTGGTGTAGGCTTCGCAGGCTTCGATAGGATTTCGGTTTCGAGGTTGTGCTCCGCGGCGCGCTCGTTGGCAGCGAGTTGCGATTCCACGCTCGCCATGCTCTTGCCTACTGCACTCCCACAGCCACCCTCCTCTTCCTCGGCTGGCACAGCAGCACCAGAGCCGCACGCCCCTCCACAGCCTTCGTCGCTGCCGGGGACTAGGCGCGCCATGTCCTCGCCACTCCTGACTACATCTAGAATCGCGCTCGGTCGCACCCGCTCCAGGTTCTTGATCAAGGCGCGCGCGCTGCCGCGGAAGGCTTCGGGACTGTATATGCACTCGGTGCTGAAGTAGTCGAGTCGCTTGTGGTACGCGTAGAGCACGATTTCCTTTTCGTAGGCGTACTTGAGGGGTTTGGAGCGCTTGATGTTGGTGTTGTCTGCGACGGGGCCGGAAGAAGGGGTTAGGGAAGGGGTGGAGGTTACGATGGAGGTTGTGCGCGAGAGGCGGGGGAGGTCGCCTCGGAGTACTGTGTCTGATGTCAGCATTGAGTTCCCTCAGCTACGAACTGCACAAGGACAAGGACAAGAGGGCTTACGGTTCATGAGTACCGTCTCAGCGACGTCATCCGCATTATGGCCCGTCACCACGTGCTTGACTCCCAGCCTCGACGCGCCTCGATCGAGGGCTTGTCTGCGGAAGACACCGCAGTATGTGCAGTTCCCCTTCTTCCCCACTTGCTCAACGACTTGATCCATAGTCCATCCGTACAGCTCTGCATACCCCAGGATCGTCAGAGACATGTCGTACTGCTGTGCATTCCTCTTCACCGTTTCCAAGCTGTCGTCCCGGTACCCTTTGATGCCCTCATCGATGGACAGCAGTATGAGGTCGAGACCGTAGTCGTAGCGCTCGTTGAGAGTCTTCAGAACCGAGGCGAGCACGGTCGAGTCTTTGCCTCCGGACGCGCCGATTGCGATGCGCTCCCCGCGCTGGAACAGGTTCGTGGAGATGATGGTATGGTGGATCTCGGCTTCGAAGACGTTGATGAAGCAGGGTTTGCAGAGCTTGGAGTGGTCTTTCGGGCGGAGGATGAGGGCGCGGTTGGTCTTACATACGGCGCATATCGAGGGCGGCATGGCGGGCAAGTTGCGCGTTGTACCGCCTTCACGCTGTGTGGAGGGGCGTCGAGAAGTTTGGCGGGGCGTCGAGAAGTTTGGCGGGGCGAACTCGAAAAATGGTGCTTGAGTCATTTGTGGGGATCCGGCCGGCGCGTTTGACTCGTTGTGCTTATGGGCGTTATTGCCTTTGCGCTCAGTGGGCAAAGGGCAAATTAAATTCCTGCTGCATTCGACACATTTGCAACATTGCCATACTAGGAAGTCGTGATGCAGTGACGAGTCTGCTTCGACACTGCGAACTCCTCCTTCTGTCACCCACAAGCAGCATCGAAGATCGCAAACATACCCTTTGTCCCAAGCCCAGCCGCACCCTGTTCCTCCGGTACCTTGCCCTTATACCACATACGATGGTACTCCACACCCGTGTCCTTCCAGCCCAGGGCACCAAACACCTTCTTTCCTTCCACGTTGGTGCCGAAGACCTCAGCAACCAGGCTTCCTGTCGACTCGGCAACAGAAGGATGCTGCATCACCAGACGCAGAAGATGCGTAGCAACAACTGAAGATGGTGCGTAGAGAGGACCAATCCTGTGCCCATCTTCGCAGCCCCGGACAAGGATGAAACCTGTGGGCTCTGAGTCGGTGTAGTGAATGTAGCCAAACCCATCGTCCCGGTCTAAGAGATTGGAAGTCACCCAGTAGCGGCTCCGGTCCAGGCCTGTGTGCGCGAGATCCAGAGCCGCGAGGTCTTCCCTGTTCGCCTTCGAGATGTCTTCAAATTCTCCTGCAGGCCTTTCATAACCCTCTTTGCGCTTGGCATCGGCGCTGGATTTAGCGACGTCCTCAGCCAAGCACACCATCAACGGAATCCTCCCCACGTCCACAAACCCACGACGTAAGTACGTCGGAACCTGCTCTTCCACACCATCCAGCCCCATAACTTCAACGCATTCCTGCTCCCACACCTTCTCCATACTGCGCCACAGCTTGCCGCCCAACCCCTTCCCTCTATACGCCTCGCTCATGATGAAGAAGCCGATCCAGCCCGTGCCGTTAGGATAGGGGAGAGCGACGACACAGCCTTGAGGTTTTGCGCTTGAAGATACGGAGCCCGAGCCTGTATCCGCTTCTGATCCGGAGTTGTCGGATGCAGATGATGCGATTCGTGGTGTGATGAGTAGCCATGTCTTCCCGTCGAGGGCGGCGTGGTAATGCATTGATCCGTCGGCTTCGGAGCGGTTCCATCCTAGGTCGCAGATTATGGGGTACCAGAGGGACGAAGCTTCTGAAAGAGAGTTGGCGGAGTGGATGAGGTGTGGTGTTGGAGCCATGCTGTATTGTTGTGCTGCTGGTGGGTTCGATGGAGCAGTTGGAGACGACGACAAGCGGCCCGAGTCTTATTCTCGAGTTCTGTAGTCACCCAAATCTACCACTAGTTTGAAGATATGCAGTGAGGTTTTAGTGCAAGTGAGTCAAGACGAATGGAGTGGCCTAAAGATGCAGGCTTTGATAAGCACTTGCAGGTACCGCTGCATTGGTCGCAGATGACACCATCGTGGCAGGCCCACGCCCGAAGCTTTTGTCGACCGTGCAGCACAACAGAAACACCATGGAATGCACTCCAGGACCCACTTATACGCGAGACGAATGGACGATGCAGACGACGAAGATGAAAGATCGTTTGAAGTGGAGCAGTTGATGATGACTGGCGCCCCACCACACTAGTAAGGACAAGTATTCCAACAGACACACATTGAGCCCCCAAAGGCATTCTCAAAGCAGTTCACCAACGCTATTCCCACAATGCCACCTCCACGCGACAACCTCCCGAAACCCTGGCGGCGAACTCCCCTCATCCATTCAACCACCCTCTCCAAATCCGCCGGATGCCAAATCTACCTCAAACTCGAAAACCTGCAACCTTCCGGCTCCTTCAAATCGCGAGGCATCGGTAACCTCCTACTCTCGCACCTCTCATCCCTCTCCTCCCCCACGGACCGCGAGAAAATTCACTTCTACTCCTCCTCAGGCGGAAACGCAGGCTTAGCATGCGTATGCGCCGCCGTCAGCCTCGGGTCGCCTGCGACCATTGTCGTGCCGCTGAGTACCACCGCGTTCATGATTGAGAAGATCAGGGAGGCAGGCGCCGCGGAGATCGTGCAGGAGGGCACGAGCTGGTACGAAGCCGATGCGTATATGCGCGAAGTTGTTATCCCGGAGGCGGAGAGGAGGGGCGAGAAACCCGTTTATGTACCACCATTCGATGCGCAAGAGATTTGGGACGGCCACGCAACGATGGTGCCTGAAGTGCTTGAGGACTTGGGACAGGCGCCGGACGTGGTCGTGTGTAGTGTTGGTGGTGGGGGGCTGTTCACTGGGCTTATGTTGGGACGGGAGCAAGCGAAGGAGAAGGGAGAAGGGATAAAAGTCCTTGCTGTTGAGACCGAGGGTGCGGATTCGTTGGCGCTGTCGCTCAAAGAGGGGAAGCTGAGTACGTTGCCGGCGATTACTAGTATCGCGACCACTCTTGGGGCGAGGACGGTGGCAAAGCAGGCTTATGAGTATGCGAAGAGCGATGCTGTGAAGAGTGTGGTCTTGAAGGATAGGGAGGCTATGGAAGGTTGTGTGAGGTTCGCCGACGATGAGAGGATCATGGTCGAGGCTTCTTGTGGGGTCAGTCTTGCGCTGTGTTATGGGAGAAAACTGCGGCAGGTGATGCCGGAGTTGACAGAGGCGAGTAAGGTGGTGATTGTGGTTTGTGGTGGGAAGAATGTCACCACGAACATGCTGCAGACTTGGAATGAGCAGCTGAAACAGCCGGCATGATCGACACGGAGGTGTCTATGAGAGATAATGGCTTTCAATATAGAGAGTAAGACTAGAATATAGTAGATAGCTCACAGGAGCAAAGCATAGACCACTCGTAAACCACTCTTGATCTATGTTGGTTACCTTTTGCGATTGTGACTTGGCATTTTTCTACGCGGGGTGCTGTGACGTAGCGATGGTAGCGATCGAAGTGAAGGTACGATCGACCTTGTCTCAGTATCCTCGTCGCCCCGCTGCTTCCGCTGTCCAACAGATCGATCACCTCCCGAAGATCTCCAAAGTCAACCTCCACAACCTACCACCATCATGACGTACGCAAACGAAGACACCAATTTACCCATCGCGCTCTCCATTGTGGCCAAGACATGGGAGTTACACCAGGAGAACGAAGCTCCGAAGGCGCAAAAGGCTGCTCTCAAGGCCCAGGCTGCCGCCACGCTCACAGAAACTGTTCAGATCCAGGCAGGAATTGCTCTCATCAAGTCCAAAACTAAAATTGGCAGAAGCTAAGCGCGATAAGGCAATTGTTGAAGCAAAGCAGGCGCTCGCCAAGCTGGTACGCATGTACGATAAGATTGTGGCTGACAAGGTATGTAAAGATGTTGCGGTGTCAGTTGGTCCTTACGAGACCCGATTACCCTTGCTTAGACTGTTATGGACTAGATGCTCCTCTAACGGAAGAAGTGTGCAGTCCGGCGGTATCACCGGTTGGGAGCTGTGAGGTCACTGTAGGCAGGCAATCGGACACAGGATGGATTGGTGCCGTCTGAGGGCAAATGGGATGAGATTAGACGAATCCTTGATGGCTGAGCCTCAAGGTTCGTGGGGAATATATACAGGTGGCCCGTGAGCCTCTGGCCCAGCTCTGGAGTACGTCCGAGGGCTGGCCGGCACATGTAAAGGGAAATACTCGTGACAGGAGCAATGTTTGCAAAGTGCAGCCCAGCGGGTCAGGATTCGCTCGCTTCGCTTGCCATGCGGTGGCTTGCATTAGCGTGCTGAGATACTTCGTACTGAATCTGACGCCCTGCCTACCGCAGATCGGCCGCTAACAATAGTTGTGGCGCAACCTAACGGCTTTCCTAAAGCATTCACGACCACGTGCCCGATCTGTAGAATCCACGCGCGCCCCCTGTCTGATTCTCCCCCTCTCCTGCATGCCATTCGGTGCTATGCTCAGCACCTGAGACGGTGAGATCTGAGAACTCGAAGTCTATTGAGGCATATTGTTGCAGTAAATGCAACAAGTGAAGGTGTAACCGCGCAGGGCAGTAAGTCAGGGGTAACCGCGCGAAGCAGTAAAATCGGTATATTCTGTTGTTCTGTGTTCTGTTCTCCGTTCTCCCTCACCGGGTCATTAGGGTCTGTTTACATGACGTATATCCCGTGCAGTCAAGAAAGTGTTGTTGGAACAGGCAAGAGCACTGCACCAGCACGTGGCAGATATGACCTCTTCACTCCATAATCCGTCACACATATCCTTGCTGCAGTCAATTCCCTGGGAACTATATAAGGTTCCATGTTATAGTGTGAAACTCGGCCGTTGGCTTTACTTTGCTACGAGCAGTTGTGGGTGTGTAGTGTAACACTGCAGATCCATACTCTGCCAGTCCCAACGCCCATACCGACTGTATTTCCACACACCGCAGAGCATGACGGTCGATACTCTGATGGTATCCGCAGCATGTTCCTGCCATCATGCTTGATCCATATGCTATCGGAACTGAGGGTTGTGCTTAGATACAGAGGGCGCTTAGGATCTACGATAGCTGCCTCGCTAGAAGTTCCTGAGCTGTGTATGGCAATGGGATCTATCTCAGAACGAAGAAAAGAGCTGGTGGAATCGAAGGATAGGCTGTAAAGAGCCTTGCCAATGTTGAGCGTCTGCAGACACGCGCCGCTGCCTGTATCCCACACCTTGACGGTGTTGTCCTATGACGCCGACGCCAGCTTGCTCGAGTCGTGCGAGAAGGCTACAGAGGTGACATGGCTGCTATGGCCCTCGAGCGTCTGCAGACAAGCACTCCAGCTGCTGCTCATTGCTGGCTTGATGGTGATTCCTTTCGGCTCTTCGTGTTGAAACAATCTTCTAGTCAAACTTCCTGTGGGGTTGAACAATAGCGCAGATGCATACATCTGCAGAGGGTAGCTCTCGATTACCCCTTTGTGTTACATGACAAATCGGGCAGCATCTTGGACAAGCTCAGTAAGTTCATCCCCATCCTGGATTTCCTGGAAGGGTTAGCATGTACAACAAGTGTATCATATAGTTGTGTTATCTTTGCTTGCCATACCTCAATCAGAGAGCATAACTTTGCCATCAAAACCACCCTTTTTCCTATGCTTCTGCACAGACTGAGTCCTTCTAGCCAGTAGAGATACTTCTTCCTTATAAACTCATTGACGGCGCCTGTGACTTTCAAGTCACCACCACCGTTCGCCCAAGACTTAGGCTTCGAGTCGTATAGATGATCGATCTAGTAGACGCACGAGTAGCGTAAGGCTGCAAGCGGGTCTGGCTTGGGCGGTTGAAAACCAATCCTCGAATACTTTCAGCATGAGTGGAGACTACAACAACAATCCAAGAAATCAAAGCTCTGCGCCACCAATACTGCATCTATCAGAAAGCTGTCTCGGGCAACAATAATCTACTTTAGCAAGCTCCAAGCCTCATGCCGGCTGTCCCAAATTTTCCCACTTGTCATTCCCAGTCGTATACGACCACTCGTGTGGATCAACAGTCCCCGTCACCACCAATTTCAAGACATCGCCCAGCAAATCCTTCACCACCAGCTCAAGCTTCCCACTCTCATAAGCCACCATAGAAGTAGGCAGAAATTCCGTCGGGTAGTAAAGTTCAGATCCCGTCTCTTTGTCATTACACCATAAATAAGCCCAGGAGCCCCATCCCGTACCATTGTGGCCATTGTAATGTATGCAATTATCGGTACCGCGTGAAATTAGGTGCGCAAATGGATAGCCATCTACACCAAGGCCTTTGACAATGCTCTGCGTGTCGGGAAACTCGACACCCTCATGACTGGCATACATCCCGATCCAGTCGCTCCAAGCACCATTCTTGAACAGCTTGTGCGACGAGCTGCCTGCGTTGATAACGACATCGATGGTGCCGTCGCCGTCGCCCTCATGCCAAGAGACTGCCAGGGGCGAAGATGAGGTCGACCCCGGCTCTGAATAGTAGCTTGAGAACGGGTCACCGAGATCTTCCCATTCTCCTGCCCAGCCGGATTCAGGCGTCCAGTGCTTATGCAACACGGTATTCCCGTTTTTGGCGAAAACATCGATTCTGTCTTCACCCCAAGATGTTGCTGCAACTTCGCTGGTGATGTCCGCACCCAGCTCGGTCCATTCGCTCCATAGAGAACCATCGTACGAGACAAGCCACACATGCCCATCATTGTCGACGTTGATGACGTCTATCTTGCTTTGCTCTCGCGAAACTACGGTTGGTCGTCTCCGGAACTGCGCAGCAAACTCGAGTTCCTGCCAGTCATCCCATTGGCCGTCGTGGAAATGCATGTAAACGATGCGGCCGTGAATGGCTTCGACGGAGAATGCTGTCTGAGTGGTCTCGCTGGTACGGACGGTTATGGGCGCGACTAGGAATTGGCGGTCGGGGTAGGCTTCCCAGGCGCCTCCGTACTCTTTCCTCCAGAGTTTGCTTTCGGAGCGCAGATCCCAGAGGAGCAATTGAGGAGCATCTGCGGCTGCGCTGATGTCTCGAGGGACGTGTCCCTGGGCCTGTAAGACAGGACCGGAAGGCTGCGAAGGTCCGGGAGGGGGATAGGCGCTTGCTGTTGGACTAGCGCTGGAATCCGTGGGTGTGGCAGAAAAGACGAAAATACCTGTGGTTAGAGCTCCACCTGAAGGAGTGGTAGTTGCTGCATGACTTGCTTGACTAGATTGAAGTGTCGATGTTCCACGTTGAGCGGCAAACAATCGATCGCGGTCGATCTGCTCATTCCTTCATATCGGTCAGTGTACGAGTCTAGAGAGTCGATAATGTTCTACTCACTCAGTCTGCGATTTCTTCACACCGTACACTGCACCGAAAATGATTCCAAACGCAGCTAATATCGCCAAGAGGAAGGTCGGCATCCAGACTCGTTTCCTCCACCACCATCTCCGTTTCGGCGGGTGCTGATCATGAGTAGGGTACTCTGGAGACGCCTTGACAGGATATTCCACCGCCATCTGTCTCGTTATCTCATATCGTCGAGTGAGGTATCTTCAACTGAATTTGGCTGTAACCTTGCTAATGTATCTGTGTCGCCAAGACTTCCAAGGCAGCCTCGCCTTACACACGGCGCGCGTGGCCAATTAGCAACCAATCTTGTGCCGCTAGTGCCGGGACAATCTACACCAGTACCCCGGCTGGGTGCCTAACATGGTACGAAGCCAATGGAAAAGCCAAGATTCAGCCTCTGCACATGGGCAGAGGGCCCGAAATAATGTGTTTTGCCGTTCAAGCGTCATGTTGCAGCGATAAAGTCCTCCTTGACACCTTCAGCATTTTTTTCGTGCCAAGTCTATGGGCTCGAATTACCTCTTACAAGAACTCTCAAGCAGGCAGGCGATACAACACGTAGTCTGGTGAATGCTGGGTTTTGAGTAGTTGAACTTGTGTACAAAGAAGCTCGTTTTGGGAGACGTACCAATATTGGAGCGAATACCTGTTTAGTGCTTTGAATTGCCGAGTTTCCAGCAACTCTGGCCGAGCACACATTGACTTCATGTAAGTTTGTAAGTTTGTCGTATAGATGGTCTCAACCTTCTGGTAGACATACACCTTACTGAGTAATATATACGATATTTTGCACTGTGATATTCCGTTCGAAATGTCACACGATATGGTAGAGAGCTGCGTATCGAACTAGTCAACGGGCCAACTTTACCTTGAAAGATGACGACTGCTGCGACGTCGCAACCGCTCTCGAAGATTCGTCTGGGAGGACTGACTTACTCCTTCCCCGAAGCTCTTCAAGTACTATAAGTAGACTGATTAACATATGAGATAAAAGTTTTGATCTAGCTTATTCCCTAAGATATTCAATATTCTCTACTTTTTACTATTCATAAAGTAGAAAATAGAGTATAACTCTAGATCACATGTGACGGTTTATGGAGTGAAGAGGTCATGTCTGCCACGTGTGCTGGTACAGTGCTCTTGCCTGTTCCAACAGCAGTTTCTAGCTGCACGATAGATAGGTCATGTAAACAGACCCTGATGACTGCCGGGTGAGGGACAATCACACAACAAGAACAGAACACAATATACCGATTTCACTGCTTCGCGCGGTTACTCCTGACTTACTGCCCTGCGCGGTTACACCTTCACTTATTGCATTCACTGCAACATCACTACTTATTTAAAAAAGTCTAATATAGAAGTAAGTCTACTTATAGTACTCTATCTTGTATTAAAATCTTAGGCAAATCTATCAACCCGTTGAAGTCGTGCCTTAAGCGAAGCTCGTAGACACTATTCGATTGGTTCTCAGGGATGAGCAGAGGTACAGAAAGCCGTCAGGGGTTGGTGACTATCGGTCGGGCCTGTAATAGCCTTTGTAATAGTCGGGTAATCGTCTAGTCAAAGACCGTCGCGACTGGGAGCAATGAGTGGTACAGAGTATACTGTCTAACTCGAGAGCGGGTGAGATTCCAATAACAAAGATGATTGACGAGGTTGAACACGATGCCATAAGGGCAGTGTATCTACTTGCTATATACTTGAGCAGGAGGATTGCTCAGATCGCTCGGTACTGAGTATACTGCTCGTACCGAGTATACTGACGCGGCCTAACTGCTCGAGTTGCTCGAGTGAGACTGATGATCATACTGAGTATCGCCGACGCGGCCTCACTGCTTGGGTCGATCGATACTACAGTTCCTCGGCTCCTCTCGTATCGTTGTTCAGTGTTGTTGCGGTTTGCCCTTTGATCGTATCACAACCTTAATTTTGTAGATTCAAAGTAGAAATACTAGAATAGCTATATTTAAAAAAAAATTATATATAAAAGCTATAGATCCATTCATCTACTGTAACTTTAGTATTGGAGTTTTTTAATATATCTTCTAGCTAAGGAGCTGGACTATCTTAAAGAGTACTAGAAATAGGCTATTTTGGTGAGGATTTCGGCGCATTGCGTGCACGAACACGGTACACCAACAAATAAAGATGGCAAGCTGGATATTGCGTCCAACGTCTTCTTCACAGTCATAAGGCAAAGAATCGTCCATTCTTACGTATGTGCGAATGCAGGGTTCTTGATCGCAATTCTGATTACCAGCGTGATTAATCCATCCCGACCAGCGATCAGACTCGTCCTCAGGTCATTTCCCGTAGAATGTGGCAGATATCGGGTGGCATCGGAGATAAAGATAGGCGTCCGCAAGTGCGCCGGAGGGTTTACTCTTAACGTACACATCTGTGATCTCGGCAATCGGGCACACCTTACCCCAATAGTTCGGATGATAAGTTGGATTTCGGTTTGCGGGGATTGTTATCTTGTTGGTGCTTGCCCAACTCCATGTATCAGCCCGCCATTGCCTCAGCCGATATGGCCCTCGCTCGTGGATCATAGGAATACCCATCCAATGCATTTCTTCGAGCAAGCGATGTCTCCATATACCCGCAACAAATATTTCTTTGAGATCCATCGACTGGTCTTGAGTTGTCGAATATCTTTTCGATCTGATATAAATCGGCAACATCTTGTGCTATTCTCGACAAAGCGACGAGGATGTCGCCCTCGCTTGGCAAGCCACATAGAGTGTACGCCGTACGAAAGTCTGTCCAGTTGCCATAGATAGGGCCATAGTCCAAAGACGTCTGATCAGGTAGCACTTGAGTGCTCTTTGAAGTCAGTGTGCCACACCTGTACGCACACCTAGTGTTCTTGAGCAGCCTCAGTCGTCTGACATCGAACACACTCCTCGCACGCTCGAAACTTGGAAGGCCGATGGGGTACAATTCGGTCGCGAACGACTCTTGGCACTCCCAATGTAGGGCATCCACAGCGAAATTAACAAGTATCGTTCCTGCACAACCCAAGCTCTTCTGTTTAGCGGCGCATTGGCGATTTGTGCGGGCACGCTTGATTGCCGGCCAATGTAATATAGACATGATAGAAGAGGAGTAGGACCTCGAAGGTCGGCTGAGGTGGTGTCCTACCAGGTAACTTCTGCAGGAACGGGAAGAAGCAGACAATGGTTGCAATTGTAGAAAAGACCTGTGTTGAAATTGTGTGCAGCGGTTGCAGCAATTGTAAAAATGGCGTTACGGTACGTCTCTCACATGCGGCTTGCTTCAGTTGCCCAGTCGTCCGTATTGTCTTGGTAAATGCAGCCGTCAGTCAGCAAACGTGCAATCTTGTACTGAACAAGCCTCCGTACAGTGAGTCAATCCACAAGAACCTTACTCCAAACTTCCGACAGGCGAAAACAACATCTTGAAAGGTCTGCAGCGCAGTTTTCGTAATTACTCCGTCTGTAAAGGCAGCGCAGTTTTCGCATTCAGTGTTGTTGCGGTGTATATAACCTTTAGGACCCGAGGGTCAAAAAGGTCGACCTTTTTTGTATCGCTGCGGGGCTGCGACAAGTGTGAGCGGTTGAGAACCCTACTCCCCAGCATTGTGACAGTGCTGCACAGGAGATAACTTTCGTCTACGTCGACTCGCTCACGTAAACGCACTAAATTTGTCCTCACAGCTCCCGATATAAATCACTCGCGTCGGTAGGCAGCCCGAGCTCGAGCCGGGTAATTGACATTGGCTGTGCGACGTGCGGCACGAAAGCAATCGTGATGCTAGAGAATCAAGAGCCGAGTCGGCTCTGGTATTCGGTGACAGAATAGATTGGATTTGAGTTTGATTCATTACTGTTACTCCTTTGTTAGCACTCATAAACAGAATCAGGAAGGGAAATGCCTGCTGTTTGAGGGAACGAATAATATTTGATCGGGGTTTTGTAAGTTCCACGGTTATTAAACCTGTGGAAATTCATCGCATACGTATCAGGGCCGTCGAGGGTTGGGTACTGAAAAGGTGTGCTGAACTTTGTACCCATCAGTTCGACTGGTTCCCCCCATGTCAACCATAATCTCACACAGAGTGGGCATTGCAACCCTAGAGCTTGCCCAAAAGACTCGGCATCGGGATGATGCAGATAACTCGTCTGGTTCCCCTCTTTTCCGCAGGACTCGCTTTTACCGGACAACAATGTCTGACATGGTTTCAAAAACCATCGTTCGTCATTTTTCACCCAGCGCGGCAAGTTGAATGGTACAAAGCGGCGAGATAGTCTGGAGATCACGGCGTGGTTTCAAGTAAGCTGCTCTTTGCGAGGTGTAGTGAGTGGATGAAAGAAGAGCAGCAAGGCTGAGCCGAGCTACTGCAGGGTGCGGTCCTTCTGCGGCACGCATCAAACCCTGCAGTACTCGAGCCCAGTGGTGAATAAGCGTCGAAGCATGCACGAATGCCCGTTCGTAGGCTCATCCTCCATATTTGGCAATCTTCCATGGAAGTTTGCTTGTGTTGGCTAACGAGCAATGTTCCTCTTGATGTGCTGCTAGTGCTTGGATGTCTCGCATCCAACTAGAACGCGTGGCAGCTGCAGTCACTTGCGACGCCTATGCCGTGTTCTCACACGGCGTCCGTACCCTTACATTTACCAAGCGGAACCGTCTTGGTATACTCACCGTCAGCCACATCTGATCTGGCCGCAGACCAGGTCTCGGGCATTCTTCACAGGCCACGCCCACCACGAGCACCGAGCAGTCCCTTGCAGGACCATGTGTACGCTGCGAGATGGAAAATACTTCAGGCCAATCCCGATGTTGGGTGGCACGAAGGGGGCAGTGTATTCAACATAGTCGCCGTGTTCAATCGTCTCGGAGAATCATCAAGCTTGGCGTCGGTGCCTGCCGGGTGAGGCATTTGCCTTGCACGATTCAGTTGTTTCACGGTGGTTGGTGGTTTCGCTGGCGGTTTCTCGTGGGGCCGTGCATTCGATGATCGACGAGGAAATTGGGCCCGCTTCGAGGCCAGCGAACGTCTTGGCAATGATGACGTTGCTGCGCGCTTCGTGTGTCCAAGCGGCACATCGCATTGTTGCTGATGTCCGGACAAGCAACACGACGAGCAGCGCAAATGCTTGCGCTCATGATAGCCAAGTGCGCAATGCTTCGTTTGTTGAGTAAATGTCTTCAGACCATTACCCGCTGTTCTGCAACGGCGCCAGGGGCAGGTGGAGCTGCATCTCCCGCGGTGGTGCGCTGGGTCAAACTTGGCCATGGGGCAGTGCTGATTGGCGATGTGCCGACGCAGCAAGCTTGCAGAGCTCCCAGCCATCTCTTCCGTCATCAGCAAACGCTTTCACTCACGAAGTTGCTGCGCCTTCTCACGCTATCACATTTTCCTTCTCTTCAACCATACTTTTCGTGCAGCTGATTGATCAGATCTGCAGTCAATTGTTCTGTCGGTCCTTCTAACCAATTGCACACATCTGCCTGCTACAGCGTCAAACCTAGCAGCGCGCCTCGACACGCTCCTCTTATACCCGCTAGTCACTCTCGCGCTCGTGGGATTTCTGGTATCTGCGTCTTTCCGCGCAGCAATGAGTGAGTCCCGAAATCAAAACTGTACCCTGGAAGAGCTGTCCGCATTCGGTGTGCCGGCTTCGTCACCCCTCTTGTCTTGGAACGCAGCACCCTCCAACACCCACGTTCACGATCCTGTAACCTGTCACTTCTCGCCTCCAAGCGCAGCACCACCGCTCCCTACCGTCTCCGCCGCAGCGCTTCTCCGATAGTACAAAGGTACTCGGCGAGTCTTGGCTAATCGGACTTGGCAGAAAACATAAAGCGCGACTTCAACCGCCTTGGTCGCCACGGCAGCGCTCGTTCCTCCAGCGAACCGACTATGCCGCAACCCCAAAATGGCTCGACAGAGCAAACTCCGCTGATAGGCCACACCCGCCCCGACGAGCCTGCCATCACCAGACTGCCCAAGCACGTCCTGCATCTGGTGTATGCGACACTGGTGAGCAACTATGTCAACATCTTCCTCGTCTTCGTGCCTATTGGCATCATCGCCGGCGCGCTCAACTGGAACCCCACCGCCGTCTTCATTCTCAACTTCATCGCCATCATTCCGCTCGCTGCGCTGCTCTCCTTTGCGACCGAGGAGCTCTCCGCCAAGCTCGGCCAGACGCTGGGTGGCCTTATGAATGCGACCTTTGGCAATGCCGTCGAGCTGATCGTTAGTATCGTTGCGCTCAAGCAGGGCGAGATTCGCATTGTCCAGGCTAGCATGCTGGGTAGCATTCTCTCCAACATCCTGCTTGTTCTGGGCTGCTGTTTCCTGGCTGGCGGTATTCGCGAGCAGGAGCGCAGCTTCAACGAGACCGTCGCATCAACCATGTCTTCGCTCATGGCTGTTGCATCTGCTTCACTGATCATTCCCGCGACACTCTACGCGACCATCTCCGGCGACAAGCAGAACGGCGGTACTCACGAAGCCGAGAAGAATGTCCTACTCCTGTCCCACGGCACCTCGATCATCCTCCTCATTCTGTACATTCTCTACCTGTACTTCCAGCTTTACTCGCACCACGACCTCTTCGCCGATGTCGAGAACCAGGAAGGTGGAAACGAGGAGAACGAGGACGGCCAGATCCTTTCCCCTGTCGCCGCTGGCGTAGCCCTCGTTCTCGTCACCGTCCTTGTCGCCGTCTGCGCCGAATATCTCGTCGACAGTATCGATTCCATCGTCGAATCCGCACACATCAGCAAGACCTTCGTCGGTTTGATCCTGATCCCTATCGTTGGAAACGCCGCCGAACACGTTACAGCCGTCATCGTCGCATACAAGGGCAAGATGGATCTTGCCATCAATGTCGCAATTGGCAGCTCCATGCAGATTGCGCTCTTCGTTACGCCTTTCCTTGTCATCCTCGGCTGGATCATGGGCCAGCCCATGACTCTGCACTTCCAGGGTTTCGAAACCATCATCTTCTTCATCTCGGTGTTGATCGTCAACTACCTGATCCAGGATGGAAAGAGCAATTACCTCGAGGGCGCTATGTGCCTGGGAACGTAAGCAAACTCATTTTCGACACATTAACCTACGCTAACTTTGGATAGCTACGCCATCATCGCGCTTGCGTTCTACATCTACCCTGACAACGTCCAGGGCGACCCTACCGGTAATGGCCTCGTTCAGAGGTTCTTTGCAACCAGCTAAGTGCTGTACAGTCAAACCTCAACCTCCCCACCCCCACCCCCACCCCCCATCCTTCTGAAATGAAGGCTAAATCGAAACATGAGCGCTGGCAGAGCGGTGCCATATCTGTTTCCTTTTGTACATTTCTTGGTTACCGGTCCTCGGTGGAACGGAGATCTTTGTTTCCTTGTTGTGATTTTTTTCCTATGTGCAGTTTCCCTTATAGTAACTCCGGTAATGGGCGGCCAGTCGTTTCGGCGTTCAAGACACGTATACACTAAGTATCAGGCAGGGGAAGAGCGAAAGCGAATTGAGTTCAGCAGGAGATCGAAGAGCTGGCGACTCGCTGAAGGAAGCTTTGAAGTGAGATCTGTGTATGATTAGGAGAGATATAGTCAAGCTTGAAAGAACGTCGAAAACATAAAAGCCAAACGAGATGCAGGTACTTGCAACAAACAAATGAATGACTGTGCCACAATATGTGGCAGCGGGAGTGGCAGTCCTTTTAAGCTTTTGCGGATTTTGGGGGCCACCCCACACAGTATGGGGTCCTGGAAGGCGCGGCATCAGGTGTGCGTAGCATTCACTGCCGAGATCCGGTAGCAGAAGACAATGCGCTGGGTCTGGAACGTATCAGTGCTGCACGTGTATGTCTGCACACAAAAGCAAAATATGGATGCGATGCATCGACAAACAGGCCGATGTAGAACCACAAAAGCTTCTCTGCTCCTCAATGAGACTAGGGAGCTGCAGGTATTCAATCTACTGAACTGCACCTGAACTGCATGTGCGTAAGACTGCTTTTCAGAAACTGCCCGTACACAATCTGCACGGACACACCCGCCCAAGTCAGAAAGCATGCAACATAAATGACTCACCCTAAAGCTTGCTGTGCAGGTGAAGGGCACCGCCAATGCTGATTCGTCTCACCCTTAGCGGACCCGCTTCGATCGCAGTTTGGCGAAAGCTTGCTCTGTCCCCTCAACCTTCCTCAAACACATGTCATATCGCGATTTTGGACACTACTGTTCACAATATGATCATCGATTTTCTGACACTCATTTCCTGTTGGGTGACCATCCATGTCTCGGAATCTGTTTTCTCAACACCAAGGCTTCCACGAGCTAGTCTACCATGGCTCGAGTAATCTCGATACCAAAGTACCGGTTTTGACACCCCTATATCTTCCAGCATAAAAGCTGCATCCCCAGACCTCGTGCTTACTGAACCTACTCTCGCACCCATTACCATTGCGACACTGCGCCGCAACATGTCGTGGACAGCTGCTACTGCGAATTCGACCTCGAAGAGATCGAGGCCTTCGAAGCCATCTCGCCTTGCCAGCGACAATGCCACCGCATGGACATCCCTCCACTTCGTCCAGACAGTGTGCGAATCGACACAGACCTCTCTGACACCGTCTCGCTGGACGAACAAGAAATCGATATCGTGCAAGCCTTCGTCTTGCCTTCGATCCAGGAGGAGTGGCTCAAAGAGAAAAAGCTCACAAGACAACTGGATGCTCGCGTCTCCTAGGCCTCAGTCATACCGACAATATACATCACATGGCTTACAACAGGCAAACTCGCAACACGAACGGTTCTAGGCGATTAAGGCAAAATATGTATCAGACTTGAACCCATCTGCGCATCTCAAGGCACTAACTACCTCCTGGGTCCACTCAAGAGCTGATCGTGAGTTGAGGTTCAAGATTCCATCGCCCGAACTTTTGACTTAGTTGAGGACCAGAATCGCGGAAGTCATCCTTGCGATTCATTCGAACATACAGCACCAAGACATTTCAATTGCCTTTCTGGTCGCGACTGTCTTCAGCGGTCATCCCCGTTTTGCGTATCGGTGCTTGCAAAAATGTGCAGACCCCCCTGACCTTGTTACAGTGATGCGTGCAGTAGGTACGTACCGTGGTTCGTAAGGGTCGACAGCCTTGTGAGTGGCCGTTCACCACGTTGTTGCCCTGCAGGACATGTACCAAACTGTCAATTCTGTCAACCAAGATAGAAACAGTCACTTAGAAGCCTTCATTCTTACATAACATAAGTCTGTTGCGGTAGTGAACCAAGTTCAGGGGGGTCTGTACATTTCAGCAACCATTATAAACTGAAACATTGTTTTCGAGACTGATCCTCAACCGAGGGCTCCGAGAGCGTCCTTCGACAACGGAGATCAAAGCGTCGAACCTGGGTTCAGCAGCCGCCTGAATCAGAACATTGCAGCCAATATACGGCACCAACTCGATGTATTCACCGAGCACTTCGACGCGGTAGCTGCCAGCCCCACTCGCACATCCCCAATATGCATCTACGCTCACGTGCAAACCGTTCCCTTGTATGGCCATGCTGGCGAAGTCCCCGACTTGTAACAGAATGTTTTGCCGAATTCTCAGTACATCTTGTCTACAACTGTGGCAAAGAGCAGATTGTTGGCTTCACACACAAGCCCGAAGGAACATAAGAGAGCGTGCTGCGTGTTGGGAAGCGGCACAATTCGGTACCGAGAGCTTGCATTTGAACCAGATATGTATGTTGATACACGATTGAGATGTGTCAGGATCTAAGCGTATCAGCGTCGTGCACGAGATCGCCCACATCTCTGCTCTGGTTCGATTCAGTCCTCTAGGAGAAAACTCATGACCTTATGAGCGAATCTGCGGCAGTGTGGGAGACCATCACGGAGGTATTGACGTTGACGTGAATATCTCTACGGCACTGATAGCAGCCAAAAGGATCATCACTGCAAATATCAAATTTCCGAATCCTGGTCTGAGCAAGCACTGTTAGATCAATATTGTAGACAACATACCGATTCAAACATTCCGTTCGTCTTTGCGATCCAGACCGTGGTCGATCGTCATGTCCGGATTTTCAAAACTCCAACGATCGTTCTGTACAACTTCGCTGGCCAACTGCTTACGTAATACCCCCAGGCTTGAGGGCTTGGTAGACTTGAATTCGTTGGAAATACGTACGGTCGGCGAAACGTCTGTGCGTAGCTGGAGGGTTAACAGAGCATGAATTCCATGTATTTCCCGTTCAACGGTCTGACCCCAAAGGAGAATTCATTAGTTCTGCCTTTGAGAAGAGACATTCTCCAAACCAGTGACTGGGAGACGTTTAGACCAGCGGATTCAGCCCGCAAGTGGGACAGCGCGACAGGCACGTTTGCCGGAATGGTTCTCCGCCGTGGTGGTGTGCGGTTCACGCTGTTGGTGTGTCCGGTGTGGCCAGCATTGCCTGGCATATTGGGCAAAAGCCATCGTTCACCATCTTGCAGAAGTACCATCAGGTGGTGGAAGCAAATGGAGTGAATCTGGACCGTACAGTGGAGGTGAAACGAGAGAACGTCTCTCAGCGACGAGGCAAGCATGTGCCACATTTGTGCGTGGCCCTCGAATCCCATCCCTGGGAACCTTGGTAACGTCCAAAGACTCGGCCTGAGTTCGTACAGAGTTTGCTCGTAATGTGTGTCGGCAAAGCATCATGATCGCCGAGTGCGAAATGGTCTGGCCCGTGCACGGACTTTCTGGAGTGACATCAACTCGTCGACCTTCATCGTCGTCGCGACGAGACAGACGGACAAGAATCGAGAGCACAACCATGAGGCCGCATACTTCAGTGCGGGCAATACGCTCGATACAGCGCTGTATACGCCAACCTGCACAAACACAGAGGCCGACATTATCCCAAAGTCTACGGCTACCCTACACAGCAACCCGCGCCTTCACCACCACACCCACACGCCCGCACAACCCCTCGCGCTCCCCAGACTCGACCGTCGACCCAACCGAAGTATCGCACTTCAACGCGCTCGCCTCATCATGGTGGGATCCACATGGCTCCTCGCGCCTGCTACACCTCATGAACCCCCTCCGACACGACTTCATCGCGTCCTGCCGCTTCAACGACCCCATGACCCCCTCACAGAAGCTCAAGTACCTTGACATTGGCTGCGGTGGCGGCATCTTCGCCGAGTCGGCCGCCCGACTACCAGACACACACAGCGTCACAGCTATCGACCCGACACCGGGCGTGCTGAAGATCGCCGAGGGCCACAAGCGTCGCGATCCTCTGCTCATGGAGCCAGGACGGCTCACATACCTCAACACGAGCATCGAAGACCTTCCCTTGCCCACGCGCCCCGAGGAGGCGTACGACATCGTCACCCTCTTCGAAGTCCTCGAGCACGTCAACGCGCCCGGGCCATTCATTTCCAATCTGCTCCCGCACGTCAAGCCCGGCGGCTGGCTGGTGATGAGCACGATTGCGCGCACGTGGACCAGCTGGCTGGTTACGAACGTCATGGCCGAAGACGTGCTGGGGATTGTGCCGAAGGGGACGCACGAGTGGGGCAAGTATGTGAACGAAGATGAGTTGAGGGGGTACTTTGCGAAGGAACCGGGGTGGGATGGGGCATCGGCCAGGAGTCTGGGTGTGATGTATGTGCCGGGGCTTGGGTGGAAGGAAGTCAAGGGTGGAGAGGATTGGGGGAACTACTTCTTTGCTGTAAAGAGGCTGGAGTAGGGGTGCAAGGCCTGTATGATAGTCTGGACGTAGACGGATGACCGGGAAAGTACAAGATACCCTAGAATGTACAATACGCATACACAACAACACACTGGATCCTCAGACCGCCAGCGCAGTGCTCCTCCAACAGCCCTGCTATGAAAAAGCCCTGCTATGAAACTTGGCCTACGCAAGTGATATGCCTCGTCCTGCTCCAATCGTACATGCACCACGCCTGTAGAGCTTGCATCACACAGCAACCGTTCCCTGACACCTTCTCTTGGCGCACCAAGCATGAGGCTCTCTTAGGTTCACGCGAATCCTGCTCTTCTCATCGAACCACTCCTCGAGCCACTCCTCGAGCCACTCCTCGAACGGCTCATCACCGCCTCTCTTCAAACGGCACCGGCATATTCGTTCTCGCTTTGCTCGCATCCTCGTCATACACGACGTCATGCCCGCCCGCCATTTTCCACGCCCGCAGGTAGTCCTCGCCGGTGAAGCGCTTGGGGTACACTTCGGCCTGGCCAGAGTCGGTGGTGCGCGTCTTTTGGACCGTTTCGGCGACGAAGGGCGTCAACTGCTCATTCGTCAGCCTTCCCCCCGAACCCAAGTCCTGACTTCCAATCCCCCCACGACCCTGTCGTCTCCGTGGAGGCCCAGAGGGGGAATAGCACGCCCTGCGCTCGTACATACCTCGGAGTTCTTCGTCCCATGCACGGGATACACATACGTCCTGACCTTGTTCCAGTCCGGTGTGAAGTTGCCGTAGCGGTTGATTGTGCCCATTGACCCGACGCGGTTGCCCTTGTAGTATTCTTTGCCGGCTTGCTTGGTGCTGAGAGGGAGGCGTCGCAGGGTGCCCTGCAGGGCGGGTGTGGGCTTGAACATGGTGGCCGCCTATGTATGCGCCGAGAGATGGAGCGGGCCGTCGCTTGGCTCAGGGAAGGCGCGGTCGGCCGAGTGATGTCGAGAGGGAAGGCGCAATGGGCGATGTTGCGGTCGGGGATGGGCGATGCCTGCGATTGGGGATGGTGGTGAACCTCCGCTGCGGACCTCCGAGGCTGCGCACGTCCGCCCAAAAAAAAGTTGACGCCAAGATTTCGCCCTCCACCCATTCCCTCCCACACAGTCTCTCCACTCTCCCGCCCACACAACACAACGCAACGCAACGCGCAACATGCCGCCTCGCATAGCGCGCAGTTCCGTCCAAAGCGCCGCGGCGCCAAAGCAAAAAGGCCGCGCGCCCGGCGAGCGGAACAGCAAGAAAGCGTCCAAACGAGCGCTGAACGCTTTCGCGATCGCCCAGTACGACAACCCCGAGAAAACCAAGATCCGCAAAAACCGCCTCGGCGAGCTGGACCCGAGCTTCCACAAGAAACGCGCGCGCGACGACGACGGCGACTCGGACGAGGAAGACGAAGACGAAGAGGGCGCACAACGCAAAAAAGTGAAAAGGCGGGGCGGAGATGACAGCTACGACGAGGGCAGCGACAGCGAGGGCAATACGTGGACCATGGGCCACGTCGACGAGGACGACGACGAGGACATTGATTCCGACGAGGCGTTTGGCGAGAGCGACGAGGAGCGGTTTGAGGGGTACAGTTTTCGCGGCAGCAGCAAGAATGGGAAGAGCCTGAAGGTGAAGAGCAAGGGGAGGATTGTCGACGAGGGAAGCGATGTGGATATGGATGAGAGTGAGGAGGATGATTTTGGGGACGAGGGGATCGATCTTGCGACGGCGCTGGACCAGTATGAGGAGGACGAGAGGGAGGAGAAGAGGGAGAGGCAGAGGGAGAGGGAGAGGGAGAGGGAGAGGGAGAAGAAGAAGAAGAAGGAGGAGGAGGGGGAGGGGGGGCTTGGGAGTGATAGTGAGGAGCCGAGTGAGGGCGAGGATGTGGGCAGGGATGGGGCGAGCGATCTGTCGAGCGATCTGTCGAGCGATCAGTCGAGCGATGATGAAGAAGACGAGGAGGATCGACAGGCGCAGCTGAAGGACCTGATCTCGTCGCTCGCCACAGGAGACGAGAGCCACTCAAAGGGCAAGAGGGTTGAAGTGCATGAGTCCGCAGCACCAGATGAGTTCGGCGTGTCGAGAAAAGTGGATCTGCTGAGCTTCAAGCCAAAGGCCGCAGACGAGGAGAAGAAGAGGGCACTCAAGTTGTTGCGGGACGACAAGAGCTCGAAGCGGAACGATATTGCGCGAAAGCTGGATGCACCCTTGCCGAAGCGACAGCAGGACAAGCTCGACCGCGCTGCCGCCAACGCCAAAGCCAACGAGACCCTCGACCGCTGGACCGATACCATCAAGCAGAACCGCCGCGCTGAGCACCTCTCCTTCCCGCTGCAACACAAAGACGCCGGCAAGGCTATGGGCGAGGACCGTCTCCTTCCCACCACAACCTCCGCACCCGCAAACGACCTCGAGACCACCATCCAATCCATCCTCCAACAGAGCGGCCTTTCAAACGGCAACGACGACGAAGAGCAGATCCAAAAGTGGGAGGTCCTGCAGACGAACAAGCTCCCCATCGAAGAAGTCGAAAAGCGCCGAGCTCAACTACGCATGGAGCGCGAACTCCTCTTCCGCGAAGAAGTGCGTGCCAAGCGCATCAAGAAGATCAAGAGCAAAGCGTACCGCCGCGTGCACCGCAAAGAGCGCGAGAGGCTGCTTGAGAAAGAGCGCGAACAGCTCAAGGCTGATGGTGTCGATCTCTCAGAAGAGGAACGCGAGCACAATGACCGCCGTAGGGCAGAGGAGCGCATGGGTGCGAAGCATCGCGAGGGCAAGTGGGCCAAGGGCATCAAGGCGACCGGTCGTGCGGCCTGGGACCAGGATGCGCTGGCTGGTGTCACCGAGATGGCGAAGCGCAACGAGGAACTGAGACGCCGTATCGAGGGCAAGCAGGTCCACGACTCTGATGACCAGGGCTCGGATGTGCCTAGCGTTGGCAACGAGAGCGAGGACGAGTCAGGGTCTGATGCTGATGATGATGAGCTTCTGCAGCGCCAGCTTGGCCAGCTGGAGAACCCGTTCTCGGACAAGGGCTCGAAGCTGGGTCAGATGGCGTTCATGCAGAAGGCTGAGGTGGCGAAGCGCGCAGAAAACAACGCGGCGATTGAGAGCATGCGACGCGAATTGGCGGGTGAGAACAGTGAAGATGAGGTCGGGGAGAATGCCACACGTGTTGGGCGCCGCAAGTATGGGCCGGGCAAGGTTGTCACGACAGCTATTCCAGTCAAGGGTAGCGAATTTGAGGAGCATGCTGGCTCTGATGAGGAGGCAGAGGAAGCTGCTACGAATGGACTGTCGAGTGGCACGCGTAAGGCCGAGAAGCCCCAGAACCCATTCTCGACGGGTCTGTCGAACGGCACACGCAAGACACAAAAGAGTGAGCACGCAAAGGTCGACGCTGAGACCGAAACCGACGCACCGAACCCCTTCCTTGCCAAAGCCGCCAAGGCAAAGAAGAGCAAGAAAGACGCACCAGCCGAAGACGACCTCCTCCCCTTCACCGACTTTGCCTCCGAAGACGAGCAGCAACCCGCAGCCAAACCCTCTGCCAAACCCTCTGCCAAACCCTCAGCCAGACCCTCTGCACAAAAAGAGACAGTTGACGACTTCCTGCAACAGCGCATCACTGCAGCTGATGATGATGGCTGGGCCACCGTTCTCGGCGGTCAAGACGATGATGAAGACGAAGTCGACTCTGACGAAGGCGACGACCTCGACCTCACCGCCCTGAACCGCAACCACCTCCTCACCGCCAAAGGTTTCGCAGGCGACAACGTGGCCGCCGACTTCGCGCTCGAAAAAGCCGACACGACCAAAGACGAGGCCTCCAAATCCACAACCGACTTCCTGCCCGGCTGGGGCTCCTGGGCCGGCGACGGCATGACCAAAGCCGAGCGTCGGCGCAACCGGGGGTGGAAATCCACCACCCTCACCCCCGGAATCGACGCTACGAAGCGCAAAGATCGCAACCTTGAGAGAGTGATTATTAATGAGAAGACGGTCAAGCCGAATAAGAAATACTTAGCGGGCAGTCTGCCGTTTCCGTTCGAGAGTAAGGAGCAGTATGAGAGGAGTCTTCGACAGCCGAAGGGCAGGGAGTGGACTACTAAGAAGAGTCATCAGGATGCGGTGCTACCGAGGGTGCTGGTTAAGGGGGGTGTTATTGCGCCTATGCGGAAGCCGTTGGTTTAGATGACTGTTGTCATTGTGTATGGGTGTGGTGGAGTGGTCTGGGCAGAGAATGCATTGCACAGGCGTTTACAGGGAAAAGTTGATAGAGTCATGTTGCGACCCGCACATAGCAGAGTGGGACCTCGACTGAACGTTGAAAGTTTTCGTACCTCCTAGGTTGCCCGACCCCGGATCTTGTGATCTCGTGTGACCGGAGCAGTTGACGGATTCGATCCGTGGGTGCAACCACTTAACATATGTACACCAGTCAAATCTCGAGTTACACCATACTGATATTTCCTCATATGAAGGTCACGGCGTCTGTACTCTCTAGTATACAGCGGTTGATGGCATCTGCGTATCAATGATTGTGGCAGCATTTGAGCACTTGCCTTTAGTAAGAAACATGTCCGAACCCTTCTACTACGGCCATGAACAACTCCTTCTCCTTTTCACGTGCGATGGCATCCAGGTCCAGCGCCAGTTTCGTATATCATGCGTCGCTCGACCATGAGTAGAGGCCGTCCGCTCTTTGCAATATGGCTAGTCATCTCCTGGTTATTGTGTTTTTTCTGTCTTCTCTATATACTCCACAACTGTCAGCATGTCCAGTGGGGAACGTCGAACCTGTGACAAATCGGATCTTATCTTCGATTTTCTCGGATGCCAAAGTAAGTGTACCTTCGAGTGTGGCTTCTTTTTGGAATACGCACCTTCCGTCCGCGCCAGCGGTGTCGCTTGACCTCTGACTACGGTTCGCGACTGCCGACTTCCAACCTCCTTACCAACACTTTTTTTTTGTATCCGGATGTCTCCTCCGTCTCAAGATCTTCCTTCACCTAGATGCTGGGTCAGTTCGAAAGCGTTGTCCTTGGGTCTGTGTTTGGCACTGAGCCACTTGCTGGGACAAACTGACCGCCTGCACCTTCCCAGATCTTCGAGTCAACACCACAATGCACGTACTCGAGATGTCCAAATATCTCACCATCACCTACACCGCCATATATCGCTACTTCACCTACAAGCCTAAGTGCGATTGCCTCGTACTATCGCTCTAGCCGTTCCTCACCTTTTGCTTCGTACAATACTCCTACCAGCCACCGGACCTATATCCGCGCGAGAAAACAAACCGCAACGGACAACGAAAGCGCAAGCTCCGCAAACATACTCATGGGAAACAAGCAATCGATGAAAAGAGATTCTGTCACCTCAACAACATCGAGCGCGACAGTCGATACGAAGAAAACCCCACGTACATGGTGCGAACACTGCAGAGATATTCTCACCTTATTCGGCTATAGAAAAACTGCTGCAGCGCCCAGCGATGAGATACCTCCGGACAACATCTTCGTACCGATTCAGGCCGACGACATCTTGCCTCAGATCCCGATTAGCAATCACCACCCGGTACCGAAGACGGGCATCGAGGATGACGACTTCCGCACGTTGCATACCAATAGCTTCTATGCCGGTGCATTCCTCGGTGAACAGAACCAGCCGATCTGGACGCATCCGTACTCCATCTGGTGGGGCAAAGGATCGCAGGATCCAGGCGTACTGCAAACGTGGGGCTTAAATATTGGGCATGTCGAGGAGGTTGACCTGCAATATGGACCGGAAGAACCTCCTAAGGTAAGATGCGATGAGATCAGAGCAGAATGAATAGCACCAATTTACACGTCCAGGTCTTTACCAACCCTCGCAAACAATCCATCATCCTCTCCGCGACTGAGCTCGATTCGCAGACTACCTTGACTACTGACACGCATCTCCCGTTCTCCGTCAACATCAATCTCAATGTACAACCAGCCTCAAAAGAGCCAAAGATAACCTTTCCTGTCGTACAAGGCATGAGCTTTGTCACTGCTGGGTACAGGAACGCGATGCCCACCGTACAGACCGGTGGACGAGGCTTTGTCGAAGTCAACAAACCCGTTATGCTTGGCCGTACAGCCAAGTATCGGGTCAAAGATTTTGATGGCAGGGACTGGCTCATATACGTCAATCCAGTACCCGGTAGCGCGTACGATGCTGGCACGTTCATCAAAATCGATGCCAGCACGCTATTGGGTCCGCCAGCTTTTCAAGGCACGATCCAGGTAGCGAGAAACCCTATGGGTCCCAAGGGAGAAGCAATCTACGATAAGGCAGTCGGAGCATTTGTATGCGAAGCAAAGCTCACTGCTGTCGTCAACGAAGCAAAAGCTACATACTCGTTTAGCTATACGAAAATCGGAGCCTCGCCGTTGCTGATATTTGCTTTACCACACCACATCCAATCCCTCGATCCTGACCTCAGGTGGCAAGTCACTGACCTGCAGCTGCGCACCTCAACCAAGGGCATGGCAACGGCAGTGTGGGCCGAGAAGCTCACATTCATCGAGACGAACCTCCCCATCACCATGTCGTTCGGTCCTTGGAACCCCACCATGAGCGCCAACGCAAAGATTCGCTACCCGCCTGATGTTCTCGCTTTTGTCAGTTCGATTGCAGAACGTGACCTGCGGCGCGCCATGACCGAGCCTATACCGCCAGACTCACACTACTACGCTGGCAAGGCGCTCGCCAAATTCGCAACCATCATATGGGTCATCAAAGATGTGCTCGGTAGTAATGCGGTTGCTTCCGCTGGTCTTGCACAACTCAAGCAAGGAATGGCGAAGTATGTGGAAAACCAGCAGCGCTACCCTCTCTACTACGATAACAGCTGGAAGGGAGTTGTTTCGAACGCTGGCTTCAATGACACAGGCGCCGACTTTGGTAACACGTACTACAACGACCATCACTTCCACTTCGGCTACTTCGTGTACACCGCAGCAGTCATCGGATACCTGGAGCCTGAATGGTTGACGCAAGGGAATAACAAAGCGTGGACGAACATGCTAGTCAAAGACTTTGCTGAAAGCGACTACAATGGCAGAGACTATCCGTTTCAGCGCAGCTTTGACTGGTGGCACGGCCACAGCTGGGCAAAAGGTCTGTTTGAGAGCGCAGATGGGAAAGACCAAGAAAGTACGAGTGAAGATGGCTTCGCAAGCTATGCTGTCAAGATGTGGGGCAAGATCATTGGTGATGTGAACATGGAGAAACGAGGTGCGTACTTACCCGATTTCATCGGCAGCTTACTCCTTGACTCGTAACTGACTTTGGAAAGGCAACCTGATGCTTGCAGTACAAGCCCGTTCATTCAACACCTACTTCTACTTTTCCAGCACTTCCACCGTCCAACCCCCACGCTTCTTACCCAACAAAGTCACCGGCATCCTCTTCGAAAACAAAATTGACCACACGACCTACTTCGGCAACTCGCCCGCGCTCATCCACGGTATTCACATGGTACCACTCAACCCCTCTTCTTCCTTTCTCCGCCCCCGCTCTTTCGTGAAAGAAGAATGGGACGCCGTGTTCAGCGACGGTAGGGCGCTGAAAGATGGACCTGATGGTGTGGAGGGTGGTTGGAGGGGAATATTGCATGCGAATCTGGCGCTGCTGGACCCAAAAGAGAGTTTTAAGTTCTTCAGGGACGGGGTGGGTGGGCACTGGGATGATGGGTGGATTGATGGCGGGGCGAGCAGGACGTGGTATTTGGTTTGGGCGGCAGGATTGGGGGAGCTCGCGAAGAGTAGTCGGTAGTAGAACCTAGGTGAAGGCTGGAGGTACTCAGCTCAAGTATGACCATCTTCCACCTCTGGCCGTCTATCTTTGGCATCGTTCTCTTCCCTCTCGCGCTTCAGCGCCTGTCTCCTTCGCACTAGCTCATTCATGTCTCCCATGTACCCGATTGGTGGAACAAAGAATGGACCCGAAGAGTCTTGAGTCGCGGCCTCAACGCCGTCAGTTGTCGGCCATCCGAGCATTTCCCATCCATCAGCCCTCACACAATCGAGTTCTACGAGAAGGCAGGACGATGGACTCTGATGATGAGAAACAGTCTCTATCCAGCATTAAACCCGGAGTTACTTAGGGAACTGTTGATTCTGTAAGGACTGCAGCCTTCTGCCTGTCGTTGCCATGTCGGTAAATTGGATTCTCGTTGGAGATACGTCCGGCGCGAGAACCTCGCAACCAGTCAGCCACGCGGTATCATAGACCATTGCAACCGCACAGACGCCCATCTAGGTCTCCTGAGTAATGGGCGAAATTCCCCGAGGATATGGAAAGGAACACTTGCAAACGACGCTGCTTGGGTCCAGCATCACCATCATGTCTACAAGTCGAGACGTTCAAGATCCCCTTCGCTCAGCAGTTTTCATTCACCCTCCTCATCATTAGATGATGTTGCGGTGTATATAAAACTTAGGACCTGAGGGTCAGGAAGGTCGGCCCTTTCGTATCGCTGCGGGGCCGCGACAAATGACGACAATGTGCCAATGAGAAAGCGCAGCGCGTATCATCCAGGTTTCGGCGACGACGAGGGGAAAGTATTGTTTCTAGCAGGGGACAATTCGGCTCGAGCGTTTTCGGACTCAAAGAGATTTTCGCGTGTCAATCAGACGCTAGGCTCATCGTCGTCCGGTGCATCGAAAGCCATTCCACTTCGTCGACAGTATGTGTCCTCAACATCACCCAAGACTCAGACACAGGCTCGACAAGCGGCCAACTAAGCTTCCACTAAAACCAATCGTTTCACCGTTCGGGGGGAACGTCATGACGCCGCTCTCACCGTTGTCGAGGGGGTGGTTACCCAGCGTGAAATCGTATCACACTTACCGGAGAGCATGATGGCAAACCCTTCATTCAACCCGATCGCATTCCAGCCATATGCAAAGGAGCCATTGCTGTCAGCAAGCTGCAGTACAAAGTGTACCCAGAAGATCCCAGTATACCCGTTTCCACCACTAAAGCTGCACTGAAGCATGAGTGGATCGAGGTTTCCGATACGCTCTACAAACGCGGTGATCTTGAATGAAAGCCGAAAAGTGTTTCATACACGATTCGTTCCGACACCTGTGAGCTCCTCAACCGTTCGGGCGTATCTAAGTGGTTCAGTCCCATGCTAAAGAGTTGCTTGAATGATCCGTATATTGTAAGTAATTGCAATAAGGCAAAGCTTCAACGACTCAGACGAAGAGATACGGAGTTCTCTGCAAAGATTCGTCAGGCCAGCGACAGTTGGAAAAACGCCAAGCTTGCAGTGCTTGCAAAGCAATTCCACAATGTGGCGGCGTGGGCCGCTGTAGTACACTGATAGCTACGGTAATCGACAACGTAGGACTATGAGGTTGATGGAATACTGCGCTGAGTTGCTATCTAGCTTGGAGGAGGCGATTATATACTGTCCTGGAACGTGCTAGTCTAGAGCAGTCTAAGCAAGGGTAATTGGGTCTCGTACGAACCGGCTGATACCGTAAACAAACAAGCTCCGCAACGAGGTCGATGCTTGACAGTCTGGCTTCGTCGCTGCGAAGAAAGAGGCACTGAAAGAGCTCAACGAGCTACACTCCAAGGACCCAGTTGTCTGACCAAGCGGACCTCGCAAGGCCAAAGCTCTCAGAGATCTGTTCTACAAAATCAGCATCACAAAGTTGCAGCGACCTCACAGCAGAGGGTTTGGCAATCGGTCTGTCAAACGGGAACGCGAAAGGTTTGGAAAGATCGACTGATCCGAGTGAACCAAATAAAAGGTAACTACTTGGATTGATGCTTTTCTTCATCGCAGCAACATCTCCAGAACCTCGGCAGGTGTCTTCTTCGGCGCCGTCAACTCAAGGATCTCCTTACTTGTCGTCTCAGCCTTACACAGTCCCGCCCACGCTACCTCAGCAGCATGCCTAATCGACTCAATGACGTTCTTCGACTCTGAAGACGCCGCAACCATATCATCCAGAAAAGTCGAATCTTTGAACTTGACATCTTCGACCTTCGCTCCAATGCGCTCTTCCACCATCGCCACAATCTGATCGCCTGTGATATCCTCGGGGCCGTTGAGCACGTACTTAGCTTTGTTGTGCACGGTCGTGTCCTGCTGGAGCAAGAGCTTCGCTGCAACAACACTGACGTCCTGGGGATCGATGATGCCAATTGGTGCGTACCTGCTTGCAAGCAGTCGGAGCGTGTCCTGCTTCCCTCCACTTTGGACCTTCTTGATCATTTCCGCAGCATTGCCGAGCCAGAAAGTCGAGAACACATTAGGCTGCAGAGACGTCCAGTGCAAGTTTACAAAAGGTGGCGATTCAAGCATGGTTTCGATAGCCCAGTGGGTGCGTGGGTAGTACGCATCGCAATCTGGACGGACGTTTGCCGCGGTCGTGGAGATGCGCACTACGTACTTGACTCCGGCTCGAAGGGCTGCTATGTGGAATGTTGATTCCTCGGCGAACTGGTTGGGCTGGTTGTGCGAGGCTATGAAGGCTCTGGCTACCTCATGGTCGCGCAGCCACTGGGCAGTGATCTCGGTCCAGTTGTATTCGATGATCTCGACACGAGGATACTTGGCGAGCTCTTTTGCTGTGGAGCTGTTCGCAGAACGTGTCTGGGCGAGAATGCGATAACTCGAGAATGTCTGGCTGGCTTGGAGGAGGTTTGAGAGGGTCTCTACGACACCGCGTCCAGTGTTGCCTGTTGCGCCAACAACGAGAAAGGAGGGTGCCATGATGGAAGAAGAAGATCGTCAAGGAGAGGGCTCAATTGTTCGTATCAACTTGTTGATGCGAAGCAAGCATGTGGATTTCACTACTATTTATCCTGAAGTGCCTAAAACCACCACCACCACAAACCACCAAAGACCCTTCCGTATGTTGTCCGAACATCGATTTGTAACTAAGCACTTCCACAAAGCTTGCCCAATTGAGTAAGGGCGATGCACTAACCATAAGCAGGGTGCAGCGGACGCTATAAGCAAGGCGCATTAGCGCCGACGGGGAGGCGATTCCTCCAACGAGCCTCAAACTTCCTACAGCATGCCATTAAGCTACGGAAGCGCGACTGTGGGTACCATCGACGAGTGTGAGCCATGTTTGCTTACTTATTACGAGGGCTGATGGCGAATGGTCCCCGGGTGCGATTGAAACGGCATCTGTAGAAGCGCCTCGGCATTGTCTTGTTGAGCGCACAAAGCTGTTGTAACACCCTCAAAAAACAATCTTAGGTACGATAAAAAGCTGTATCATAAAGCACTTTGAAAATCGCGACAGTTCCCTCCATCGATCAGGTAAATAGCATGAAAGGTCAATCCTCATATTCAATTATCTCGGCATTACCCATGTTAACAGAAAGAGGAGATGTACGTTGCTTGCGTGGAGCCAAACTACCCACATTTGGGTGATTGGTCGCCGATTTGGTAAGCATACTCGACAGCAAGCTACGATTTCCCGACTCCACCCAGTTCGACAATAGCTGTCCACTGATGAGCATCGAGACACTTCTGGTGCATCTGATCCAGCAGGGACCCTCATCCGATGAAGTCGCTGTCGCGAGGAAAGGGTACAGTGTTTGAAGGAACAGGTGGTATTACTGGTCGCTCTTTAGCTGATCTTAGCATTGGACCTCTAATCAGATGTGCCCTCGCTTGCCTAGTACAGCATGAAATATATTCTGAACTGGACCGTTCACGATGTTAGCTTGAAATCCTTGGTTGAAATCGCCAGAATTTATGGAGGATGCCATGACGCTTTAGCGATGAAGATGTGCCAGCCTAGTTGTTGAGGTAGACCAGTCGGCCCTTACGAGACCTGATTACCCTTGCTTAGACTGTTCTGTACTAGCACGTTCAGGGACAGTATATATCGTCCTCCCCTAGCTAGATAGCAACTCAGCGCAGTATTCCATCGAACCGATAGTCCTACGTTATCGTTTATCGTAGCTATCAGTATACCACAGCGGCTCACGCCCCCATAGACAAAATCCGACGACAACCTAAGTCCTTATACACTAAACCATATCCAGCCAATGTTCAAAGAAAGCTTGTGTCGTCTTTCTGACTGGCCCTGCTGATCGACCACAACGCCTTTCCAGGCCTGCCTTGCTTGTCGTCTATTCCGGCTCTGAATGTGCCATTCTAGTTTGCGCAAGCAAGCTGACATCCGTCAGGTCTATGGCCCAACATCTGAGTGTGTCGCAGGACGCCGCAAGTCCACGCGATTGTGTCATGAACCATACTCATGATTAGAGTAGCAAGCTTCGTAACGTATATCTCGTTTTCAGCAGAAGTCGGAGGTGTTCTTTCCCTACTGTACTTCTCTTCAAAGCCCCATTCCAGATGGCGTGATCAACGAGAACTATGACCGATTCGCTAAGTATTACTGAAGGCGTGGTCGGATTCGCAGCAGCAGGACTGCATGGCGTAAAGCCGTTACCATTACAGATGACCAGGTGCTCAGGCTGACGGGTATGTCGAAGGAACTCGAAAACGAGTCTGGCATCGATACTTGTATTGATGGTACGACTTATGCCGAGTTGGTGATGCGGCTTGATGAGGAGCGAAAGGCGGCTAAGGCGACAAAGGGAATGCTGAATGAGCTGCTGTCCAGATTTCAGGGGGAGAATGCTGGTCAAGCGAACCTGACATCTCAGGATCACTTGGTCCATGCCACGTTTGACACGAACGATTTGGGTCTCTAATCCGGGTTAATCCACAGTGGAGTCTATGGCGCGCACTTCGGGAGCAAGTGAGCCATCAACTCGTTCACACCGCTTTGGGGGAAGCGTCGAGAAGACCTTGTTCCTAGCATGAGCTTTGCGCGCATCCCGTGTCGATAGGGGCAGAAGATTCAAGGTGCGTGAGGTGATGGCGGGATTAATGGTCCTCTACTCGAATCTTCATACAGAAAGTTAGCTTTGAACACAATTTTGTTCTTATGCGACGAAAGCCAAAACTTGGTGTGGTTGCCTTGTTCTGATGTTTACGAACTCCCAAGCTCTTTCCTTTTATTCGTCACCAAACAAACCCTCGTGTCACCTCAACATGATTGCATCTCACTTCCTCATCACGACTACAGATTCGGAGCTCGTTCTCACGCTTGGCGCGCTCAGCAGCGACCGAAGCGGCTGTGGGCGCCGAACAATCCATGAGTGAATCATCTGGTCTTTGCGCGCTCGTCAAAATGTATACTGACTGGGGAACAGGCTTCGAAGCACATCTGCTTCACGTGAAAACACATCCTCGTGTGGACTCATAACGCGCATGCCATTCGACGGCCTCCAACCAAAACATGTTATGGGCACCAGAATGAACCGGACACCCGTCGCAACCTTCCATCTATGTACTCAAACATTCAGGACCCAAAGGCTCGACGTATCAAGCCTCAGCAGAACCACTCACGCAGTACAGAGTGTCCAACAAGGTACACATCCTCCACCGTGAGCATCCCTTCGATGCTCACAATCACCACCAGCTTAAGTTTGGTGCGTTGCTTGGCTCTCGACCCTTGACCTGAGTGTATCGAACTGTTTCTCGATGCGTTGTGTGTTTATTGACGATGTATTGCTGGCAATACTGTTTCTAAGGTCTCCGAACTTCCCCACAACGAGCAGCCGTCGTCACGCGACGCGACTCATTATCGCGCCCCTCTCGCAGCCCATCTCCTTTCATCGCAGCTCTTGGGCAGCATAGCCTACTTGGATGATGTTAGTCACAGCCATCCTATCGCAATCAAAGCCGGCCGCGCAGCTGAGCTTTGTAACGTATGTGGTGTCGTGTTCTCGACTCCAAAAGCGGTTTCCCACGGATGATGGCACCTGAGTGGTTATCTCGACCTCGGCCGCTTCGGACTATCCCGGCCAGTGACGTCTAGACCCGATGCTTGCCAACACCACAAATGAGTACCCGTATCGTCATGATAGGGTATATGTCATCGGCTTCCCCACTCGCGGGGCCTTATAGGATTTTGCATCCGCTGTCAAAACTGCTTTGAGGTTGACGCTCTCGGTTCGGCGACTTGTGCCCGAAGGCGATTACAAGGATTCAACGTCAAGAGCTAGAAGTATTTGAACATGCCGACACCGCCGTTTTCGCAGGATCGCCGAGACTGGTTGAGCGAGGTTTCTGGATTGTTCGCTAGCAAGAAGAAGCCAATCGCAAAAAATCAATTGAAGAGCACGAATACACTCACTCTTACGACTTCATCCTCAAGCTCGTTCAGGTCTACGTCGACTTACTCGCTCATAGGCAAGTTGCGAAATTGAACAAGCCCTTACGACAAAACAACCGAATTGCAACATGGCACCGCAGAAGATCAAGCAATGGAAGTCCGGTCAGGATGGTCTGGACAAGCTGTACATGGAAGAGGCGGATATCCCTACACCAGGCGAGGATGAAGTGCTCGTCGAGATCCATTCCGTCTCACTGAACTACAGGGACACAGAGGGTATGTCAAAACACCGGACATCTTGCGCAACGAAGTTCTAACATCATTCAGTTTGCATGGGCCTCTACAACCACCACAAGCAAGTTGAGCAGCCTCCCGCCATAGTTCCCGGTAGCGACATGTGCGGCATCGTGGTTGCTGTGGGCCCTTCCTCCAACAACACAAGTGACCTTTACAAGAACCCGGCCTTTGCCCTCAAAGAAGGTGACCGCGTCGTTTCGACTTTCGCGCAAACCCACATCACTGGCCAAGTGCAAGCGCGCGACATGACCAACGGCCTCGGCAACCCACTTCCCGGTGTCCTCACACAGTACCGCGTCTTCCCCACCTACGGCCTGCTCAAGGTGCCCGAGTACCTCTCTTTCGACGAAGCAGCATGTCTGCCTATCGCAGCAGTGACAGCCTGGATGAGTCTGAACTGCATGCGCCCCAAGGGTGAAATCATTGGTACCGGCGAAACCGTTGTATGCCAAGGTACCGGTGGTGTCTCGATATCGGCAGCGCAAATCGCTAGCGCAGCAGGTGCTGACGTTATCATCACATCCTCGTCCGACGAGAAGCTGACACGCGCAAGGAAGCTCGGCGCAAAAGATGGCATCAATTACCGCAACACGCCAGCTTGGGACGATGAGGTTTTGAAACTGACGAATGACCGCGGCGCAGATGTCGTTATCGAAGTCGGTGGGGCGCAAACACTGCGCAAGTCTTTTGAAGCTGTTCGTTTCGGTGGGCTGATCGCTTGCATTGGCTACCTTTCTGGCAAGCAGGATGCAGAGGGTGACAGGACGAACACCAACTTGCTGTGTTTGAAGAGGAACGTTACGCTCAAGGGCATTATCAATGGCCCACGCGACGAGTTCGAGAGGATGCTGAAATTCTATGATGAGAAGAAGATCAAGCCTGTCGTGGATAAGGTGTGGAAGTTTGAAGAGGCAGATAAAGCACTCCAGTACCTGTTCAGCGGTGGGCACTTTGGTAAGGTCGTCATCAGGGTTAAGGAGTAAATCCGAAGACTAGTACCAGACATATCAACATTATGATACCTCATTACACATTACTCTCTACCCTAATTTTGATACTGAGCATGTACCTCGGGCCACTCATCCACCCCATCCAAAATCACCACAGCCATCCCCCCATTCAAATGACTCTGAATATGACAATGCAACAGCCACGCCCCCGGATTCTCCACCTTATACCTTACCGCCAGCCACGTCGGTTTATCTTCACTCGGCGGCGTCACGAAACCATCCCTGTAGCTAGGATTCACCAAATTAAAGCTCTCAGGTTGCGCGGCTGCTGCTTCTGCGACGGTATGCCCGGGGAAGGGGCCGACGCCTGTGCCGAGGATGAACGCTCTGTTGCCGTGTTTGTGGATTGGGTGAGGCGGCTGGCTCAGATTCGGGATGAGGAAGATGAGGTCGACCCAGGTGTTGTTCTGCGTCACTATGGTGATGTTTCCATCCCCGTTTTCCAGCGTCGGAGGAGAGTACAGAAGCGGTACCGCGTTTTCGAGAGCCATGTGTGAGAATGGGGTCGCGTTGAGCGCCCAGGTGTAGCTATTCCCTACGTTTCCGCTTGTGAGGAAGAAGGTTTGTGCTGGTGAGGGTGCGGGTTGTGGGAATTGTGGGGGGAAGGGCGTTGTGCTGGCGTGGTCGAGCACTGTGGTATTTGGAGATAGTGGGAGGCCGGCGCGGTTGGTATAAGGTGTGGATGCCAGTGCCAAGCTGGTGGTATTCGTGTAGGGGCCGTGGTTAGTGCTGTAACTCTGCTTGTCCTCGCTGGAATATGTGAAGAGTGCAGTGGTATCGATGAGTTGTGCCAGAGCGAGCGAGGCTACGCGGATGCCGAAGTTGTTTTTGTTGCCGGGGTTGGTGAGCTCGATGAAGACAGAGTACCGGTCCCCGTTTGCGACCGTCAGAACGTCAACCTTCACGGGCTCGACGTAGTGCCCATCTACGGCATAGACCCACAGTGAATGCTCGTCGATGCTGAAGGCAAAGGTATCGATGCCTGCAGATGAGATGACGTCCAGAGCCAGCCATTTCCTGTCACGAGGGGCTTTGATGGTTTCGCGACTGCCTTGTGTGGGTGTACATATCTCGAAGACTGATGGGGGAAGAGCTGAAGAGTTGATGGTCGAGCTGTTGCCAAGAAGGATTTGAAACAGAGCTGGTGGGAAGCACCCCTTGTCGGTCAGTTCCAGGTTGCCTTGCGTTAGTACTGGCGCAATGCCTGGGTTGGTGAACTGAGTGATCTCCTCCCGTGACCAGCAGTCTACAGCACCTTTGCCGTTCACGAGCAGTGAGTCCATGCAGATGGCACTTTCGAGGCCTGAAGCGAGTTGGTCTGTCCATGTCTCCTCTGACGTTCGGTGGCGCCAATCAGACAACAGGAGGGGAGCTACGTTGGCTTCAGCTTCCTTGAGCAGGTCAACCTCTGCAGGGGCAATCTTGTCGAAGGGCTTAGCAATGCCGGCCTTGGGCTTGATGGTGATTGGACCGTAGGCGCCGTCGTCGATCTGACCGCGGCTGTGGGCATGATAGAAATAGCTGCCGTATTGATCGGCGTGCCACCTGTACTTGAAAGTCTCGCCAGGTTGGATTGGCCGCTGTGTCAGACCAGGAACACCGTCAGCCCAGGGTGTGTTTGTTTGATGGATGCCTGTAGAGGTCAGCTAGGTACATGTCCTCTGTCTTGTGTAGGACGAACCGTGATAGTGGATGCTCGAGTTGAATGGCATACTGTTCAAGACCTCAATCTCTACCCAATCATCCTGCTGTATCTCTAGCAGTGGACCCGGGTACTGCCCATTGATGAAGATCTGGTTCCTTTCGTAACCATCTGGGAATCCGGGCCCAAAGGTCAGCTCAAGCTTGAAGTGGCATTGGCCAGCGAATGTAACAGCTGCAAGGGAGAGACACAGTGTAAGAAGTGACAACATCGCGACAGGTTGACAGATAGCAGCGTGTAACAGAAGAAAATAGTACACGAGTACAGGTGAGCTGCTTGTGCACAGTACCCTTACGCTGACGGACGCCGTGCTTCTTGTAGTTTGACAATCCAACTGCAGCCTTAGGATAAGATGTTGTACGGCAGTCTCCATCAGTCATCGTCGCGCGCTCTCGTTTGATGCTGATTGCTTGGATACCGAAATGAGACAGGCACCGAGTATCCTCCACCAACAAAATCATCATAAGGTTGGAGGCGTTGAGGCGAAGCCGGGCCTGATGTAAGGCCTGACATGCTGCATTGTACAGAATTGGTAACGATAAGGTTGTCAAAATCTCCATAGGACAACGTGCTGCACGCTCTGATGTTGTGGCTGGCTGAACCAACGAACTAGGTAAGCACTACTTCGGAACAGAAGCGTGTCTGGTAATTAGAGTCAGCAGCCTCATGCCGGGCACTCGGTACTTCGTTGTCTGCTTGGTGGGACGGTTGACAGCTGCAAGACGCATGTAAGAGCCCTGTAATAAGCACATAATTTGGACGAGCCATAGGGCTGCGGAGGCGCCATAAGGTTGCAAAAGATCGGTAAGGCCACCTGCCAGCCGAGCAGAGGAAGCTGCGGCAAGGCCGAAATGCAAGGCTACTCAAGGCTGATGGTCTATGATGGTCGATGATGTTGGAGTTCACGGATATGCCTCAGCCGTTTTAGGTAGACGATAGAGAGGATGTTCGCGTCAACCCACAAAGGAAAAATGCGGAGATAAATTAGCGCCACTTAATTAGCGTTCCGCTAGCGCGACTTTCTGGCTTGCGCACAAATCAAACCTTTCCTCTGTTTTCGCATCACAACATCCATCATCCATCATCCATCACGCCAATTTGCAGCAATATTGGACGTTCCAACAGAATCTGCTTGTCTGTACTTACCGGGCATCAACCGAGATGACACTTTCGCTGACGCTCACCCGGCATCTGCCCCGCAACGCCAAGCGTTGATTCACCTCTGGCCAAGCATCAGCAACCTTCTGACCCGACTCTGATCACCTGGGAGTAGCTTTGCGCTGGTACTCGATCTCTTGATCGTGGCCAATTTCTGTTTCCAACACGCCACTACTTCCATGCCGTAGCCTAGCTTATACTGAGGGATCGTCCTTTTGGTCGACAAAAGGACTATTAGGTCCATGCCACGAATCGACGAGATGCTCCTTACCATCTTTTGGGATGGCCACCTTAGATGACCCGGCAGCTGGTATTTAGAATCTGCGACAGACCTGGTACGTGGATCAAGTTTCAGCACTAGTTTCATCAATAAAGCATATCACGCACGCAAGCTCGACGACCATGAAGTGCGAGCTGTTCTTCAAGTCTTTCCTTGGCCTTTCATTCGTTCATATTCCGCTCTTAAAGTGACCATCCACTGAGTCGGTCCCTCCATTCGCCATAGCCCTAGAAGTTCAGCAGTCTTTACGACAACAGCCAACAAGGCGAAAGTTGATTGTGAGGGTGATTCGGACGGCTGTCAGAACTGTGAGCGGGAACGAAAGAGCTTCGGATTCCCCAGAGGCATCAACGATACGCCAAAAACGATAAGCATTCATATCATCATTTTGATTCTGCTGTGCAAGTAAGGTCCTCATACGCAGATCAAGGGTCCGGATGGTACTTGTCAATGGGCGAAGTGTGTGGTCGTTGCGTAGTATTCGGTGGGTGAGAGAAGCTCACATAGAAGCTGCTAGTACTACCACGTAATGGCTATCAGGGACTCCTTCACCTCCGACAATATTCCAACTGTTCTTGGCAAGGTGCTTGTACTAGCAAACCCTGTACCATTGTCACCATCAGTAACAGCCCCCACTGCTTTTATTCAACTGTCGATACGGCAACAAGCAATGTGTGCCACGACATGCTCCTCACCCAGGCCTATGCGTCGTTACATCTACAGACTTGCCCCCCCCCCCCCCCCGGGAGAACTTCGAGTTCACTTCGTTTAACCCAAAACAACAGCCACAAACTGCAGTCTCAAGCTACTGCTCCTTGAGCGCCACCGTACGAGCGTGAAGCTCGCGTCCCCATGATTGCAACCCGGTCGCAAAGCCCTCTAAAACACACTCGTCCATCCCGGTTGCCCTCGGACTCGCCAATTCTTGATCTGCGAGAGCAAAATGCGGGTGCAGACATGAACAACGGATGAAGGCGGCTCAACTAGTGATGTTAGCTTTGCCTGACAAGATGGGAGGGCATGTATGGACTGCGAAGTCAATGGCATTTTGTTCGCCTGCATCCAGTACAGAACGATCAGGGGCGAGCTTCTTGAAACTAGCGTTAGCAGAATCTTGGCTTCCAAGCGCATCTGCTGTGCGCTTCGCTGGCAGAACAGAATTGGAAGATGGCATTTGGGATATTGTACTGCGATTGGAAAGGGAGAGATGTAAAGAGAAAAGTTGAGAGCTTCACAAATGGCCATGAAAGACCTTGGTGCACACGCTATGTCTGGTGAAAAACACCGCAGTCCACTTCACTGAGAAGACGCGCCCCTCAGAATCTTATCTCTGGTTATTCACAGTGTTGGATATGCTGTCAAGTTCTGAGTCCCCAGGTATCGACCTCTACAGGGACCTCAACACAAAGTTCAACGGCGTGATGTGAAAGGCTTTGCGTTCTCGCACGTCCATACTAAAGATCCTAATGGAGGCCACGAGTGGCCTAACCAGCTGTTTTGAAGCATTTTGTCGCACAGAAAATGGGCTGAGCTTCTCTGTGCCGTCTTCATTCAGGTCCTCGATAACTTTGTATGGCATTTAAGTTGCCGAGGACTGTGCGGCCTGAAGCCATATACGGCGTAAACCCTCGCTCATAGCAATTGCTTAATGCAACTACAACATTAAAAGGGTAGCTTTGGTTCGTGTTTGTCACCGAGGTGAATGGCTCTTCACTAGCATTCCCAGCTTCGCTCAGTTAAATCAGACTGGTATGTACTCTCGGAAGAGTAAATATGTACAGGCTGTCATACTCGCGTTTTGCGGGTACACTGATTGCATTGACAGATCAGTACGGAGGTACATATCACACATTAGAGGTTGGATTGAGGTCTGATCGTTGGCATTATTGGCTACGAGTTGCTGACATGTGACACAGGTCTACTTAAGAACCATTCTGCGACCCTCCGAGATTTTGGCGTGCCTTGGTATATTATCAATTGACGATGCGAAGCATGTTACGTATATTTGCTTCCCGAGGATTTGCACCGAATGCAGGGCTTGCTCCAGCAAGCTGACGGGGTTAGCACTCACCCCTCTGATAGTTTCTGAAAGCCCCACCAAAAGTATATTTAGTTATCCTAGTCCTCCTCACCCTCGCCCATAGCTCCACACGGCTCCAAATCTTAAGGTCAGCAGCGAAGCCATGGATCTGCAGCTCCTCTTCGCTGTTGTTCTGCGGTAGTCACTCCTGCTCGTAGGCGAGAGCGACCTCGAGAGCCGTTCGAGATTGAACCCTAGCAAAAAGGAGCGCGCGAACACCGGCCTTGAGAAGCCAAAGCGTAGCAGACGCCTCTAAATTTTGGAGGTCGACCTCTTCCTCGTCGTGATTGACCCGGTTTCCGTTGTCGAAACGCTTCTCGATGAGACGAGCGATGCACCACTGCATGTAGGTGGGTACACGCTAGAGGCGTACATGATACGCTTGCGGGCGTCGTATACGGCTCGACGGTCGGCGGGCCCCATTTCGCTGTGAGAAAAGAGGACCTTGGCGCAGTGATTGATCAGCTCTGGCTGTGCCATGACCTACAGCAAGTCAGTGATGAGACTCGCGGAGCGCATAGGTACAGACCTTGATGATCTCGCGGGCAGTGGCGGGAGATGGAACCCCAGGCTCATCCTCAACCGGCTCATCCTCAACCGGCTCTGCGCTGATGATCTCTCCAGTGATAGCCTCACGATCGTAACGAGCGCCGACGAGAACAAAGTCTTCGTCCTCAACGGCGTTCTCTATGTTCTTTTCTGGAAGGAAAGACAGTGAGAAAGCCATTTTCGGTGTCTTCGGCGGCGCGTCTAGGAACGTGTAGATGGTTATCAATAACTGTGAAGTCATCGTCGACCAGCTTCATGACAGCCTTGGAGGTGGCCTTGTTAGCTGCGGTCATGACTGCACGTGCAGTCGCTTCGCAGAGGGAAGTCATCTCGATAACTGCTGCAATAGCGTCAGTGATGTAGCCAGACGATGTTGGAGCGAGCGAAAACGAGCCTGTTTCAGATCGTCGCGCAGTTGAGGTGAGGAAGAGAGGAAGATTCAATGTAAACAAGAGTTCACGAATAAACTGCGTGATATGCTTGGTCGCGTTACCGATGGTGTTGTTCTTCTTCGAGTCCCACTAGTCAACGCAGTTGAAGAGGGTCTGCAGGGCGCAGACCATGGTGTTATAGATCTCGCGTGGGTTGAGCGTCTGGTGTTTTTCTCAATAGGAACAGTTGAGAAGTGTTGTGTGATCATTCTGTCTGTCTAGACTACGAAGTGAGTGAGAGAATTATCGCTGTGAACGAGCTAGACCCAGTTGGGCTAGCGGACAGATCCAAACCACCCATAGGGCTGAGGGGACGTTCCCCGGGTACTGACAGTTCTGGAAGTTCCTTGAGAAGAGCGCGAGCGCACTTCCGCATAACCGTTCGGCGATCGAAAGCCTGATCATGGTCAGGGCATTGTGCCAAACTCTATCAGTGCGTACCTTGTACTTGACTGCCTCAACAATGTCAAGGTGGACTGGGCTGGCATCTCCGTCTGCGTTGATAACTCCACCAAGGTGAGCTACATAGCCGTCGGGAGCGGAAACAAGCGCAAAACCTCCATTGTCATCGGATTGTATAGTGCTCTCGGGCATATTGGGGCTTAACAAGAGTCCTTTGGGCTCGTAATTGGGGCTGGCGGAAAAATTGATTGGCGCGATGACGAGTGAAGCAGCTTCCGGCCAAAGGGTGCAAGCCATGACTCGGCTGTATGGGTCAGTGTAACGGTTTTGATACTCTACAAGTCAGACCAACAGCATCAACTCACCGTTCTATGCTCACCGTAGTTAGACGCTCGCCTATCGCTCGCTTACATAGCTATCTTGGGAGTCTTCTGCCTCCTTCAATCAACACAGTACATTCCTCCAATTCAAACCTCAAGAGTCAGTGAATAGCTCTTACCAGCGTTTTCAACGGGCAGTACTACGAACAGTAACCGTACAGTAGTACGGCTTAAGTAAGCAGTCAGTCCGTAGTGAGGGTACAGGCAGTAGCGTAGTCATACCGTAGTAGCCATATCAACTGTAGGACTGCCGTAGTTGGTGTAGCCCTGAGATGGTTATGGTGAAGTATCAAGTTGGACGGTGAGGTCTTACAACTTCTCAAGAATTGGCTACGTCACCAGCTTGTTGCGAGCCACTACAGGCAGCTAGATGATGGGATAATGGGGCAAGATGAGATGGGTACAGAAGCTTTCCAAAGCTCCAATTCACCGACTGACGTTGAAGAGTGGGGCGGCTAAACTATATCAAGCAACTACGGACCGTAGTTCAGGTCAATTGAGCAGCTATCACTACTGTCCGCACTCTCTAGCTCCTTCACCGTAACCGTACAGTCGTAGTTGACGCTAATGCCGTAGCGTAGCTACGGCCAGCCAACCGTACAGTAGTACTGACTGTTGGGAACGCTGGCTCTTACTGTGCATTGAGTGACTGACATACATGAACAATACAGTTCGTCAACCTTGTGGTTTTGGTCAGTAGTGGTCTGGGGAAGAAGAGAAGACAGAGAGCAAGACGCACTTATATAAATTACCGGTCATGCGTGAGCGCGCGGGGTCGCGCCCTTCACTTCAACAAAGTGACAGCGTGCATTCACTCTCGCATTGGATGTGGGACTCTCACACATCTATTGTTTCTACATGTTTAATCACCAGAATGTTTTGTCTTTGATGTCATGCTTACAATGGCAAGTCCGGATCGCCGCATGTTATGCAAGCACGCAGCGTGTCCAACCGTACGTAGTACGGCCCGTTACGGTTACGGATTACGGCCGTAAATACAGTAGGTAATGGCAATTGTATGAGGCCGTAGCAGTAGCTGTACGTAGCTATACATGAAGCCGTAGTACGGCAAATCTTGGTGTTGATCGGAGAAGTGTAGCTCCCAATATCATTTTTTGTTCTTTGCGGGGGTGCACATGCCACTATCCTAGAAACTCAACACCACAATCGCCCATTGCCCATTGCCCACATCACGCCTCTGCCTCCACACCCACCTATAACAAGCCCTGGCTTACACACACGGCTTACCTCCTTCACCGTCACACATACAATGCGCTAGGATGATGTGGACACCTGACAAAGGAGAGTAAATCTAGAGCATTTTAAGGCATCTTGGCCCCGGTATGATGCATGCTCTGCCGCGCGGTATAAGGCCACTAACCCCTCTGCTTGGCAGATGTGGTGAAGGTCTTTTGCCTTGCTCTGCCATATATGTAAGCACCTCTAGTGAGCAGGTCCTTAGGGCTCCTTGCGTCAGATCCACCTCATCTATTGACCTCAGCGCTATGTGAGATGGCTGGGCATCCAGGTGGCTGGAAAGGAGATTTCTGAGTAAGTTGGCTTATACAACCGTCCACTCCTCCCCTCCCAGGCCCTCCATCAACATCATCAACATGCCGCCAACCAGCCAAACCCAGACTCAGCTCACTGACGTTATCAGAAGGCCTATATACCACTCAGCAGCCTCAAAGACCCTCGGCAAGATGGCCTGTGCCTCATCGTCAACCTCATTGACCTGGACATCTGTAAGGAGGTGCCTTGCACTATGCCTATATATTAGATGCAGAGCCCAATATCAGCAGTTCTGCTGATATTGATGTCCTTTTTGGCCATTTGGCGCAATGGGGCACTGCATTGTAACAACATGTCAGAGTTCAGGGAAAAATTGTACGCAAAGGAAGAAGTTGAAGATTGTACTGAGGTTGTATTGAGTGAAGCTACGAACAGTATATATAGGTGAGTAGCTGTAAACAACGCTAGTGTGACGTGGTAGTCACTCTCATGGAGGTGAGGTACAACAGGCAGGAGCACCCCAAACCGTGACACAACATCATCTCCATCGGCATCACCATCGCCCCATCCATCCATCGAAGCAAGCCCATTGCACATACAACCTGCCAACGTATGTGGAGTCAGATTTCCCGTCGACTTCAACCAAGTATACCACAGCAACGTCCGCCTCAACGCTAGTTGGCTGGGTTATCGGGTACGCCACAAGGCCCAGCTGGCTGGCAGGCGTGAGACTGCTGCTATATGGTTATACGGAGTTGCTTTGCAGTACTTGGAGGACAACGGCTCTATTGGGAAGTACTGGCTTTGCCGGAAATGTCACGAGTCAATGACTAACTCTGATGCCCTCCGCATTGACGGCACAGCTCACATCGTTACACACCTCCGCAATAAGCATCAAATCGACCCCAAAACAGGCCTTGTTCTGGATGGGAAACCTCCCCCTGAGGACCCCTGGGCAGCTGCACGCACTGCTGGCTCATCTACCTTCACTGCACACACCCCTTGGGAGGAGGATAAGCTGAAATCAGCACTCATTGATTGGGCTATCGTCCATGATATATCGTTCACCACAGCAACAAATCAAGCCACACGAGGCTTGATCACCTGGAATTGACGGAATCTACTCCACGTATGCACGACTATATGCACCAACCTATGCCAAAAGACATGTGCAAGTTGAATCAACAGGACTCATCTTGCATAGTTGATATTTATATAGGTAGAAAAGCATGACTGCGCTGCTCCTAGGCTCTAAGCCTAGCCCATACCCATAGGTGGGTGCACATGGGTCTAGCCCATTACAGAGGTATCCTGTGCTGTTTAAGATGGCCTGCAATTTCCTGTCCATCCCAAGTACCAGCTGCAAACCCGAGCGCTGTTTCAGCATTGCTAGGCGTACAATAAGCGGCGATCAGAACCAATTACAGCCAAGCACTATAGAAGCTGTTCAATTGCAGAAGAATTGGCTGCGTCACGGGCTTGTGGAGAGCTCATATACTAAGATGGAGAGGTACATGGCAAGGCTGGAGAAGAAGCAGATGAATTCAGGGGCAACAGTGACCCCTGAGTGCTTACAGGCCTCACAGGCATCACAGGAGTCACAGGAAGGGCCTCTACCACCGTCACCAATCACACTAGACTAGAACAGGCAAATATACTGCAGTACTACATCAATTACACCGTAAAGTGGGCCTACGCCGTAATTTTGGGACGTTATGGTGAAGAATGATTGCCGTTGCTTACGGCAATTACCCTTTGCCGTAGCCGTATACGTACGGTTGGACACGCTGCAAGCACGAGTGATCAGAGCAGAGGAAATTGACACTTCCTGCACGGGGAATGCACGACACTGCGCAGGACCAACAATGTTCCGCAAGCCTTGCAGATCAGTCATGATATACAGCATTTTGTATTGGGAAAACATGCAGGTCATGGCGATTCTGTTGACTTTATGTGATGGTTTATGGAGTATGGAGGTCATGTGTGCCACATGTGTTGGTGCTCTTGCACTTTCCAACAAGCACCTCCTGCTCTTGACTGCACGAAATACATACGTCATGTAAACAGACCCCTCTGGGGGTCGAGAGGAACAGAACACTGAACAACAACACAACAGAATATACTGATTTTACTGCTTCGCGCGGTTACCCCTGACTTACTGCCCTGCGCGGTTACACCTTCACTTATTGCATTTACTGCAACACTTTTAAGGGAGGGCCGTCTGCTCAATTTCATGGTAAAAGGCGCATTTAATAGCGACAATGAATAACTCCACATCACATTACACGCATCGCGACGTAAAATTGTCTTCACAGTGCAATTCGAGAGCTTTATTGTTTACCAACGTAGATCTTGCAAAATGCAAATCAGATGTTGAGGTCGCCTTGATGCCTATGTCGCTGTGAACAGAGCCTTGCACAGCAGTTACGAGAGCCGAGCATGCCATCTCCTGTCCGAGGGACCATAGCCCACTAGTATGTAGTCTGCCTGTTCTTCACTCGTGAATCTCTGCAACGAGACAAGCCGCCTTGCAAGACGCCTCGACTGCGTAGCCCAGTCGTGGAATTTGCGGGCGAAGCACTGCATAGCTTCTTCTTCCTTTAGGCAGAGAATCAGTCGAGTTGACTTGCCTACAATGTGTAGAGTGCAGTGTGAGGTGGCGCAACCTGGAAGGAAAGATTCGAAGACGATAAACAACCTACGCGACCTTAAGTAGAAAGAGCCCAGAGGTTTGCATTGCACAAGGTAAGCACTCGGATGTAATCCATGGGCCATGATTGGCTCCGATTAGCCTCAATCGAGATCATACTCAAGCAGTCTTTTGCAATACCATTTCCCATCTTCGCAGGGCTTTTGGGCATCTTTTTTTTTCCCTTAATTGATACTCGTATTGTCTTTCGGATCTCAGGAAACGTCGTTCAGCGATCAGAAATCGTGCTATAGTGAGCGCCGTTGCACCTGAACCATCCCCTGTTTTCAGGAGCATTTTGACTGCTTGATCGGTGCGAAACGAAGGAGGGGGCTGCACTCCTGTCAGTTATGATCAACGAAGAACTTGATGATTACGTACCTGTGTCCGCTGTAGCAATGAGACGTTATAGCAGACATGGTAACTCAGCGAAGCAAAATCTGATGGAGCTGTGTAAGATTTTATTATTGGTAGGAGTCGAGCTTCCTTCCCGAATTCAAGCACTTATGACATGCTTTTGAGTCGCTGCGCAATGCCGTGTAAGGCGCCATGATCCACCATCTAGCTTGGTCCGGTCAGCAACACATATCAGTATATAGTACAGCCAATAGCTGCCACCGGAAGGCGCCTTCGGGTAACACTGCCTCATAATCTGCAGCATTGCGCCTTGATGTTCAGCTGCCTAAGTGCAAACAGCTTCAGCCTTGCGCGCAGCAACTCCACAGACTGCTGGGTTTCCACGTTCGCTTTGACCTAGTGACTCGAGCGACCGATCACATTTGGCCGCAATCGCAGGGTTTCAGCCTGAGCCTTTTCTCAGCCCTTCGCTCTCGCATGTAATTGAAGAGGTTGTCGAATTCGGTCGCAGTCCGCTCCAATGATCAATCCTGACATCGCGCATGTGGGGAAAATCCAAGGAGGCGTTCCCTACTAATGATTGGTCAGCCATAGCCTCAATAGCGAATATATGCGCCGAGCTGTTGAAAGTTGTGAGAAATGTGAATGATAGTATATCCAATTCGTAGATCGTGAAATAATACATGCGTTGGTATCTCGCCGCTCATGCAAATGTACCCAAATGCATCGACCAGTCTCCTATGACTGTTATGTAAACAACAAACGCCTTGTTAAATGCACTCAGTCTTTCCTCTAAGCGTACGAGGCAGCGGAGCACGTGAACGCGCTGCGGACCGAGCCGCTGCTGTACTGGTGGATGATGTCCTCAACAGAGGCGTAGGTACCAGCACCAAGAATGACAATACCAATAATAAACACCAGAGCATTCAAAATGGTAAGAAGGATGTTCTTAGTGCTCGAGAAGCAGCCGCCCTCCCTGACAAGCTGGAACCAGAACAGCGCGGGGAAGTAGAATGTGAAACCGGAGATGAAGAGGGCTGAGATAAGACCAAGCAGCGCGTTGAAGAAGGGGATAGCCTCAGCGATGATCCAGCCAATGATGGTGACGATGGTGATCAGGCAGAACCAAACAGCCCAGCCACGAGCACCCTTGACGTAGCGGATGGGAGAGTTGGGGAATGCGCGGTCCATAATATACCTGCCGACGACGGTGCCGTTGATTGATCCGGAGATGAAAATGACAGGCAGGGCGATACCGAAGGCAATGCGGGACACGGTATCACCTGCGGAGAGCAGGGCGGGGGACTTGACATCGACACCGACGAAGGCGTAGATGAGCGCTCCGGTCAGGGTGTAGATGAAGATTTCGATCAGTCCGAGGGCCCAGATGGACTTGACGTAGTCGGTAGGAGTGTGCATCTCGGACATGAAGGAGAACTGGCAGACAGCGAAGGAGTAGGCGAAGACGATGTTGGTGGTTGCCAGGAATGCCTCGTAGAATGTGGTGCCCTCCGGAGGCCATGCGGACCAAGGAACCGCGGAAAGACCACCGGGTGCGTTGTGCGCCTGAACACCGGTTGCGACAATGGTGACTATGATAGCAATGATGATACTGACGAAATCGATGTAACCCAGAATCGCGAACTCAGCAAATGACGGTGGCAGGGCAAGGATCAACAGAATGACCAGGGAGACCACACTCCATGCCAGCGCGCAGATCTGGTAGTTGTCGATGATGTTGATGAACGCGATTGTGCCGGTCAAAGCGTGAGATCCAACGAGCAGAATCAGGAATAGCGCGAACATGACTCCGACAAGCTCGTATCCGAAGCGACCCCAGATAAGCTGCACGGCGTCCGAGTAGTGATTGACGTGCGGGTAGCGCATTTTGACCTGACCGACGACGTATGACGTATAGATAGCGATCAAACCTAGGCCTACGCACATGATGACACCAGCAACCATCCCCAGCTTTGCAAATGCGCTGGGAATACTGAGGGATCCAAGAGCGATGGCCTCGACGATCAAGCAGATGGTAAGGCGCTTCCATCCCAGTTTGTTGAATCTCTCGGAGCCCTCCTGCACGGTAGCAGTCTTGTCGAGAGGCATGTTGAGCTCGGGGTCGCTCTTCTTGCCCTCGGAGAAGATATCGTCACCTTCGACGCGGTAGTTGGGGGGAGCTGCTGCGTAACCGCGCTCCGGATAGGACCTCTGGACTTCCTGCATGTTGAAGAAGACGTTCCTCGGGTCGGTATTGAAATGATGCAAGAGGATGATGTGGAAGGGTTTCAAAAGCGGGGGAAGGCCCTCGTTTTGAAGTTCGGTGCTGAGCGGCGAACTAGGCTAAGGCGAGGCTCGAAGCAGAAGTCGCAGTGCAGGTCGCAGCCAAACCTTGGAACGGACGGCGGGATAAGCGGTTGGCGATAGCGACGAACCGTCGTTAGTTGAGCGGTTTGGTGATTAGAGTCGCAATGTAAGCCTCGTGCCTTTGGGACAACATATTGCATTTTGTACTCGTCCAGCTTATCTGACACTTTCCCCAGATGTGTAATAGAATGATGGCTATCAGCGACTCCGCTCCGCGCTCCAAGACGCTGTGACCGAAAATGACCGGGCACAGCAATGAGAAGCTCGAGTCGGGGTCAATTCTCGGGGCTGGACGCTGCCAACGGGCATATCCAGGTGGCCATTCACAGCGGCAGCAGTCGGCCCACCGCTGAGGTTGCATTTAACATGCCTTGCGCCAAGCGGGAGGCTGAACCTCGCAGAACGTCAATCTTCAGAGATTTTATTGGCTTCTGGTGGAGTTCGAACAACTCGATCACACAATCCTCTACTCCGCATTCTCCAGAATGTAGGTCTGGCGCGTTCTGGCAGCATAGTCTGGGGACGACACGCCCTTCGGCTTCGCAGCAAAGAGCATCGTGAAGGCGCTTTGTTGTTGCTCTGGCGTGCGCGTCTCAGGCTTCCCAGCGTGCATCGTGTGCCCCTGCGGCGGCGATGAATGACGCGCTCCACTTGGTGCGCCGTAGTTGACGTAAAATTTCGAAAATTTTACGTCCGCATACCTGCACTAGAGGGACGTGCAGCTCTCGCACGTGGGCGCTCTGTTTCGAGTAAGAAAGGATGTCTGTGACATCACGATACGCCTTTTGCGATAGATGCAGCTGAGTTCGTTGGACGTCCTGCTGAACGCAGATAACAACGACGCACAGCGACGAAGATCAAAATAGAACGCCACCAGTGTGAACGTCTGCAGCCCTACCCGCGCAAGCCTTCCATCTTCGGCTGTGGTAGGTTCAGTCAAGCATTTCGATCCGCGCCATCCCGGCCAGTGGCGCGGCTTCACAATCTCAGCCGAACAGATGCCGGTGCGCTAGTTAGTCAGGCACAGCCCGACTGCTACTGATGCCTAGACCATAAAGAGGAATTTCTGACATCTCATTCGTGATACTCGTGCCATCTGGGAATTCTGGAAGGGTAATGGAATGGCCCCACAGCTGTTTGAAAGGTAATAGAATGGACAAACGGCGCCTTTGGCGCTCGTATGCTTATCTTTACCCCGTGCGCATCCTGGAGCGCATGATGGGGTCCTCGAGGGTTCAGAGATGAGCCAATTGCGGTGAGCGCAAATAAGCTCGAAAGAGCGTATGTCGCGTGACCTTTTGTACCCCAGACGGACCCTTTGTAAGTTCTCGGAACGGAGTGCATGCTCGGATAAAGAATGTCGGCATCGGCCCTTTGAGCGAAGTGAAGTCCCGTATCGGTGTTGTGCGCGATTTGAGGTCTGGATGAGAGTGGGGTAGATTCATGATGTTCTGGACGTCTCACTGTGTTGAACCGAGTTGAGGTCGTGGGATGTTGACACAGAGTTGGAACTGTACTGCGGGGTAAGAGTCTGGCATGAAGTCTGGAGAAACGACCGGTGATAATTCGCGATCTTGCGCATAACAGTGCTGTAGTCCCGTGGTATTACTTCAACCATCGGTTAGTCCTGCATCAGTTGCATGTTCTTCCCTTACCCCTGAAGAAGTTAACAACCATACTGGACATGCAAGCTCAATGTTTGGATATCGAGTTGATGAGAGACTCTGCTTAATACACAGGCAGCTGCAATGAAGCCTCAATGAGGATGTATGGGACTGCAAAATTGATGACGACAACGAAGGGCTCCTCAAGCACACTTTCAGCTTTGGCTTTCGTTCGACGAGACCTTGGCCAACTCCTCAAGTACGTGTGGGTCATGCTCCCTCTCCTCTACACCTCTTGATGATCTGCTTTCGTCTGTCTCCCGCAGATGAGCATCTGCCGTGGTAGAGTCAGACGTAAAGTCGAATATTCGGTGTTCACCTGGATGGTCAGTGTTGAGCAGCATGTTTTCGAGATCACCACGTACAGTTCAACCATGCTGTGCCTGTCATTGGGTCTCTGACATCCCAGTCCTCAGTGAGGAAGTGAGTAAACGCGCCGTGAGTGACGAGGACGATCTGCTCTGTCAGCTTGACTCGTAAGATTTTCTGGGACTGTAGACGTACCTGCTTCTCCGGCCTTTGCATTAAGAAGCCTCTCAAGTCTGCAGCACGTTTTGTGATTGCATCTCGCTCATACGCCCAGTACCCTTTCTACTCTTGTCTTAGCCCTCAAGTTATGTAGTTGCGTAGATTAAACACACCTTGCTGTTCCATCCTTCAGTCACATGTGAAGTATCGATCTTGTTGTAGTCAAAGGGTAGCTCTTCCTTAGCAAAGAGAGTCGGTAGCATCTGCTTCACATCATCTGTAGTGTTTGCAAGGCCGACGTCACAGCCAAGGTTGCTGACTTCCTGCAATGATGGCAAAAGTACGATTGGTACTTCTCTCCGCGCTAGTGTTGGGCCCAGACTCAAGGATGCAGTCTGGATAGTCCGCCGCAAAGGTGACGAGAAGACAATATCAATGTCGTTGTGGTACTTGAAGGCAGATTGCAGAGTGCTGCATTGCCCTTTCCCTTTTTGGGTTAGGACCGCATCACGGATCGTGTCGTTGCGCTGCAGTGGTGTGAGATCTTCGAAGTTCAGGACATCTCGACCTCTATCTTACGGTCGCATTGTGTTCACCTTGCGCATGTCGAATTATGTGAATTCTTGGAGGCATGGTGATGTTATTGATGTTGCTTTCTTCGTGATGGTGTCTTGTTTTGGTGGGGGTGTTGAGTCACCGTGTGTAGCTGTAGCTTGTGGTGGACACGTATAATATGTTTGGCCAGTGACAGACAGGAAACTTTAGTTTTCGAAATAAGATTGCGAGCAAGTGCGTTCGGATCTGCTGTACAGTGTCGTGACTCTCATCGAACTTGTAAGGGGCTGACCCTGAGGGTAGATGCCAGATAAAATCAGATGAATTTGGTGAGGCTCGCCGGTTAGCGGCCCACACCGTTTTGTGCTGCCGGCCGTGCGCCGGCGTTCGGCCGTATCATGCTCCGGGACTTGCGCTAGTCGAGGCGCTAACCGGGCGTAGCCCGTTACAGAACTGATGGATTGATTGATTGATTCGTTTAACGTCCTATCTGAGTCTAAACCTATGGGAGACGAGAGGAGCAGCAGCTCCTCTTGTAATGCAAAGATTCAGTTACAAGAGGTTGGGCTCACTGAGAGTATAAGGGATGGTGAGGGCTTAAGCCCAAATCCCGTTACAGAACTCTTTCTTCGACTTTTCGCTGTTCAGGAAGGGCAGGTTTATCGGTGACGTCAGAACTAGCCTTCTGGGCACGTTGTGGGTCCTTCACGATAAAGAATTGGTGCTCACATGGACCATGGTTTCTGCGACACCTGCTTGTGTAATGTATCCAGAGGGACGATAACATGTTGTAACAGATCTTTCCTCTAGCTGCCATCACTGAGCTCCTTGGTGCGTAAACACCAATCGATGGGTTCAGCAAACTCTAACCCAGCTTCCTCGCCCACACGTCTGCTCTACTGAATAGCTGCAGCATAGTCGAGTATGGGAGCTGATACAACGTCGCCTGGAGGTAGCTGCCTGCGGAACGGTGTGGATTCAAGGGGGGCGCCGAAGCAGAGCTTAAGCAACCGTATGCCAAGGTCTGTAAGAGCATCTACTGGTTGATTGCTGACATCCCCGAATATCTCACACCTGAGGTAAGGGTGATTAAGTATAGTGGTATCTGGGTTGGTCTGGTCCTGTAAAAAGATGATATTGTCTTTGCGAAGCTGGGTATTGAGCCATGGTGTGGCACCAAGCTGGAGATAAGAGGAGGCGAGGGTCAGTGCGAGGCAATAGCGTCTCCGTCTTGTGAGTATCTGTGTATCTGCCAAGAGATCCTGCAACGTCTTTGTCGGCGTGAGAAACGTTGAGCTTATATGAGCGTCAAGATATATGTGGCGGCGTGGGCCGCTTGTAGAATTGCTATCTAGCTAGGAGAAGACAATATATACTGGTTCTGAACCATGCTAGTCCAGAATAGTCTGAGTACAGCAGTGAGATCGAAGCAACAACATTCGCACTGTGATTCACAATAGAACTCGATACATGTATATTTCACATGCAGGTGAAGTGCGGGGACGCAGGTGCCCAATGCAGGTGCGTTGTGGTTGCAGTACGATTTGCTGTTGCTGCCTTAGTCTTACTACATATTCGGTCTACAATGCTGCTTCCCTCCGACATCAGCGCCTCAGACATATCACTATCTCACAACCCTCGAATACACACCTTCTCGCTCACATCGTCTTATGCCGACGCACAAGTAGGCCATGCCACCGTTACCGGGCTGACCTAGCTCGCCCTTTGGCGATCTTCGCTCAACTCATGCCACGCTGCAATGTGCTCAACAGCACACATCATCGCACTTTGCGGTAACTCGCTGACTGCGCCCATGAGTTTCGACACGCTATTACTGCTTACATCCTCGACACACGGCTGGTCTGGGCTCTTCTTCTAACCAGCACCAAGCTTCATGAGTGTTCTCAAAATGGACAGCTCAGAAGTGCAGCGACTTTCTCAGACACAGTGAAGACGATACCGCTACTGAAGACGAGTCGATCCAGGCGCATGGTGCTGCCACTCCTAAAGCCACGAATGCCAGCCTGGGTCCAGATGCTGCGAAACGCCTCGCCTGTTCTTGCTCCTGCGGCGCTTTGGGCTCTTGTCGTGATTGTGTCGAACGGCTGAGTTGCGTACACGGTGATGGTGCCAGCCAAAGCTCCAACAACGAAGGTGGCCGCGCTACCCTGCGGCAGGTTGTTCTGTCGTGACGCTTCCTTCAGCACGTTGTACGAGCCCACGCAAACAGCTGACGTCGCCGACTGCTTCGTGGTCGTAGACACCAATCCCCAATACAGTCCTGGAAGGCCTTGGGCGGCTACAATGGCTCTGGTCGCGTCGAAGCCTCCACGAAAACAGCGGTGACTGCTCTTCGTGTCGTCGATAAGAGCTGTCTCGACACGCTCTGTTGGTGTAATGGCAGCTACACTCTCAGCGGTGCCGGCCAACATGCCCGCCAAACTGCCTCTCGATGGCGACGATACACCATGCTCATCAATAAGATGATTGCAGATGGAGTCGAAGGACAGGAAGCGAACGCCAAGCTTGAATGCAGTACCCAGAATCAGCGTGGAGCAGCTGGTATTTATGGCGCCAAGGCCATCGGTGCGCGCGACACAGGCAATGGTAGCCGAACGGATTCCTCGTAGATCAGGTGCAGCGCAGAGAGGCCCTTGTGTGCGGCTTGCAAGACATACAACAAAGTGTGCAGTTACAAGGGCGGCCGAGATGCTCCCAATGCCGCCTACGCGAGACAGCCCAGGCTGCCCATACCCGTGACTGCCTCCAGCCCTGCCAGGGTGACTGCAACGTCAGCACCTGCAGCCACTGAACACCTCCGGGTTGTCACAACTGGTGCTAAGCGGTCAGTCAATGTCTCTCGCATGGTCACTAAAAAGGGCATGTCAAGCTACCACGGGCGAACCAGCACCTTGTTCGAGGAGAATACTCCTCACGACCGTCCTGCTGCCGAGCCACGGCCCAAGATGCCTGAACAGTGGATTGAAAACGGTCTTGTTACTGAAGTTACACGTCAACGTCAACTTGAAGACTACAATTTTCGGCGTTGACCCTGATCTTGGCATGCATATACTGAACCTGCACTGGAACCGTCAACATCATTCATTCTTTGTCACTTATCAACCAGCGTTCATGAGAAATATGGCTTGTGGTGGGCCATACTTCTCGAAGCTGCTCCTCAATGCCATTTATTTCGGAGCTTCCAAGTTCTCTTCACGACACAAAGAAGTTCGACGAGTTGCCAATGACGTGCGAACTGCAGGATGGCAGTTTCGAGAGCGAGTTCGCCAGCTTTTGGGAGAAGCTCTTGACCAGAGTGAGATCACTACCATCCAAGCTCTACTCGTCATGACTAATTCTTTGTTCGCGCTAGGTGACGAACGTAGTGCAGCTTAAACGTACGCAGGAATCGCCTTTCGGATGATTGTTGATCTCGGATTGCTTGTAGACACGCTTGGTTTTGCGAGTACTTCAAACATATCTGACGAAGATTACGAGATTCGAAGACGCGTCTTCTGGGCTGCTTTTGGTAAGTTGGTCTATCTTGATCCTGAATCAATCTTATTTGCTTATAATACCTGCAGTCGTCGACAAAATCCAGAGCTTATACCAGGGCCGGCCGGTCAGTATCAAAGAGTTTGATACTCTGGTTCCCATCAAGTTGCTCAACACTTACGAAGAGCTCGAGCACTGGGCTCCCTTCGCCTACACTGCCCAAACGGAGCAGTTATGCAGGCTCACCGGCGTTCAGGGTATCCACTTTCAGGCAGCTTTGTCTCCTTTCAGTCATACTGAGCGAGATCCTCAGTAGTATCTACACGATCGAAGTTCCAATACCAGCCCCGGAGACCTTTCTACTAGGCTGCAGAACATTCACCAAAAGCTCACGTCATGGCGAGAAAACCTGCCAGATCACCTCGCCTTCAATCCTACAAAGAAAACTTTCACACCTCCGCCACATGTCATGAGCCTGTAGTAAGCATTGGATGCCTCCACGCTTCCTCGTAATTTCCTGATTGACTGGCAATGCTTTGTACAACGTCCTCACGATCCTACTCCATCGTCCTTTTGTAACCGACGGGCATCTATATAACACTTCACGGGCCATTTCTGTGAGCCCATTCAAAATGTGTGCAACGGCTGCAGACAGCATTGTTGAGCTTCTGCGCGCGTATGATAAAGCGTTTAGCGCGCAAAAAGCCCCCTACCTGATCTCATACGCTACCTATGTGGCTGCGACAATTCACGCGCGAATTGTTGCAAAAAGAGGGGCTGAATCACACGTTCACAGTAATCTTGTCGCATGCTTGGGCATTTTTCGTGAAAACCAAGAAACGAATCGGGCAGTACGACGCGCAAATGCAACCGTGCAGAACCTGATGAGGAGAATAGGACTCGAAGTCCACGATCTCAGCAATACGGACAAGGCTACCGCTGCTACCAACAATAGTGCAGACATAGTATCGAGCCAATCGATAAAACAAGAAGAGAGCCTACACACACCTGATATCGACGGCATTCTCGAAAGTTTCATCCGAGGGCAAGAAAACGCTCAACTGTTACAGGCGGTACGAAACGCCCGGATTCACTCAACTGAGATGGCGGCAGCACCTCCTGCACAACTATACGGTCCTTTACTCAATGTCTCAGGAGTATACATCGATGAAAAGGGTGCAATCCCTGTGCAAGAACACCCCTACGGAGGTCTTCAGCATCAGTATCAGCCAGCCTGCAGAAGCTCCCATGACAGTGGATGATCTACTTTACGGGCTCAATGGGTCTACTTTGGACAACTTTGCCTTCTTAGACCGGGAACTTATGTGAACTATGGACGGCTCGGTGTTTTCTGGCAACCTCCAGGCTGACTTCACAAGGTCCTTTTCTTTCTGAACAACTGCCCGCCTCCACGCTTGTGCCTCACATCTCGTCGGGCATACTTCAGCAGCCCATGTACCTCCAGGAGACGGTTTTCCAGAGGAACTCGCTTTTCTTCTCGCCTTGACTTACTCCACGCTTCGATATGCGGAGGCCATTCCCACGGCCCATGATAGTGACCATCTCCGGACCCATCACAACAGCTTGGCCAAGTTGATATTGAGTGCGGGTATTACCTTGCCGATCTTGTTAAAGGTTCTCATCATATCTTGACAATATTACTGGATTGAGAAGGTCTGGTTATGTAAAGCTTTACGGAGTAAGGAGGTCATGTGTGCCACGTGTTTTGGTGCAGTGTTCTTGCTCTTTCCAACAAGCACTTTCTACCCCTGGCTGAACAACAGATACCGTGTCCGTGCTCGCAATGCGCATGCGCCGCAATGCGCATCTCAGCATAATAACAGTATACTTTCTACCTCCCCTACCTCAACGCCACAATGTCCGTGAAGGAAGCTGTTGCAGAGGGACATGCAACTTGTCATTGCAATGATTTCTCATATACCAAACTTGCCAATAAACATGGTGTAACGCGCTCAACTCTGATGCAACAATTGAACGGGGAATGCGCGTCAAAAGAGGACCAGGCACTCAGCCAACAATTGATGCACCCACGCAATGAGGCAGAGCTAGTGCAGTACATCAGAGGACTCACAGAGTGACACCTTATGCCTACAAGGCAAATGCTGAAGAATTTTGCAACTCCAGTTATTGGAAGAGAGCCTAGCAAATCCTGGGTTACTGACTTCCTCAACCGCAACAAAGATACCCTTATTACCGCATGGACCACCCCAATGGAGAAGGATTGTCACAGGGCCAACTGTGGTGAAAAGTACCGCTTATACTTTGAGCTTCTGCACCGTAAGCTAGCCCATGTTGAAGTCGTGTCTTAAGCAAAGCTCGTAGACACTATTCGATTGGTTCTCGGGGATGAGCAGAGGTACAGAAAGCCGTCGGGGGTTGGTTATCACTGAGCGAGCTCGGAGCGGCAGAGGTTTGACCGTGATAAACCGCCGTAATAATCAGGGGGTAGTCGTCTAGCAAAGACCATGGCAACTGGTTGCAATGAATAGTACAGAGTATACTGTCTGGCTTGAGAGCAGGTGAGATTCCAATAACAAAGTTGATTGACGAGGTTGAACACAATGCCATAAGGGCAGCGTGTCTACTTGCTTATATACTTGACAGGAGGATTGATTGTACTGCTCATATCAAGTATCGTCAGTGACTTGATACTTGGTCCAATCGAGCGTTGTCGACGTGACCTCGATACTTGGTACTCGGTGTCCTATTGATTGTTGTTGACGTGGGTCCTCTGCAAGTGGGTCGGTATATGGGTCCGTGACAATCCTTTGTGTACGAGATCCACGTTGTATCCACTGCAGTCCTTTTTGTACAATCTTGATTCGTATAACAGATATTGCAAGTGTTGATTATACTGGGTATCACTGACGCAGCTTCACAGCTTGGTCAATCAATACTGCAGTTCCTTGGCTGCTCTCATCTCGTTGCGTAGTCCTGTTTGTTCAGTGTTGTTTTGCGAGTTGTTCATGGATCATAACACCCAGCTTGCTTGTACAGCACAGCCAGCAGCTGGAAAGATGATGCCTGGAGGAAGGACTGAGCCATCGTGTAAGGGGCGAGCCGCTGAGGGCAATATGCGATGTAGAACTTGATGGATTTGATAAGAGGCAAGTCCCAGAGCGGGACTTGCAAAATTCTAATACTCCTGCTTTGGGGGTTGCAGGCCCGCTCTGGAGGTGACCGGAGGTTGTACGTCCGATTCGGAGGTACCGAGGCCTGTGCTGTTGCCAAGGCGCTAACAATGGGCCTAGCCCATTACACATCGCCACATATAGTAGCCAGCAATGTCACCCACTCACAATTGCCATCGTGGAGAGACTGCTTGAAGTGCTTGTTGTCGTATAATAGCTTATCAAAGATGCGCTTGCTCCTTCCAGTGACTCCAATAGCAAAGCCTTTCTCATCCATATTGTACGTGTGCTCTGGCTCTATGTTGTATTGCTCCATTTTGCGGTGTAGTAGTTGAAAGTACAGGCTGTACTTTTCACCAGAATCAGCTTTGTGACGTCCAGCTTCCATAGGTGTGGTCCACGCGGTGATAAGCATAGCTTTGTTGCAATTGATGAAGCGAGTAACCCAGCTGTCTGACGGCTCTCTTCCACACAAAGGTGCAGTGAAATTCTGGATCATTGTGAGAGGGACCCAGCTGGGGATACCAACTGCTCTCTGAGATGGATGGATTGGTAGAAGGAGGGTTCAGGCTTGTTGAAGATAAGGGTGTAGAAGAGACTAAGTGTGGGGATACCACAAGTAGTGGGAAGTATAAATGATGAAGAAGGGATCAAGT